CATGTTGTTGATGCATCATTGAACATGACACTAATCCCATCAATACACAGGTTTGCATGGCTTTTTAAATTAAGCTCATGTTATATAAGAGATCTGCGAACGGATGGTTCCTTGCCGTTGCATCTTCAGTCCGTGGCTTTGCCATCTTTGCTCTCGGGTTCAGTGATTTCAAATGATGTGGTTGCAAGCTATTACTCTGGTAAAGTCTAGGTCCTACTCTAGTACATTAAAGGCAGCTGGCTGCAGCCCAAGTGTCTTGTCTCGAGGCCTTGAAAGTGCAGCATTGCCTCTAAAACCATCCGACGTGTGGTTTTTTTTGTCAGCGTTGGGTTCAATTCACTTTCAACAGTGTGTTTGCTGATGCGTGTGCCAGATGTCTTCAGAGGAGAAGGGAAGAGATTGATGGTGAGCGCTGATGTCGCACGCTCTGATATGAGTCGCCTCATCAGCCTCAAATTCATTGCCCGCTTCTGGCCTCTGACGCCATCCGTCATCGACGCCACCAGTTTCTCAAAAAGGTTGCAATGCGCATTTTCTAGCTAATATTCAAGGGGGTAAATAATTCCCTAGAGGAGCAGACGTTGAAGGAGTGGGGGCGACATTCCCCACAATGCACCCATATTCACACAGAACCCGCTTCCTGAGGGCTCAGTCGACCATAACTGGCTCATAGTTTCAAATATCACTTCTGACGCCGTATTCATCAAGGTGATAGCTGATTGGCTATGAGAGGATGGTGTTCATTCAAAGACAGTATTATTTACCGCGCCTGGAAATTATTGAAGCGAGCGGAGAGGATGTATGCTGAACAAAAATGGGGAACATTTGTTTTTTCTTACTTTTGAGACTTTTTCTTTCATTTTATTCAATGTGTCCATTTTCTGTTCTAATGTTCTAGCACACGCTGAAGTGTATGTGAACTTCCTAAAGATACTTTGCCTTTCGTCTACATTTGTTTCAGTTTAAACTGTGTTTTTCCCGGCATGCAATAGCACACATTAATCTATTAGTAACAGTACTGTACAAATAGACCGAACATGTTGATGTGCCCTCTTTACAAAGATTAAGCGAGTAACGAGTAATAATGCATTGTTGAGACAATGATATACGGTTGGTGTCAAAGCTCCTTGTAGTTATTAAAGACCACATTATATATTCTGCTTTCACCCTTTAATATCCAGATATGTTAGTAACCACTTTGTGATTTATTACCACATTAAGGGCAAGCATTTCCGTGTTATCAGTGGAAAACATTAAGTCATTTGCAAACATCATCGTTCGAATCAAGCCGACTAATTCTTTTAAAATCTCACTGCTGTCGTGATGTTCTGCAATTTCACTTTGCAGATGTAAACACAGCTGCTTAATTTAAAAAGCAGACCGTAATCTAACTTTGAACATGTCCTTTTCTACAGAACGTGTTAAAGAAAACTGACAACCTTAGACTCCTGCGTCCATCTGTAGCGGATCCACTGATGGATAGGAGGGATACAACATAATACTTGTAACATTATAAACATATTCAGTGAGGAGAGGTGGGTTTTGTAATGAATGTAGATTGTCACACGCACACTGAATTTTGAAATGCATCTGGGGAAATAATCCTAATTGTTGTGTAGATTAAAGTGTAGATTAAAGTATGAGCGCCCGGGTCGCGCGCACACCGTCAAGCCCCAGCCATGCATTGTGTTTTTACGAATCTTACGGTGCAATTACCTGTCCTTCCCTCCCCTGACAAAGTTGCGTGGGCAGAAAAGCTTCTGTTAATCATGAGCTCCATTTTCCCACTTCCAGGTAGAGGCCCTTTGCTGTGCGAGGCAGCTGCATTAGCACACTTGCCGAAAGATCCCAATCCCGCATTATCATAATTATGGCCGAAAAAATTCATCATTCTCCATCTCTCCCTTTTTTTTTTTTTAGGTAAATGTCAATTTTCAGCTCCACTTGATGACCCTGCAGCCCTCCACCCAATACAAACAATGAAAAAGAAAGCTTATTCAATGGAACAAAAGCCCAACCGCGTGCAGTCATCGCCTCTTCTCTTGGCAGTTTGTAGGAAGAACCATAAGTGACAGCATGCCCCAACCTCCTCCAGAGGGTTCCGTTGAATTTAATGTACATTACAGTAAGAGTGTGTTTGCCTCTGTGCGTGTGTGTGTGTGTGTGTGTGTGTGTGTGTGTGTGTGTGTGTGTGTGTGTGTGTGTGTGTGGTAAAGAGGCACAGAGTGCATAACAGAGGGAGAAATGGAACTGTGAGGTGTGTGTTCTCCAGCGTGTGTATTCCATTAAATGTAAGCACTATGTACCCGTGTTAATCTACGTGAGTGGCCAAGCAGGCAGCGGAGTGTGAGTCAGTGCGGGGGTGCGGACATGGAGTGAGTGTAAGGGGCCAACTAATGCTGAGTGGCAGTTGATAATGCCACACCGTTATATCAGCATCTGCCCCCCCCCCCCCCCTCCCGCCGCCCCAGGCTCCCGGAGCCTGCTGCTGCTGTTGCTACCATCAAGCATTTCACAAGACACGCGCACCCATGAACGCACAATGACATGACTACCTACCAAACACTCAGCATTCTGCAACAAACAGTTCCTTGCACAAAATCTAATCAAACAGAGGTCATGTGCCGCCTCAAGCCATCGTAACAAATTACTACTTCATCTAATGTGTGCATATCTCGGCCGCCAACACAAAACAATTATTTGCACCCACAGAGACAGTCGACACCCATTTCGAAACGGAAATAAAAACGCCATTTTAGTTCCCCGGTGGAGGGTGAGCATGTGACACAGGACTGCGTAATTGCTGCGGTGTCCCAATAAGCTTTTACATGTTAAAATTAGACATCAAAGTGGATATTCCTGTTCATCCGCACCATATATTTCTCTAATCAGATAAGAAATATCAGGAATCTAACATTCACATCAGTGGAGCGTGACATTTTGAATCAGGCCGCACAATAATGAATGAATAAAGTCGGCCTCACGTGATGTCTGCAGCTAATATCCAATTAACCTTAGAACAACGCTGATAATATGGAATCCTGGCTGTGGTTAACCGAACGTACAGTGCAAGTATTAACCGAGCACACACAGACAAAAAAAAACACAATCACAACGTGTGCACATCCACGCGCACACACACACAGTAAGACACGCGCACACTTTGAAATGAAATCCGTGATACAGTGGGAAATAAACCTGTATGAGGACTGACAGCTGAATTTAGTGGCACACAAGGACGGGGCGGAGACTTGGCACTGATAAATGAAGTGCATGGAAATGAGCGTGGATTCAACATTGTGTATTAACTTGATCCTACACTATCCAGCACATGAATTCCAGTGATGTCTACAAGAGAGCGCAAAATCAGACACACTGTAGCTGGATACTCATTTGCCCTTGAACCATAAGGTACGAAATGCTCCATCACAACAGACCTTGTGAATCACTGGTTGTCAGTGGAAGTGGTTTTTATTTTATAATAAACACAGCAGAAAGTTGGGAAAAGAACGGAGGTGATTTCACATGAGTGGGTCATATAACTGAAGCATCCCTCTACAACGGAGAGTTGTTTACTTCAGGGAGCCTTTGATTATTTTCCTGTTTCAGGCATGACGAGTAGTTCAAAGCCTTCGGGAAGATTTGATTTTGCACCTCTACTTTTCAGCAAAGCTGCATAATTTCACTTATTTACTTGGTACTCATAAACAAGGAATTAGAGTTGGATAGCATACAATATATTATTATGAAAAATCTGTTTGCATGCATTGATTGGTGGGAACACTTTAAGGGTACAAATCCAGTTTTAAGCAAAGCACAACGAATGCATGAGTCATGATGATTAACTGAATCATAAATGAATGCTGGATGCATCATGGTTAATTGTGAACTTTTATTGAGTCACTATTGAGTTGACGTTCAATTTATCAAAGGCCATTGCATTGTTATTCGCAGTTTCCACATATATCACAAACTTACCTGGTTGAGTTCATACTTATCATTTTCATATTTCATATTCACATTCATCATCATCTGATTCTTCAATGCAATTCATGCTACAATAACCCCCCCCGTCCCACCTCCTATTGTGATGAAGACGATTGCATCGGACTCCCATCAAACCACATGTGATAGGTTCTTCTACTAATCACATAATATCCCATTTGAATCCCATAAAATCAAAGGGAGTTAATTTCCCAATGGCAAACCACAAGGAATCACGATCCTGCGTTCAGTCATGCGCTAAATCACTGTGAGTCACTGAAGAATTGTTCTTAAGGGTACCGATTAGGACACAAATGGTTACTCGCTCGTGTCTTTGTGGTGCGGTATGTTAACAGTACAATGTGCTGCTGACAGATGGAGAGCAGCCAGAAATCCTACGAGACAGGGGGTGGAACATTGTGCAATCCCTGGAAATTGAGCAGAAATTGAGAAGCAAAGCGCTGCTCCCCGTGGCCCGTGAGCCATGTAGCCGCAGAGGATCAGACAAAAGCCTGACAACAAAGCTGCAAGAGAAATCCTCCCCCGGAGTGCGCACCACTTTCCTGTCGGCCGCCGCAGATGCAAGTCATTGATTCTTCGGAGCACGTCACTCAATGACCCTAATTGATAGCCTGTGAATGAGGTCACCCATATTTTTTTTTTCACTCCTAGCCCCCCGGATCAAGAGGGCCGAAAGGGTGAAGGAAGGATGGAACAAGGGAGGAAGAAGTAACCCACTAACCTTTAACACGCAAGAAGGAAAATAGCTGCACACCAGCTCTAGCTCTACAATTTTCTCTTTTTCATTGAGGAAAAGAACTATTTCATTCATGCCATTTCCGTTCATTCATCAGCTGGGGCCAGCCTAGACTCACAGTCCCATCTCCACGCCAACATTCTTATCAATGAACGTGACGTCAGCACTGCCAGCAGCTGAGGGGAGGGAGAGGGGTGGGGGGGGGGGGCTTATCACGTGGTTCGGTGAGGGGTATATACAATAAAGTTGCGCTGACAGTGGGGCTGAAAACATTCGCCAAATTGTACATTAGCACCAGGGCTGCTGCTATACAAACTCACCGCACAACTAAATAAAGATCCGCCAGACTGTTTTTTTTCTCTTGATGTTGGCCACAAGCTGAAGAAAGAGAGAGGGGGGGGGGATATATCAGGTGATCTACATGAAATAATCTTGGCTTTAACCGCGTTGTGTCTCACCGCTTTCTCACCCCCCAGTGGGACTCCAGGTAAGTGGAACGAAATCTCATTTTGTCATGTTGTCATCGGAATCAGATACGGCTGAACGATTGTTAATGTTATTTATCTCATCGTTAATAATTTCAGATTTTTCTTTTCTGTAAAAAAAAGGATTGTGTGGAAGAAATCTCAACTTAATTAACAGAAGTCATCTTTTGCCACAACGGGGCAACTGTTGTCTAACTAAAGAGTGTGCAGCGACGGTTTCATATATAATATATTTCTTTTTGTGTGAAACATTTTTCATTTTTTCCATTGAGTAATATTTTCAATCATCTTCCAAAATGTTTACTTTTATAATCATTAATACATGGAGAAATTAACAGTGTTCTGCGTTATTTTAAACAACAGTAATATGTATAATAATAATAATGCATAATTGTAACAACAAAAGAACTGTAGAAAATGTTCGAAATCATTTCGAGCGTCTACAACGCGTGTGGAATTGTGTCTCAGAAATACTACTGTGTGCAGCTGCTGCTCGAGAGACACGGGAAAAATCGGTCATTATTTTTCAAATGTGAATATAACAAAATTGCCCATTTATGAAGGTTGTAAAAGAGATTAAATCGTTTGTTTTTCAATTCTAATTAAATGATAATCTAAATCCCAGCTTCGGTAGGCCAGCTACATTATTATGGGGATTTTGATTGTTGCTGTTTCCACCTTCCTTATTCAGTTTGTAAAAAAAAAATGGAAATAGTTAAAACTGTGGCTGCACGCTGTGCTGCCCAAACGCGTGCTTGTCTGCATTCCACCAGTGTCACAGAGGAGAAACCTGCCCACACCGCACAAGGACAAAGCCGCGTTACTTACTGAGTGCTTCCCCCGGTTCCCTGTGCATTAAAAAAAAGGCTGTATCCTGTAAAATGTACCATCCAGCTCATTTACGGTTTTGGATGGATCACTCAGGTACCGCAGGGTTAAACAGCTCAACCGCAGCCAACAGCTTTACGCATGGCTTCCTCGTGCGTGCGGTCTTTGTGCCGGCGTCCTGGTCACATCGCGTTGAGGCATGGACTACCAAGACCACAGGCAACACACAGACACCGCGCAGATCAATTTGTATGTGCTACATCTTTGCTGTGAAATAAGAGGGGTTTGCGCTTAAAATGGCAAGTGCATGCTTTCTGGTTACGTTGGATTGGAGGATGAGGTGAGATCATTTATTTTGGAAATGCCAGAAATTCACACTGTGGATTCGATTCGTGCATTTTTTGTTTTACTGTTATAATAGTTTACTTGGCTATATGTGTCAGAAGACTAGAAACACGACAGCATACATCCATTTATCCGCGCGACGGATAGGTGCTGACTGGGTTCAGGCAAAAAAAAATGGCTCACGTGTAGGTTCGAAGCGCAATTTCTTACATGCAAATTCCACCTTGCACTTAAAACACATGAGCAATTTTATGTCGAGAGACGGTCGGTGTTTTCAGATTTACACTTAAATGGCAAACACCGGGCGAATAAGAAATATTAACTAGATTTTGATTTTTACATCATGCACCTCCAGGATTTAAAAAAAAAAATGTAGAGGGAGAGAGAGAGAGAAGCGGGCAACTTTCTTTGTTGAATTTGGCCCGGCTCATTAGGTTGCGTTCAGAGGCTGCTTTGTTCTCAGACCTCCGTGGTAATTGCTTTCGAATGGTGGCTACATGGTATACATATTTATTTATATATATAATGACGTCTTATCTTATCATCATATGTCATTTTAGGACTGGCCTATTAAAACAGCTGTTTATCATTTAAATGCCCTGCGCTCATATCGCCAATTCCGTGTAATCATGCATCCATCTACAACACCAGTGAATCCTCTCTCATGTGTCTTTTGTCCTTCTCCCTCTGCCTTCTTCCCTTCCTTTCCTTCTTCAGGTGCTTAACCTCCCTCCTGCCAGTTCTGCATGGTCATGACCTGTCATCACGCCCCTTCCACATCCCACCTCGTCCTATTGGTCCTGCTCCTTGTCACTCCGCCCCTGGCTGGGACCGCCCCTGCGTGGGTCGAGGGAGGGGCAGAAGGGGGCACCCGGACAGACCTGAGAGAGGACAACCTCGGCCCCTTTCTCTCGCCCCCGCCTCTGACCCTCTCCGGCCCTGACAACGGTTCGTTAGACCAGGGCCCGGGTCAAGACGACCAATCAGATAAAGGGATGGACCCTATGCAGGTGCTCGCTGTGCTGTTGGAGGCTCTGGACCACCCAGAGGAGGGAAAAATCTATGCCAGTAGAGACAGAGTTTTGGAAGAGGATGAGAGTCAGAAACTGCCCTCCATTGAAGGCGTCGCGGGTGGTGAGAAAAGAAGAACGGGGGAGACAGAGGGACAGAGGGGGGTGGAGGAAGAGGGGCGAGGGGCTGATAAGGCAATTGAACAGCTAATTGTAGGCCATTTGACAGCTGCTCAGGGGGATGGCTCAAAAGAAAGGGATGAGGAAGATAAGACCACAAGGTCAGAGGAGAATCAAGGGTGGTCTGGGAGGGATGTGCGAGGCGATAGCGTGAACAAGGAGGAGGAGGAGGAAGATGAGGAGCAGAAGGACGGTCATAGTTTGGAAAGTTTCCTAAAGAACGCCAGGCCAAGGACCCCCTCACTGGGAGATGATCCATCTCTGCGGCGCAAAATAAGAGGCTACTTCCAAAACATTGACTTGGGTCTCCAAGATAATGAGATCCTGCCTCCTCTGAAGGGCTACAAGGCATACAACACTCAGCTCGCGCGAGCCGGAAAGAAGCTGCACTGGGAGGGGAACCAGGACCGCAACCGACCCTCCGACGGCGGCGGCGGCGCCGGCAACTTCATGGATGAGTTTGAGGATGAAGGAGAGGAGCTGCAGGAGGAGATTGAGGAAGAAGAGGAGAGCCTCTCCCACATGCAAGAAGAGGCGAGAGCGCGAGCAGAGAAACAGGAGGTTCTTCGCCAGCAGGAGGAGGCGGAGCGTGCCAGAGAGGAGGAGCAGAGGCTGGCAGACATCGCCTCCGACATGCTGCTGCAGTACATGGGGAGGAAGCAGCAGTCCTACATGAAACCCCGGCAGAAAAGCAGCCTGGGCCCCGCCAGCAACACCGCCGAGGACAAGCGCTCCGAGGAGGTCGTCGCCGACGAAGACGACGTCGACCAGCAGATGATCGACAGGCTGATCGAGATCAGCAGCAAGCTGCACCTGCCCGCCGATGACGTGATCGAGATTATCAACGACGTGGAGGAGAAGAAGAAGAAAAGGAAAGAGCTGCAACAATTACCGATCAACAGCAACCCTGTTGCCCCGCGCTTCAGGCCTCTGGTACCTCCTCCTCTGGCTGCTCCACCCATGTACCACTACACCGCCTCGAAAAACCCCAAGAAAGCCCCTTATAGGTACAACAAGTCCAACAAGAAATGGCACAAGGACAAGGTCTTGTCCTATAAGAAGGACTATTGGTATAAGCCTCAGAAGCAGCTTGACTACTGGTATAAACCCCAGAAACAGTTTTTAGCCTTCCCCTCCTACCCATACTACCAGAAGCCATATCGAGCATACTACCCGGTTTATTTCCCATATCCCAAAGCACAATATTATGGCAAACCCTCTCCCTCCATAGAACAGCCGTTCGGCCCCCAGGAACTCGACTTCCAGCCCCCGAGGCGCAGGCACAGGGCCGGGGGTAAGAACCGCGGACAGGGCTGGAGGCAGCAGCCGGCGCCTCGCCTGCCGCTCAGCCCTTATATCTCTAACTACATCCTTCCCCACCCACGGACCTACCAACCCCTGCCCCCGCCCAAACCAATAACCCCACCCAGGAGAGGGAGGCGACCCCCGTACTACTATCAACAAGTCACGCCGGGAGATGACTACGAGGAAGATGGTCTGGTGCCTCAGTTGGACAGTGAGGAGGAGCTGGAAAACTTTATTGAGAGGATCTACATGAAACGTAGAATGTATTGAGAGACTTTTTGGACATTCGTCGGATCAGACGGGCTGGCCAGAGGTGGGATAGATATTCAGTAGCTGGAGAAAAGCTAAAAGAGAATGTGGGTCGGGGGTAAGATTCAGGGGGCGACGGGTTTTGAGCCTGAATGAAATTGAAGGGTCTTGGTGTGAAATGTTTGATTTATGTTGTTTTACTCATTTTATTTTTACTTTCTCGGTCAGGGGGAGGATGAACGGTCCCAGTTGAATCTCCCTGTAACCACATTAGCCTCTTGCTCAGTTTACATTTTGAAACAGAACATACCATGGTGTATGTCCGCCTCCATTCAGGTCAATCTCTGAATCTCTTACATTGTTCAGAGGGAACACACACACACACACACACACCAACTTATAAGCACATTTTTGACACTTTCACAAGCAAATGGGCCCATTTTCAAAGAACCATGTTTACAATATCACTTGTTTTATATTCTGTATGTCTTATTACAAAACTAAAGTAATTCTCAAATATAAAAATAACAACACTGCCATTGTCAATTCTTCAATGAAAGTATTTTTTTTGTTGTTATTTGATGTTTGTAGTTTCCTGTCCTATTGTCGATTGGATCAACTTGTAACAATTTGCAAACGTGCCAAACAACCACATATAGACATTTCAGTTTTTCAAAAAATTCAGATTTTTTTCCTTTCAAGCTCATGGTTTTAAAAGGGTTTTCCCTCTGCATAATATTATCATCACAACCGATCCTAAAAGAGAAACCCTGTGGAATCCAAAAGCACAAACTGAAAACACTAAACACTTCCAACCTGGTGGTCAAAGAATGTTTATCATTCTCTCGATATTTGTGGATCCACCAGTTCACCTTTGACTTCTGGGACTCCTTGAACTTTTAGGAGTCATTTTTATCTTCCTCACCTTCCCCAATTGTTCATCTCCAATTACTGATAAAGTGACATCCTCACTCACTTTTTTTAGGGTTTTTTCACATATTGTTCTTTTTGCCATATTTCTTGAATCCTGTATTTATTTTGTTTTTTTTCCTTTGCTTCCCAGCAAAAAAAGGATACTTGAAATCACAATCTATTTAGCGGCTTTTTAAACCGAAAGCCGACAAGAGGCTACACACGTTTTTTTTCTCAGAAGAATTTCATTGAAAAGTTTCAGGCCCGGGGAGTCAGGGATTGTGCTTAAAACCGTTAAATGCACGTCTTTCTACTTGCATCTTAAAAAATGAACAAAAAAAAATAAACAAAAAAAGAGAAAAAATAAAACAGTAAAGGAAAAATCCAGATGGTTGTTTTCTCTGAATAAACTGTGAACATTAAAAAAAAGAAATCTCAAAAGGAGGAAGGCCACTGTGTCCACAGTGAAGCCATCTGTCTTGTAAAAGGAGAGTGTTGTTGTTGATGTCACCTTTAGCATTGTAACATGTACAGTGTGAAATAAATATGCCCGTGCAATGTGTAAATAACAGCATGATGATTACTAGTTTTGCTATATGAAAAAAAATAAAGGTAATTATTTTATTAAAGTTCAGTTTTTTAATGGCTTTTTGGCGAGTGCTATGTTGTACTTGTATACAAGCAAATATAAGAACACTTCAGTAGCAAATCCCAAAACACAGAAGAGGAAGAGAATCGCTTGAAGCTTATTGACAGCGTCGCTCATAGAAGTTAAGAAAATTAAGAAAACCTAGAGGGTGTTGAATAAATTCCAAGACAGTCAAAAATGAGAATGGAGGGGAAAAAAAGAATGGAAATAAAAAAGGGGGAGGAATAACCAAAGAATGGAAAAATTTAGAAGGGAGGGAGGGAAATGGTAACTGCAGTGATTGATGAGTCACGTGATTGGTGGATGAGTCATCCATCTCCACACTTTACTGCGCAGGGCCGTGTGCGCGCACACACGTGCACGCGCAGACGCGCGCACGCACACCCTCTTTTTTTGAGCTGTATAGTAATTTAGCTTCTGGCATTCAAGATAAAGATTGAGTCGTGTTCACCCTGCCTCCAGCCGGCCGATCAGCCAATGGAAAGGTGTTTGATAGATAGGTTTGAAAAAAGAAATAAAAAATGTTAGACCATATCTTGTTTCCACACCTCCTCTTCACTCTCACATCACTAAGGCAATATGCCCTTGTGCTATAATTCCTTAAGTGCTTTTGGCTTCAGCCCTTTCGGCATCAAAACAAACCTGACATATGCAGTCAGCACACAAACACAGTGATTAGCAGGCTGTCAACACGGTCAAATCGCACACGCCATCTCACCAAACTGCTTACTAGCTGATTGCAACATTACCTTTGATGGCTATTTGAGTGATTCTTGGACACAATGTTATGAATGCAGATGTATAATTATAGCTTCTACCTTCAGTAGATCTATCTGGATGTTCACAGACTGATTGTCAGAAGGAAATTAAGTTTATTTGTTGTGCCCATACTGATATCATTATCATTAAAAACAGCAACGCTAGCATCGGCAGAAAGATGGTAGCCGCTGGCAGCCACAAAAGTACACATGTTTTCTGTATTGCTGGTATTGAAAGTATTAGTTTGACATTATCAACACCACTCTCATGTCTTTAATTATTAATATTACTATAATATAATTTATCATTATTCTACATCTAGATTTTCCCGTTATTTCTGTGACAGGACAACACCTCGTTTCACGTTTCAAAGTCACCTCATGTGGTGCCTTGAGTAGGGGTCAGTAGGAACTAGAGGCTTTTTATTTGAAAATGAAAGTAAAAAGATAAAGGGTAAATCAAGCGTGTTGATTTAGAAAGGTTACCAGACGTAAATAGCCTGCTGCTTCCTCCTCTCTGCATTAACTGCTACTAGCATAAGGCCCTAATTGGACAGCACATTTTGCTTGTGGAAAATGCAAGAATACCTTTTCATTGACAGAGCGTGCCAACATTAAAAACAATTGCTGAAAAAGCCTCCACAGGGCCAAAATAACCTCTGATATGGAATCCACCCATTCCTGAGGGAAATATGGCTCCGAAGCTGTTAAATGGTCCTGTATGTTCACTGCCTAGTTTTCGGTGCTAAGCAATTATTGTAAGTTGGACTGAAAACAGCTGCTGTGTCCAAAAACAGGCGAGGGTGAACCAAAACAGGTTGTACAACTCACTCACGACTCAAAACAACATCAAAACGCTGCCAGCCGTTGCGCTAAATACCGCTACCATCAGTAACGTCACAACATACCGCGGGTAGCACCATCCATCGGCTATCATGTTGGATCTGCCATTCTGCAAATCTAACACAAGAACAGAAAGGAATCGGCTCCTTCAGAGGTGCCCTCAAACAACAAGGGCTTACGTCTTGGTCCTGGGTCTTTAGTCGGTCTCTACGAGCTGCTGTGGGTAATTTAGACACCGGCAGTGAGTAATGACCAAATCAATTCAGAAGGCACAGTGTCATCCATAGCAACAGGGGTCAACCCCTTCCAGTCATCTGGCAACCAGACACCAATGAGAGTCTTTGGGGCCGTGACTCAACGTGGGACTTCATGTGATTCAGCACATGATAACGGTACACTTCAGGGTACGAAGGAGCTCTTGTTAATTTTGGGCATTTCATGTAAAGCTGCTCTTTGTCCTAAGGCCAGTCTATTGATATTTCTATAGCGAGAACTTACAATTACGCCGCTCGATGATTGCTGCATTTGTCCCCAGTTGGTTTGAACTGTATATCATACTGCACATGTCACTTTAACTGCAATTCATCACTTTGTCACTTGTCACTTTGTCTCTTGTCTGTTACTTGTTTGTTAGTTAACTATGCTTAATATTTTTCAACTTTTTATATTTAAAATTTGTTTAACTTTATTCCCCTGTTTTATACTAACCCATAGACTTAGCCTTATTCTTACTAACCCATTGCATTAGCATTTCATTCCACTTTATTTTATTACCTGTGCACTGTTGTCTTGTCTGTCTACTGTCGCGCACTAACCGCCAAGACAAATTCCTTGTATGTTTGACATATTTTGGCTAATAAATGTTTCCTGATTCCTGATATTGAAAAGGTTTAATGAAGCCAATGTGCTACATGTAGGACTTTGAATGTCAGGCGCACCATGTTGGGGTTGGAAAGGTTCCAAACAGGAACCCAAATGCAGACAGTAGACAAAGCAGCGGAAGGATTTTTTGTTATCGATTAACAGGCTTCCAGAGTCCAAATGAAGCAGGTGTCTTAAAGCGAAAACCAAAGAACAGAAACAAGGAAAAGAAATATCAACAACTCACTGTAAAAGCACCGTGGACACATCTAACAAAACCACCATCAAGGCAGGCAGGAAAACACAGCGAAAAGGGGAGTGATCTGAAGCAAGATGAGAACAAAATAAAATAGGAAACACTTACATGAATAGTATCGTATAGTAAGTACATAACCTCATTGAGAGAGAGACTCACCCATTGGCTTGCAACGGACAATAAATAATACACAATGACTGGTGTGAAGTCGGTTTGTTACATTATAGGATGTCTGAGAGAATTCATCGATAAAGAAGATGAGGCTGAGCACATACGCTCTGACATTGTGGTCCCCGCAGTGGATTTTCACACCCTGTTGCTCAGGAAAAGTCTTCCGTCGCACCTTTCTGCAAGCGGAGGAGAAAAAGAGCATTGTTGAGATGATGCTATTTACACTCTCACATTCATATTTCAGAAATATACAACACAATAGACCTTTAGAAATCTCAAGCACATTGGGATAAATGTGTGGGATAAAAGCTTTGGGTCCCATTACCATCATTAAAAATAATAATTCCAAAAGCATCCAACTCTCACAGGAACAAGATGTGGTAGGTATCCAGCTCCAGGCCCAAAACAGTCAGCAAACCAATTCCTCTGTAGTGGCACCAAGAAGCCCGATGCAGAACCACAAGGAAAAGTGTCCGCCATTTGTAGTGTGAATGTTTCAATTTACATTTTTCAGCGGTAATTACTAAAACATGTGCGAGCTCTTGGTGATTGGCTCGAGATTGATGTCAATTGAATTCATTGAATTGAATAAATTTGATTATTTTTCATAGTTCATAGTTTGATTCAATGGTTTAAAATGTTCTCTACATTACTGAAATGTAACAGTAACATATGTTTTTAACAAGAATAGCTTAGTTTTGCAGGATATGAGAATATAAAAAAAAGTCAAGACATGACTATCAAAAGTATCCAACCAAAATGAGAACTAGCAAACATTTAGAAATGAATACCTCTATTGGCCAAAATGTTTTAGTTTTAGTTTCCCAAAATAACATAAAGAAGAAGTTGTCCAAGTGGTTGCAAAAACATAAATAGAGGATTATAAAATATCTTCTATATATATGAGTTGCTCAGATAGTGAAGAACTCTCCCACTCAACGTTGCTTCTGACTCCAACCGTTTTTTCCTCTTCATGTCCCTCTCCTCTCCATGTTTGATCCATTTGTTGTTGTTCATTGTTAAACAACCATTGTTGGACACAATCTTAGCCACATAATATGCTTCATCAACCAGGCTTTCACCAGCCATTAGGACAACAGAAGCAGAGCTGCAAAAAGGCCTCTCCCTTGAATACGCATCCGTTGTTTATGATCTCTGCAGCCCTCGTATCTTCGCTCGCTCCTTTCATCTTGTCCTCCCCGTCCTTTATGCCGGTCTCTACCCTCGTCCCCATCGTCTCCCCTTTTTCCTTCAATTATCCATGCCCCCCACTCCTCCTTAATGCTCCCTAAAACCCAATCTTCCTCTCCTTTTCTTCTGTATTCTTCCTCCATTTCTCGTTTTGTATGCAAGCCCCAAGGGAGAGAGATGGGTGAAAAGCACTCTCTCTGCACCACTGTCACAAAAGACTGGTGAGTCATCGCCACTTATGTTCCCGTCTCCCTCCTCCCACAAAAAACACACACACGCACACACACACATACAGGAAAAACACTCGAATGACTCCTTACCTGCCGTGCATTTACAGGGAGACAAGACAGACGCACGAATCCGCGCTGACGGACGAACACACACGACACATGCACCCATACACGCACACACATTCCACAGCTCTTACCCTGAAATTATAACCCGAGTCACATCATTTAGTTAAGCATTGTGGTGGAGAATGGCTTTCATTCATGTGTACTGCTGAGCATATTTTACAGGATTGTGTGGAGTTTGTATAGAGGAAACTCACGTCAATGTAGAACGAAATAGAGGGCTGTTCATGCAAGAGATGCTCCCGGACTGTAGGGGCGACTAAATGAAATAAATGATGCACAAAATGGACTAAAGAGGGAGTTAAAGAGGGAAAAGAAGAAGAAGAAATTCCCTGGAGAAGTGTTGTGGTTTTGCTCTTGTTAGTCTGCATATGGTTTGTGAGCCACGAAGGAACGGTTCTTCCTCCATCTGCTGGAGGAATGTGTCACTCACAAGGCTGTTGTGTTACTGCTGTGTGCACAAGATGGCAGTTCTGGATGAACACAATGTAGCCAACAAAATGATCAATTTCAGTCACTGAGTTACACCTGCACCGCTTATCCTTGGAAGGTCACATACACGCACCTACGGGCAATTTAGAGTCATCAAGTCAACGAGACTAATGACCAAAATGTCTTTGGACTGTGGGAGGAAGTACACGGAGAAAACCAACGCAGCCATGGGGAGAACATTTAAACTCCACACAGAAAGGCCACTGAGTGGTTTCAAAACGGCTTTCTTGCTCTGAGACGACAGTGTTAACCACCACAGCACCATAACGCCATAATAAATTCACCAGCCTAATTATTTCAGCTCTAAACCATTTAATGATTAGAAAATATTCAACCAAAAAAAGTGGATGTAAGGAAAATTATCAAATGTTTGTGAAGTGTGTTACCATGAAGTGTTATTTTGAGTGTAAAAAACAAGATTTGTAATGTTGATAATGAAATCAATAAGTAATCTAGTAGTAGTCTTTGTATCAACATCTGTAAATTGCAGCTATGAGGATGCGATTCCATGGAGTTGTCGGACATTTTCTACAAGTTGAATTTTTTCACATATGTGTTTGGTACTGTTCTCAGCATGCTTGTTTGTGTCAAAACCTCCTTCAACCGCAGAGGTATCGGGGTCGTCACGTGACCACTCTTTACAGCAACCTGCTTGTGAGCTATTCAGACACATCAAATATTGAAAGCCTGGAGTTTCCGTTTCACACACACACACACACACAGAGGGAGGGGAGACGCCACAGGCAGGCGGACCGGAGAATAAAACAGGGACAGGCCAAGAGCAAAGGAAAAGTCAACTAACGGCGGATTAAGAAGAAATAACACATCCGGCACCCTGGGAGGGAGACACATGAGCGGAGATGGAGGGAGAGAAGGAGGAACAGGGAGAGATCACCCAGAGGTAAGGCAAGGAGAGAATGTTTGTGCCTAATCAGGGGCTCTTCTTAAGTGTAACAGTAGAAGCTGCACCAGTGTAATCCGCTGCAGATTGATTGGCTGATAACCTTCTGGGCAGGGGGTAAGGAGGACATGTTTTTGTTTTATTATTCTGCTGCTTCTCTCTCCAACCCCAGTGGGACGACTTCTACCCGGAGTCACACGGTGACGCAGAGCAACCAGCCCCAAGACCTCCAAGAACCAGGGGAGGATGACCGGCCCGAGATTGAAGCCTGTGACGGAGAGGTAGAGCCGAGCCAGGTCAGATTTGTCTGGGAAAACGACGACTATACCTGCGTCCAGAAAATCTGCTGTACATTTAAACCATCATGACCGGAGCTCAGTTGACTACTGTAACAGGGCAAAGTAAAACTACGTTGATTCAAGCTTTCTGTGCCTTTGGCTGGTGCGATCGATGAAGGTGGAGGAGGATCTATGTCTCTGTGATGCAGAGAGCTTACCACAGGAGACACCGATAGGCACAAACACACAGGATGTCACCCACGGCCTCCCTTTGTACCCCACGCCAACAGAGGAAGAGTTGACCCCCCCTTCAGTGTCATCCCATCCCTTGAACACACAGAGTCAGTCTCACACACACACAACCGATATAATGTGTGTGTATCCAGCACAGGCTCTTCACAATAACAGGGTGCAGCTCTTTTCTCTTTGCGTTCTCACAGGTCGCCCGTCTGAACCCTGCTGGTATTGCCGGAGGTCTCTTGACTCAGAGTATCGTCCTGAAACTACTGAACAGGTGCAGACATCTCTGACCAAACACATTGTTTCACTGAGGGGTCGTCGGTCTCCATCACCGCAACGATGACCACAGACATTGAGAAGTGGAAAGGCCCTTTGTCACATAATGATCCAAAACAATAAAAGTGGATGCCTTAGATGATGGGGGTTCAAGACGCATTTGGTTGCGTTAACACTAACGGCCCCTTAAGCGTAGTGAGTCAGCAAACAGTCAGCAGTATAAAACAGGCAACAAAAGGTGTTTAGATTATCCATAACATGACGTGCAACACTATATGTGGCTTAAATCTCATTCACAAGTTTATATATTTGATATAGTATTATGACTCAAATTCATGGTGACAAGGAGAAACACCTTCTGGAGTAAGCATCTGCGCTTCGGTAGAGCTGCTTAATACACACAATGTTTTCTAATGCTGTTATCAGAGTGACCCCCCAGCAGAATCAGCATAGCTCATTCATACAGCGTCTGCCGAGTTCATTTTTTTAAACTGAGCTGACAAATATGTCGTGGAATCCTATTTGTGCTGCGTTGCAGGAAGACTCGGGTCCTTTGTCACCGGTGCCCTCTAGTGACCAGAAAGTGAGCTACCAGACAGACCCTCGACCTCACTTTGGCGTGGCTTGTTCCTCCCACTCTACTTGTCACCCTCTGTGGGGCAGCGAGGGACCCTGCTGGGGGCCAAGGAGTCAGGACGTGCTCGACCAGACAGACACCTGCCCTCACTGTCATTTGGGGTTGCCCCCCGACACACTGCGTTGGCATGAGGTTGGCACAGACACTTACGCACCGGGCATAAATAAAGACACGCAAGCTCACAGTTTGCACTAAACATATCACGGCTTATGTCGCCCCACTGGGAGCCTCTGACTGTTTTCTTTCTCTCTGCACAGGCAAAGTGTCTGCAGTTTGAAGGGGTGAGGATCCCAAAGAAATAAAAGGAGGCAAAAGCAAAAATGTCGTTTGGGCAAAATAACACTGTTCCTTCTTGGTATTAAGACAATAATTCTCACATAATGGTTATTTGCAATTTCTGCTCTGAAATAACTGTGTTTACATCTAAATTTAACTTATTTTATTTTAGTTTATGTTTAATTCATGATATATTTTTAATGTGTTATTACAAATAAAACGCGTAATAAGTTAATGTGAAATTAAGTACTCTTTCTCCCTACACGGACAGCCTATTTTTTTCAGGATAATGAAGTACATCACATGCCGATTATTACCAATATATACACATTTATGTCACTTCCACTGCAGCTCAGAAGACAATAAGGAAACAGTAAAAATTGGGATTGGTTTTTGATTCCGGATTCTTTGACCTTTAGGGTCTGTGGCGTATTCTCAGACGTGCTGCTGTCCCTGGTGCTATATCTCCTGTTTGGACACGTTTCGTAACCCCAGACTGCCCTGCATTGTGCTCTGCTAGCTCGGCCTCATCAACCAGAGCCAGGGCTAAATCTTTCTGTCAGATGAGCTGCTTACGGCCCTCCGGCACAAACAGCTTAACTCCTTCGGTAGCTGGCTGAGATATAAGGGCCTGGGATACCTTTACAAATCATAGATGACACAGACAAGGAACGTATTCCACTAGGTGGAGGTGCTATGAGATTAGTGTTCAAATACTGGGGGTGAACCCAAATAGCAGAAAGTCACGTCATGAATAAAATACCACTTTTCACATAAAATGAAACCCCCTCCGGTCGCCTTTGTTGATTTCTGTCACTTCTTCATCTTCTCCATCAAGTTGGTTTTTGGTGACTCATGGGCAACTTTGGCCCTCAAGTCAAGCTTAGTGAACAAAATCATAAACATTGAAATCTGCAGCCTGAGATTCCGCGAACGAGGATTCCCCATCAGCTTTCTACTCCCCCAGCAGCTGTGACTGTTCTGATGCTGCCAGACCGACTCAAAGGAGCTCAACGAGAGCAGAAAGGCCAGATGGCCTACCTGCATCTCCTCCTCCTCCTTCAACTCAACATAGCAAACCAACATTAACTGTACCGGTGTTTGAGTAAATGACTCATTTACAGTACAGTGTCTCTCTCTGTGTTTGTGCATACAGTATTTCTCTCAGTGGGCGTGTGGGTGGAAACACTGACCTATTTTCAAAGGGTGATTGGGGGAGACACTGTGTGTGTGTGTGTGTGTGTGTGTGTGTGTGTGTGTGTGTGTGTGCGCGCGCGTGCTGGCATGGCAAAGGCACTATCTAAGGAAACGAGGATTAAGAGGCAGCAGCAATATACCAAAGTCTTGATTGCGTGGGGCACGACATTACGCTATTGTGTGGTTTCGATCGTATTCATTTGATTCTTTAATTACTACAATATTCTTTATTCATTATTAAATCTTAATGGTTATATTTTAGGAAACCATTGTATTATAATGTGCAGGCACACAAACTCAAACACATGTGCAACGTATGTTTCCTAGAATGCACATTATGTTGAATGTGCAGTGTATCGTTACTTTTTAAAGGCACACAATAGACCAATTTTAACCTCGTAAGTCTAAATAATAAATAACATTTTTTTTCCCAAAAGGTGATTTGAACATTGTAGAGTGATGTGTGATGATGTTGATTCACACCAGCATAAATATGTTTCATCAACGTCTTTATTCTATTTAGTTTACTGAGTAATATTACGCCTAAATGTGCAGTTACTTCCCCTATAATCCCTATAAAAGGGGAAAATACTGGTGTCTTGGTGCTTATTGTTGCGTGTTATAGTATTTGACAAAGAACTCTGGACCAGAAATCAGACGGCCAGCATCCTCCACGCTATTGGTCGCCAAAAAGCCCCTCATGGTCACGTGACGGAGCAGTGGCATTACGGCAGCGTGGCGAGCCAATGGCCGGCCCCATCACCTGATCTCTATTTGAATACTGCTGCGCCCCGAGCCGCCGCCGCCGCCCCCCGTGTTGTTATTGTCTGACATTGGACCGTCGCTGCCGCGGGACGAACCTCCACAAACCCGAACCCGGCCGGCGCCGCCGAAAATGTCCCCGTTGCCGAAGCCGTTCGCGGTGAGCGAAGGACCGCGCGAGGGCTGCGGCGTCCGGAGGGGACGCGCCCGCTCCGCGCTCTATCAGCAGCGTCCGTCCGCCGCTGTCACCGCGACGGCGCCGCGCTCTCTGCCGGCCCAGCAGACGTCGCACGCGGCCAGGAGAAACCTCGCAGCCGCCTCGGTCGGCGGGAGGAAAATCACGCATCCCGGGAAGGCCATTCTCGCAGGTGGAATATTTTGCAAACCTCCCCCACTCCGGCCGACTGTTGCGTTTCTGCACCGCGCAGCCTAATCCGAATCTGTCGCCCATTAAAGCGATGCACGCAGAACTGGGTCAAAACGCACCGAGCAGCATGTCGCATTTCATTTTCTCCATTAAATCTTATTACTGCGCACACAATGGACTCGTTTGCATTCACTTGAAATATAAATGCTGCTTTAATAGAGGCAAATACACCTTGAGTAGCTCTCAGCTATTAGTTCTGTGCAGGCACTGCTGTGTAACTACACTGCATTGGCATTGTCAGGAATGATGCGTAGCACCACGCTGCCATCAGTGAGCCGTTCCTCCCACATTCAAGAAGAATTCTGCACGGAGAGTGAACAAATCCTTATAGCGGTGTTTGTGTCCTTTCCTGTCTCAGGTGGGATCGCAGGCGGCATAGAGATCTGTATCACCTTCCCCACAGAGTATGTCAAGACCCAGCTGCAGCTGGATGGGAGAGCCAACCCGCCGAGATACAGAGGAATCGGTAGGTCACCGGCACGAGTATGCCTGACTTCTCGTGTGTGTGTGTGTGTGTGTGTGTGTGTGTGTGTGTGTTACTCACTCGTGGATGCTCTGTGTGTGCGTGCAGGTGACTGCGTGAAGTTGACAGTGCAAGATCACGGGCTGAGAGGGTTGTACCGAGGCCTTAGCTCCCTGCTCTATGGATCCATACCCAAGTCTGCAGTGAGGTGAAGTTGCACTCCTGACATATAGTAGCTTTTTATCACAGTATACTTAAACGGAATAAAGAGAATGTTACTACACATTCCCGCTGCATCCTTTTGGGTTGTAGCATCCCACATTGGCAGGGGTGTTAACTTGAGATTAGTTTAACAGTTGACTAATGACCGGTCCTCTGTGCTTATTTGGCCCCTTCCCACCACCGTCAGGTTCGGCACGTTTGAGATGCTCAGCAACCCCATGCGAGACGCCACAGGGCGGCTCGACAACACCAGCAGCCTGCTGTGCGGTTTGGGAGCAGGCATAGCGGAAGCCGTCGTGGTCGTGTGTCCCATGGAGACGCTTAAGGTGGGTGGAGCTGGACGCCGTTGCGCATGTCTTTGACGTTGATCGAAATAGACAATAAACTGGGTCCCTCCCACCTCCCACCTGTCCTCCAGGTGAAGATGATCCACGACCAGTGTTCCCTCAGACCTCGCTACAGAGGCTTCTTTCACGGAGTCAGTGAGATCATCAGAGAACAGGGTAGGAAGGCAGGGTGGCTTCAACACGGAATACGTGACACTCGCTCTCACACACACACACACACACTCAGTTTGGAGCATTTCTTACCCAATCTGTTGCTCTCATTTAGGTGTGAGGGGGACATATCAAGGTCTGACAGCAACCGTGCTAAAGCAAGGGACCAATCAGGCCATCCGATTCTACGTAATGAACACGCTGCGCAATTGGTACAAAGGTTAGAAAGCCAGCCCACCCTCTGCAAAACGACCACACGTAGACTTTTTTTTAAATTTCTAATGTCGAGTTCTCCTCCTCTCCCTTTCCGTTGCACGTGGATTCCATCTTCAATTATTTGGCCTTCTAAGGGGACGACCCCAGACGAGACATGCCGCCTATCGTCACGGCGACTTTTGGAGCCACGGCGGGAGCTGCCAGTGTTTTTGGAAATACACCTCTGGATGTGGTGAAGACCAGGATGCAGGTAGGACACACACGCCCCCCCCCCCCCGCCCCCCCCTCTGGGCGGTGATGTCATTGGAGCCGCCATCGGGTGTCATGTCTAACTCCCTTTTCTTTCTTCTCCTGTAGGGATTGGAGGCGCACCGCTACAAAAACACAGTGGATTTGTGCCTTTCAGATCTTGAAGCAGGAAGGCCCGCAGGCGTGAGTAACCCCTACGTGACCCGAGGCATGCTGGGAAAGAAGACCGCAGACCACACCGTCTGACCTCCTTTCGCTCTTGTCCCCCAAAGGTTCTACAAAGGAACCGTTCCCAGGCTGGGCCGCGTGTGCTTGGACGTGGCCATAGTCTTCGTCATCTACGAGGAGGTGGTCAAACTACTCAACAACGTGTGGAAGACCCAGTAGAGCGCCGACTCTCCGTCCCGAGCAGACGAGCCGTCACCACGACCTGTTTCCACTCTGTCACACCAGGCAAAGGCAGGACGCGTCCTAAAAACAGCGATAACGGAAAGGGGAGTGGCTGCTTGCCCTTTGGCATCTTACCGCTCTCTCTCTCTCTCTTAGTTTAGGAATCAAGAGATCCTTTTTTTGAAGTGCAGGTTAAGTCAAAGTCGAACAAAGTAACGAAATCATCAAATGTATAGACTCATTTTCTTGAGACCTATAACCAGAAACACCGGTGTACGTAGAGAAGAAACGCACATATTATTATTAACCAAAGGTTCCCACTAGAGGTTAAAGCAGATGTTAACGTAGCTCTGATGCTTTAGCTTTTTGTGACTGTTACGGTACATTGCAGAGCGAACATTTTGTACTGAAACCATAAACGTGTCTTCCGATTCACGGAGTACTTATTATACGGAGCAAAGGACAGAGAGGCTACCGGACACCAGTGTCCTTATCGATTAGTCCACCGCATTAACCGATTTGTTAAAACGAGTGTGTTTCACAAAGAAAAACGCCTCGGTTAATCTTTTGTTTACCAGCGATGTGCTCACTTATTTTCTTGGAAGAACAGGGAAGAAGTTTCTTGGATTTTCTCCGAAATAGTTAAGTTAAGTCTGTTAAGTTAGTTAGTCTACTAACTAAGAGATGCCGGCCCCACTGAGAACCACTGAGCTCATTGTAGGAAACACATGTTGCACGAAATCTACATGCAGAGAGGAGGGAGCGATGGTCAACAAGGGAAGTTAGTGACCTCATTGTTACTGTATTAACATCAGAAGGTGGTACACTCCTCTACAGCTGCACGAGGAAGCTTTATCTGAGAATATTTGGCCCGTAACGCCTCGTTCATACGCTCAGCAGGGATGCTCCCTTCCAACAGCTGACCGGTGAATTCCCTTGTCCCCCCCCCCTTCCAAGATGACGAGACGGGACGTCCGACTAAGTAAGCCATATGACTTCAGTGCACTTTTCTCATGCTCATTGATTCGTTCACTCATCCGAAAGACCGTCAGATATGTCACTTTAACATCATTCGTTTACCTCGAGCTAACCGGCTTCATATGCCTTTTGTACGCTGAAGGAATAGTTGCCCCGCGACACGACCCCGGATAAGCGGTTGACGATGGACGAAATAGTTACGCCATCTCTGAATGCACTTATTGTCTAGGCGTTTACACGTGTCGAACGAGAAGGGAGCGACTGGAGAACATAAAGGACTAGTACTTAAGCGGGGCTTGGTTTGGACTCACATAGTTGCACCACGTAAGCCTCGCACAAAAGCCTTTTAACCATCGTGGCCAAACGGAATCTCCAATGTAACATTCCCCAAAGGAGCAAATGTTTATTACATTATAAACCAAGTGACACGAAATAGTGTTAAATCTTTGTCTCTCCAGTTTGGTTTTTGTTAACGCGAGTACATTTCTTGTGTGTAGAATCTTTGTTTATGCCTTGCTGCTCTTTCGTGAACAGGCCAAAAGCGTCATCGCGTCATTTGATCGTTCACGTTTCAGAAGATGCTGTCGGGCAGCGAAGGATTTGTTTGAGATGCTTTGGTTTGACATCGGAAAATGATGTGGCTTAAAACTGTGATTTACAAAACCTCTGAAGAAACTGATGTAGACAGAACATGATTCACTGGTTTCAATAAACGTATTGATAAACCCCATCTGTGTGACCCTGAGTCCAGACATCCAACGGATTGAAAGCCCTGTGATGGAGGTAGAATAGAAAATATGCATAAGCACTTCTTCATAAGAACTATTACTTTTGTTAGTTTTTTGCAGCGCTTCACTGACACTTTGGCTGAGGGGCAGTTTTATCTTGTCCTTCACACTGAGGGAATAATTACATTTCTATAATTATAGGCTCCAGTAAATGTGCAGTAACATAAGACTCCCTTAAAGAAATGACACCAGTAGACTGTTTAAAGCAACTGGAGAAAACTCAAATGTATGACTGATACCTTTTATCTATCTGTATGTAAATAAAGAATAACGCAAAATTAAGATGTTTTAGTTTATATGTATAGAAATATGTTAAAATTAAATTAAATTAATTAATTTAATTGACTAAATGTAGTACAGTCACGCTAAAGGACCCTAAATACATTCGGCTAACAATACACGTGGTTTTAACTTTTTCAAACAACATGTGAGGTCAAGCGGGTCATGTAAGATAATATTTAAAAAAAATCCCATGTTGTGTTATGGTTGATGTAAATATTTATTTGCATCAATGAATTCATTGAAGAACATTCATTTTTCTCTCAGAGGGAGAATCAGAGAGTTCAAAGCTTTGCTTCACAGCAGCAGAAGAAATGAGCAGGTTGAGTCTTTGCTGACCGCAGAGAAGATTAAAGGCTGATGGGGAACGCCGAGTGTGGTCGGCATTAAAATCACAGAGCAAAGTATTAAACGCCCACACCTAATGCCGCACTGCTCCACCTGCTACCTGCAGTACGAAGTTCCTCTAGTTCGGCTACATCATTTTATCTCAATGTATGCATCTCATTATATTCTGTATTTAGAAATGAATGTGTCGTTTCTGCAAGTAGGCGTTGCACCTAAACAAGGCTTTAAACTCGTTACACGTCGGAGCCCCGGACGTTTGAATTGGAGTTGCCGGCATTGACGTACATTTTAAAATGTAGCTTCTAATGGCAATGCTCTTAATGTGTCATGAGTTCAACTACCATTCGACTAAACACTGTTTCAGTGTTAACTCCCGCTGGAATGTTTCAGACCCGGAGAAGGCATCACGGCTCGGTTAGAGCTCCCTCACACAATGCCTTTTTTTCACAGACTTTGTAACAAAGCCAAAGCTGCAACATTTTAGGTACAGTCTAGCCGTCTTCGCTCCAGCTCTCGCGCTTCTTGATAGGAGGAGATGTGAGCTAGGAAGGGGAACCGAGGTGCGGCTATCTCCTCCATCTAAAATTACAACACAAGGTGTATGAGTGAGAGAACGTTGGTATTTACCCAAATGATGAAACGGTAAACAACGACTTCTCAGAATCTTACTCACATTCGGAGACATTTGTCTTTCCCTCCACTGGCCACTCTTTGTCCATCGGGACTCCAGTCCACTGCATAAACCTGGCCGCCCAAAGAACAAGGAAGTTAAGATACGAGACGAGGATACCAATCAATGCAAATCTATCACAAACCTGCGTCCATCCTTACCTCGTCAGCGTGGCCGGGCAGGTCCATGTTCAGCTTCCCCGTCTTGATGTCCCAAACTTTAAGTGTGCTGTCACTGCTGCCGCTGACCAGCAGCCTGCTGTCTGCCGACCACGCCACTTGATACACGGATCCCACGTGACCCCGCAGGGATAATAGGTACCTTTGAGAACGTGGACATACATAAATACTTCTAAAGCCCACAGCACCATCACCTGGACAACAGCAGTACTGCACAGATAATTTGGGGAAAAGAGACTTTCTTACTTCCCAGTGCGTCCGTCCCAAATTTTAATGGACTTGTCAAATGAGGCGGACGCGATGAGCCTGCTGTCGGGGGAGAAGAGCACTTCATTGACCAGAGCGCTGTGTCCAGTCATCCTGGCCAGAGGTTTCTTTTCTTCTGCGGGGTTCCACAGGAACATGGTGAAATCGTCGGAGCCCGACACCAAGCGCTCTGGAGCTGAACTCTGCAGGACGGCAGCACGAGTCAGTGTACTGGCACATGACAGATGAAGACCTGAACATGTCGGCACAGGAAACAGTCGGTTCTTACCCTAACTTTATTATATCTCTGCAAAGCCCTCTCCTTCAGCTCTTCCACTGGGGAGGATAGAAAAACGCTTACATAAGAAACATCTCAGCCAGAAAGTCTTCTTCAGAGATCCCAAATGATCCCTCTAGCCCCATATGCTTAAAAGAAGAGGATCCTCACGCGATCCGGTGACGTCCTGGGGGTTGATGGTGGCGGAAGCAGGTTCAAAAGCTCCCGTGCGCAGGACGTAGTCTGTGCTGAGAGCCAGGGTGTTCACCCAGTGGGCGTGACCCTGCAGAGTCCTGCACTGTACACCCTAAACAGCAATAAACACACATATCTCTCCTCCACATTCAAGTATTTCGGTGTGTAGCAACCAATATTCAAAGAGTTCCGTCACACACACATGCATGTATCAGCACACACACACTTACGTCTTTGGCTCTCCAAACTTTCACCGTTCTGTCCTGGGAGGAAGTGTAAAGAAGTCCGTCTCCTCCCCACTTCACACAGGTTACTGACTGAGTGTGTCCGGTCATGATCTTCTCACAGCGTCCCAGCACCGTGTCCCAGACACGTATTGAGCCGTCCTTAGAGCTGCTGGCTAAGTACCGACACTCTGGGTTACTGAAGGGGGAGGAGGATCCGAGAAGAAGTAAATCAGGACAAAATACAACATGTAGTAAAACGCTCCGGAGACCTGGCATCATGCTATTTGCTATTCAACAAGCCTCTGGTACTCAATGCAATTTCTCATTGACCACTTATCGCATTGTTTTTCCAAAGATAAATCTATGTATTCATGTCTTTCCATGTTGTAAAACAAATCAGCAACCACACACAATTTGTAACCATAGTAAACAACTCAAAAAATACAACTTTAGCAGCATGTCAGAGTGGGTTTTGGGACTTCAACCTGGATTTGTCCATATGCCAACATTCACCTCTCCTCAAGTGTTTTGAGAAGTCAAATCTGGGGTTAAAGGTCTTGTACATACTATGTTTTAGTTTTGAGAGTTCAATAGAGATAGAATAGAGAAAGATCTGCACTTGCTCGTGATCACAGGTGACGTTAATAACATTAAGGATGGCTCTTTTCTATTCAAGTCTCCAAGTTAGTAGTGACAGGGGGTATTAAAATAGGACACTAAAACAAACATTTTACAAAAAAAAAAGAAAATGCCCACAATTGTTGTAATTTTGCAGTTTCACAAGTGAAATCCATCAGAGCCTGAAGCTGCATCCAAGTGGGATTTTAGGTCAGCAGTAAAATATGCCACATTTACAGAACCAAATGAGATAAATTGATGAAGCGAGTGCTCACAGGTGAAGAGGTTCCCAGCTGAGCCAAGTGATCCACTTGGAGTGTCCGGTCAAAGTCTTTCCGATCTGTTTACCCGTCGCTGGATCCCACAGACAGATCTACAGAAACAGTGCCACACAAAAATAAATACAGTGTACAAGAGATGCAACTCAAAAACAAAACCCCTTACTCTGTGTGCTGCCAACTCACCTGACTGTTCTTGCACCCTGAAGCCAGCTTCTTGCCATCAGGTGACCAGGTGATGCACAGTACCCAATGGGTGTGTCCTTCAATAAAGCAGATTACATCTCATTGGTGTTCAGAATCCTTGATCATCGTTGGTATCTAGAAGTATAGCAGTTCACTCGCTTGTAAAAAGGTTTTTTTCATACCTCTGGCAGTGTGGTGGGGAGTCTCAGTAGTCAAGTCCCAAAAACGTACTGTGGTATCACCTGAGCCGCTGGCCAGGTATCTGAAACAAGGGGACAACAGAATTAAATCTAAATACAATCCCCTTGTGTGTTCAGACCAACCAGGATACAGTCACCCCTGTAATTGTTGTTGTGGCGTAAGGAATCTCAGATAAATCAGCACAAAGAACTTCCGTCACTCACTTGCCAGTGGGGCTGAATGCAGTCGAGATGACAGCTTCTGTGTGTCCCTGTAGGGTGCTGGTACAGCGGGCCACAGCTCGAACCCTGAACACGGCCTGAGGCTGGTATACCACCGGCACGACCTGCTCCGTCTCCACCCCGAGAGCCTGCACGCACAGTCTCAGACTGGACACCACCTCAGCCTCGCCACGCACAAAGAACGCCAGTGGCACTGGCTCATCCTACAGTGAGTAAGAGAAAAATATATATATATATATATATATATATATATATATATATATATATATATTTAGAATGGTTATCTTCAATATGTATCCTTAGTAATGTATAATGTCTAAAAAAAAGGGTTCAGACAGAATGCATTTGGTTACCTGGATAGTATTGCTTATATATGAGATTTATCGTGGTACATTTACAACGATAACAGCGAGAAAAGCAGTCAAGACTACAGCAATTGGTGTTGCCATCGTAGAATATATAAAGCAATACCTTTCCAGTATAGGAATGCTGCATGTTACACTGAGAAACATGTTGTGGATGGCTGGATAAACAAATCGCTACATCTGTTATGTTGTGAAGGGGTTACCTTCTGCAGCAGAGCATTGCAGACCAGCTGTAGTTTGTCCGGGGTGATGTCCAAAGGGACATCGAAAGGAGAGCCCAGAACTTCCCCTTCTTCATCCTGAAACTGGATCAGCAGACGCTCCACGTCCTCACTCGCCATCCTCAGATTTGGATCTAAAAATACAGACGTAACGTTAAACTTAATTTAAGTACGTGCGACGGAGTTGTTGTCACGTGTCACATTTGTGAATAAGGGGACATTATAGCCAGCTAGCAAACGTAAACTAACGTTACCTCAGGGAATATTCATTACGTTGACTCAATTACGTTACTTCAGAAAACACGACAAATAGCAATGCATTGCAAGGTCATGTTTTAAATGATTACACCGTTTTAGACTAAATCCTTCCACAAGAAGTCGACTATTTTCGTGGTTTACTTTTAGCTAGCCAACGTCAAGCATCTATGCTGTCAACCAGTTAGCCCCAAGCTAACCCCGCTAGCCTGCTGTTAACGAACATTTCAGACCCCTCGTTCCTCTCAGCAACGATTGGAAATGCCGTAAGATAGCCGCTATTTCTTAGCATAACTGTGTCGAGTTTTATATGACATGGAATTGGCACATAATAGTGCGAAAACTTTACCTTTAGTGAGATAGCAATGTGTTCGGACTCCCCACGTGTAACTCAGCGAAGAGCCTTTACAGGAGAGATACCACAAGAACGCGTTGTCGAGTGCCCAGCGGACTCGCGCAATGATTCATGGGAGAACGATGACGGGATGACTACAGAGCAGTGAACAATAACAATGGTTATAATAATGATGATGATAAGAATAACAATATTAACAACAATCGTAATGATAATAATACTTTTTAAATATTATAATTATAATCAATATTGTACATTTCTACCTCTACAATGAGTTATGTCATTGTTGATTGTAAGATATAGGCCTAGTATATTATTAACATCGAATATACAAATATGTTTTACTGTTTCCTTGAGCACAAATCCCAAATGAATCACTTCAAATGCCAATAAACTCTCGTAGTCAACTTTTAATTTTCTGTTTTAATTAGATCTGAAACATTTTCCGGGGGTTTCACAAATTGACATTAAAGGCATTTTTCCTGACACTTTCCAACCAACATGTGGTAATTCATGCATGTCATTCCACATTAAAACACATGATTCCAATATAGGTTATTGCTGATCATTGTGCACTGTTGCTGTGATGTTGATAACTCAATCAACTAGAGACAATTTCACTATACCACAACCATGTTTACAATTAGTTATTCTTTGACAGAAAAATCATCATATTTGCATTGAGACAGAAAAAGGCATCCTCTGTAGCACTAATGTGAGCCGCTACAGTTAACAAGTTTAAAGCAGGATAGATAAATAATTTATTCCACATACAATATAATCAGGAGTCGGTTCACTGCCTTTGAGTTGGTCATAATACACATAAAAAATATGTGTTAACTACAATTGTTATAATGCAGTATGATTAAAGTCTTCATCAACACCCACATCTAATGTTAAATGTTCTTAGAGGACGTAATTTGTCCATTATAGTTTATATATTGTTCTCCCATTTGTAGCATTCCATCCAAAAACACTAGAGTTCCACAATCCATTGCATGAATTAAAAAAAAACTCAATTACCAGATGTATCCTTCTGCATTAAAGTAACAGCCAACATCAGCATAGAATGTTCTATACAGTCCCCAATGACCTTCTGCACTGGCACTAACATACTGTAGCCCAAATCAAAACATAAAAGTGTATTTTCAAATATAATTTGACCATGGAATGTATTGACCTGCAGTCACTACAATTACAAACAAAATGTGACTTTGTCCTTTAAAAAGGCCTGTGGAGAAAGTAGGATGCTTATTACAGCAATACATCAAATTCGTTGACAAAGTGTTTCAGCGAGCGTAAAACTGACTTAAAGGGAACTTCTTAAAGGCAAAGTTGGAAACAACAAGTTTAAGTTTTTGGACATTATTTACTGACTGAATCTGCTTATCCAGTAGTGATTATTAAGTTGATCTTGGGGCCTTTCAAAGACACAATAAATGCTCTGTGAATTTCCAGGGTAGAGAAATATGATTTGGGAATGTGGTGAATTTGTTCTCATTGGTTGAGTCCGTTGATGTTTTCAGGAACGAGACCTTCCATGACGGCACGCTTTGACTCCAGGATCTGCAAGATTGAAACAAAGAGGAGCTATTTAAACAAAACAGTCCCCTTCCTCCTCCAAATTTAGCTACATCTGTTCAAACCCTCTACTACAATAGTGAAATGCATGGAACTGTTAGGATGAAAATGAAATTCTGAAGTCTTGTTTAATTATATACAAACTCTACTTTGTTTCTTGAAGTACAACCTTGAATGTTCGACACAATCCTCTCCTTAAAAAACGGATAATACGTCACTGACATGAAATAAGATGTGGCAAACTCACCTGGAAGTCAGCACTGAGGCCGATGATGCTTTTCATGTTTGTACTGTAGTAACCCAAAACGTAATGTCCACTCAGCAGAGGGATCTCGTCCTTATCAACATGTAGCTGTAACCAAAACATGCACATTCATATAAATTCATTCATTGTCTAAACATCATTCAAATGTCTCACTTGCACTTTACCTGGATGACTTCATTTATCTCTGGCAAATCTTCCTCTCTAACCCAGACAAAAGTTTCATAATCAAACGCACTTTTGAATCCCACCTGCGGGAGAGTAGACACAATAGTTCAAATCTTTCTTTTTACTAAACTGTTTGTTGCCCCCTCTGTGTCCCAGTACCTTGTACAGGCCGATCCAGTCCCACGTGGAGGACAGGAAGTCCTCCTGCACGGTGTAGTTGAGAAGGGCCTCCTGGTCGGCGCTCCACACACCCAGAGGAGATACGTGCACCAGGGGTGTGTCGAAGCACTTCTTCAGCTGGAGGGGAAGGCAAAAGGAAACAGAAGGAGCTTTATCAACGCGGCGTGTCAGAAGTTTGTGTGACAATCCACGCAAGCCTGCTCTCACCTCCAGGCTGAAGGTGGCAATGACGGGCTTGTGGTCACTGGCTCCGTAGCTCATGTCACTGGTGTACTTGTCCTGAGTGACCAGGAGTGGATACTCATCGACACCTTCATCGGAAGAAGTCGAAGCCTTCTCATCCTCATCCTCTGATGGGAAGGTCTTGGGTTTGATGCGCCAGAGGATCCGATCCGTCCAGGCAGGTTTCCTCTTCTTGCCACTGAGCAAAGCAAAGCAAAGCATAGTGGGCATCACGCAGTTCCTCTGTTTCTAATTCTCATTGTGGATATGTCACGGATCTAACAACTATTATTATCACACAGCAATATTAGACACAATAACGAACACAAACCACACACACATACATGCAGTGTGATACCAGCATGCAGTGGAGAAACAACGGCTGTAAAGAAAAACAGTATCACAGCTTGTGTAGAGGCACATTCACTATAAAACAACACATGCATTATGCAGGGACAAACAAAGGGGTGCCGGGTGGAGGAGGAAGTCGTCTCAGTTAATGAATTAGCAGAACGCGTCTGAGGGTTATTACATCCACTCCATCTCATTTATATCAGTGTCTCCAGTTCTTTTGGGATTGTACTGCACATTGAACCTTCGAAGTGCCTGTATTGTATCGTTTGGGGGGGGCGCTCTTATTCCTACAGACACCCACCTCGGCGGGTCTAGCTCCCTGTGCCAGGCCCCCAACCACACAGAGAGCAGCCCCCAGGTGAGGGAGGTGAGGAGGAAGAAGAGGGTGGTGCTGCAGCGCTGCAGGGGCCGGGGTCTGTACATGGTTAGGGGCAGCACCACAGTGCTCATTCTGAGAGGGACACATACGTGGTGCTAGTGTCAGGGACGAATAGAAGCTCCCAATAGCCCCTGTGCATTAAGGGCTTCCTGCCCCGGCGGCTTTGGGTTCCTGTTTAGTGTGTCTCAGGGGTCACCTGTAACGTGTAGAGACACTTTTAACTCCCGGGGAGAAGAAAGAAGGGGCTGTGGCTCGGAAATAAGGGAAGTGCGAGGTAGGGCCAGAAAAACCTACAGTGCTTCTTACGTAAAACCAAACCATGTCCTCGGAGGGCTGCGCAGAATTCAACCGGAAACAAGAAAACAAGTTTGAGAAATGAGACACGCGATGAGTGTTTGGGTTCTATGTTTGTTTGTTTCACATGTTACCTGGTGTCGTAGGTTTCAGAGTTACGGTCAAACTTGTAGGTGGGTTTGAAGTTCAACGGCCCTTCCTCAAATTCCTGCAGGAAGGCTTCCGTCTTCTTCATCATGGTGAGCTGCACACAAAAGACAGTGAGTGAGTGCGGGATACTGTTTGTGCGTGCGCATGCTCATTTTCGGTCACGTCACCTGGTCTTTGTTCCACAGCAAATTAAGGCGCCCGCTGTTAATGGACGAACGGAGGAAGTGCAGGCCGTGGTCCGCAATGCGGAAGTTCAGGTCGCCAAACCAGAACACCGCCCTGTGAGACAAGGATGGAGCTTCTTTTGTTCTTTTTTTTTAACCCGTTACACGACGTATATTTCGGAGTGTGCGATTGAGAGGCTTTGTCTGTGTGCACCACTGACTTGTGGTCCCTGACGTGTGGGGTGTCAGAGAGGTCGAGGTCTTGAGTCTCCAGGATGTACTCGATCTCATCCACCCGCTGCAGGGCGTAGTTCATGTGGGCCGCTAGGTGGCAGTTAAGAAAGCACACCATGTGGCCGTAGAAGGAGAAACGGACGGTCACTCCTCCTTTATTACCCTGTCACAGATAAACAGGAGGGGGCTCGTGAATATCAAGAATATTCAAAATATTGATTCATTTATTGCTGTGAAATATACTTTAGTTTTAGCCACATAAAGATTTCCAATAATCCAGCAAGTATTTGCCCCCGTGTCCTGTTCTTTGTTAGAGGTTTCATTCAGTCAAAGCTGTCGCACATCCCACTAAACAAACACAATAGGCTTTTACGTAATGTGTTTAAACTCTGCAGCATCTGATGCCGACGGCATTCCTGGTGTGCAGAGTTTAACAGCGTCGCTGTTGATACGGTTCAGGGACGACCAGCGCTTTCATCGCGATAACCTACCCAGTAACCAAAGAAACCGGTCCGAGTGTAGGTGGCCTGGATGTTTCTGATGAAGGGGAGATGTAATTGTTTGGCGAAAACCAGCAGCAGCAAACCCTGCATCCTCATTGATGTGACCTAGACAAAGAGGGAGATACATTTTATGAATCCTTTTTTATGAATCAACTTTCATTTGTGTTCTTTGTCTGTTTCTGTAAATATGCAACACCATGAGGGACAGTACTTTGGTTTAATGATTAAATCTGTTTGTATTTGAGGATTTGTTGCATGATAGCTTGAATCTTATGTTTTGTGAGACCAACCTTGGCCTTCCAAAGACTATTATTTACACTGTGTTAATGAATATAGATTTATGACTTCTGTTTATTTCTGCCATTTTCCCTTTTTCCCTCCCCCATCTCTCTCACCTTGACAAAGCCTCTGGGTGCCAGTGTGTCCATGAAGACATGGCTCCAGGCGTCCTCCGCTAACAGGTCGGAGATGAACCTCACAGGTGTGGCGTTTACCTCTTGCAGGCTGACATACAACAACACAAAGCGATGCAGACAGTTTAGAATCTTTTTTTCCCCCTTCGTCCTTCATCTTCGCGCCCAGATTCCAGATTGTTTTTTTTCTCACCCGATCACGTAGAGGTCTGCGGGGGGCTGGACATCCAGCTGCAGCAAAGAGGTGACGTCTTCGGGGGGCTCCGCCGTGGCCACGTTCCAGGTCACTATGTGCAGCCTGTCAAGTGTTTGATTATGACAAAAATCAACCATCTAATACAGTATTGAACAGTTACACTGAGGCCTCGGACATGGATAATACTATTTATTATTGTTATTAGAATATAAATATCATATCTCTTTACAACATCCACATTTATTCGATTGAATAATTAGACACCACTAACAACGGATTAGAAATATAGATAAACCCAAACACTTGCTGCCTGTGTGTACATGAATAAGCTTGTTCGCATGTCGACCTGAATGCATCTGTGGGAATGAAGCGGCCGCAGAGCTGAAAGGCTTCGTCCAGAGTGCGGGACACTTCTTCGCTGGCCTCGTCATCGGAGCTCATGTCGTCTATGCAGGTCAGCAGCTGAGACAAGCGCTGCCGGAGGAGCATCTTGGACCTCGAGCCCTGAGACACTGAGCTGCTCACGCTGTCGGAGCGCACGCGTGGAAGGTCTGTGAAGGGCTCCATCTTTTAAATCCCCGCGGGGTTAGTTTTGCTACCTGTTTGTCCTTAAGGTCGGGAAGGTTACGTAAAGATGACTAAAATAGAAAATAAAGGAGCTGTCCTTTCAGGGCAAAAAGGTAAAATCCAGTGGAAGAAATCCCCTCCCCCCCCGGCTTGGTTTCTCCTCAGGCTTCTTTGGCCAGTTCGGTTGTAGCCATTAACGCGGCCCGCTGCTCAGCTCCCTGTGAGCAACTTGAACTGATTCCTAGTGAGTCGAACCTCTCCTCAGGTCCTCCCAGCCGGCCGTATAACAGACCCGAAAGCAGGCGGTCCAGTCCTCGCTGTGGCAGAGTCCCGTGTGGTCATGCAGTGGGGTCGACTGAGGAATGCGGGCAGGAGGGAGTCCGATTTGGACGGTAATCGCAGGCAGGAGACGGGCATGTGAATGTGCATGTGCGTGTGTGTGTGTGTCGTCACAGTAGAAGAGAAGGACTGGAGTCTGATCCTCATTGTGACTGGTGTTGCAAGACTTGAGAAACCCTTCAGATTGCTAAGAGGTTTATTAGCAGCAGGACACTGAACAATGCATGTAACCCCGCAATTATAGTCGTGCATTAGTGAGGGGACAACAGCGCACAATAGCATTAGCTTCTTTTGGCCTTAATCCAGTCTCTCCTCGTGTAGGTGAAAGGTTATCCTGGGGCGTTTAGAGGAGGGGGGGTTAAATTTAGTCGTGTAAGCCGTGACATGTTTTTTTCTGAGAACAAAAGCTTAAATAATTGTGATCAACAACTTTTACAGCACAGTTAATAGCAGACGAATTGTCCTAAATATGCAAGTTCTAAATGTTGGTTCATATTTAGGTGCTTTTCATAGATTTCAAAACTACAAGCCAGGTGAGATAATATAATATAACTTTAAATGCAGTTTAGTTTTCCAAATAAAGTTGTGTGTTTTGGAAAAAGTGTCTCTCTAGTAAAAATTACTACGATTAAAAAGATTTTGTTTACACATTTGCTTTAATAATTTAGAGATCCCAAACAATATACACTGTAGTTATAATGACTAAATTATTTTTAATGTGGCTATAATGTTGCTAAAGCATTAAAAAGCCTATATTCTCTTAATGTTTTACCTTTATTCTTACATAAAACACCTTGTTTGATTGACTGAAACTATGAACGGTTATAATTTAAAATTAATTGTATACAGACATTCTGTTGATTGTTGTTACCCTGTTTCGGAGATTATGTGACTGAACCACATTTGTGATTGTCCTGTGTCTCACTAACAAACATTTTACTCTATAACATTATTGCCCCATGCAAAATAAAAAACCTCCGGCGCCCCAGTTCTCGCTGCCACTTGATGTAACAGTGTCACATGCAGAGTCTTAGGGCACATTCTTTAGCACGCAGAAGTGTTAAGTGGATAACCGGGGGGTCCACCGGTCCAGGGAGAAATGAGGAATTGGAGGCTATTTAAGTTTTATCACAAAGCTCTACAAAGTCTCAGAATCTGCAGTTACAAGGCTCCTTCGAAAGGTTAGGCGACTCAAACACCGTACAGGTGGGTTAAACCCGCTCTCTGCACTCTCTACATGCCTGAAGTCAATGAAGACAATTTGGTTTATTTGGGATTCTGAACTCACCTGCACTTGTCTCTCCCACCGCTTTGTAATCTTCCAGTGCTCATTTTCTCCCCTGTCGGAAGACACAAGCAGACGTATGCCTGACTAAGAGGAAACACACAGGATCCAGTATAGTTTCCTCTATGAGAGCCAGTTTAAAGGAGCACACACACCACTGCCCAGTAAAAACAGAGCTCACAGGGACGCCTGAAAGTCATTTTTGAAATGGCTTCGTAATCCTGTCAAGTCACGGTTAGCTTCATCCACGTTAATGTGGAAATGCCCTGAAGGTCACATCTGATAACGGAGACACTTTACCTGAGAGCCATTTTGTAAAACTCAATAAACAGATTGTGATAACTTTTGAGTTTTGTGCATTGGTGCTATGAATCTCTGACGGTGGGATGATCTAATCTTAGTGGGTGTGGGCCTAAATGAGTGAGCTCAATTGCAAATACAGCTGAAATACTTCAGGAAGGCTGTGTACAAAAGGACCTGCAATGTTGATATCCAAAATGTTTCTAAACAGTTTTTCAAACTATAATTGCACATGCAGCAGACACAGAGCTCCACAGCATCCATTTTGGGGTTTTGTCTCTGGTCATCTGACAAATCGAGTGGATGGACGTATTTTTAGAGTTCTTTTGACTATTGCTGAAATAAGCTCTATATTAAACACTAGTTTATGATCCTAATTTTGGTATTAAAATCCCGTCTATGATTTTTGAAGCGAGAATACGAGAAGTAAAAACCAGTTGCAAACTCGGTTTGTCTGTTTTTTGGCGCGAACAGGTGGTTTACAGTTTTCTCTGCTTTAACCATCTAACTGCTTCCACCTCAACCTGACCTCACCAATGTTAAGGCTAAATTCTGTAAATCATGTGAATGGGTCCTTGTCTCTAAGGCAAATTATGCATTTTTGTAAAAAATACAGGCACTTAGAGCTGAATTGTACAATATTGTCAATTGTAAAAAAAAGAGTCCCTACAATGTTTTTCCAAAACCAGTTCAACATTTTCAGTATTTCTCTTCAGAAACCTTTTTCTTCACACAGTTCTCTACTTGGACAGAAACGGGACAAACATTCGCCTCCTCCCCGATGCAAAACAACAATATCATGACAATAACCTCAAATGATTTGTCCATTTTACATATGAGCTGGACAAAAAATCCTTTCAGTACCTTTATCCGTGTGCCTTTCTTGTGGTGTCCGGAAAAAGCCGCAGACCCCGTGAGCGCAGACGACGAAGGTCTCACAAGGGGAGCCAAGAGACTGGATCTGCTTCCCTGCGTTGAGTCCCGTTTTTTGACCGGTTTGTGCTCTTTTTTTTTTTTTTGGTTCCCTCACTTTGTTCTCTGCTGCTCTCCTTCAAGCTCCCTCACTCAACCTGCTGTGGACTTAAAGCGTAACATCGGATCAAGCTATTATCCCAGGTTGGTTAACAGCCCGGGGAGAAAGTATTATTTACTTCATGAATGGACATGTCTGTTTATTGAGTGTCACCATGACGCATGGTATTTTGTTGCACCAAAGCCTTCTTTGTATGTGCAGAAATAATCCCAACAGTATGGAATGCGTACGGCGCTCTGCTGGTGTGCTGTGATTTCAATGACAACACCGAAAGCAAAAGTGATTTTGGAAAGTTCAACGATGGGAAATGTTCCTGAGAGTTTAGATTTTTACAGGGTCTGGTATTAACGGGTTGGCAGTTGAAAATACATTAAAGTATTTCAAATAGCAAGTTGGACATCAATTTTTCATTTAGAGCACATGGTTACCTAATTATTTTGATCATTTTGAATGTCATACCAGATGAACTACAATGACACACATTGTGTAAAGTCTCCTAAACATCTGACAAAATGTTTAGCAGCTCGCTCCCCCTCCGCAGCCTCATAATCAGGAATTAAAGTAATCTTTGCCATCCAAAAATGATTAGTTTTCCCCTGCCACTCTGTGCAGTATTGTGTGTGTATAGCCCAAGACAGTCGTCTTCCACTCTGTATATATGTACGCTGGACTAATAAAACAAATCTCGCCTTTTATTGCCCAAAAGATGAATGAATTGCCTTCTAATCATTCATTTTTAATGCTCTAAAGTAAAGTTAGTCTGTCCATCATCAGTGAGGATAGTTTCAGTAAAGCAGGTCATAAAAAGCATGGAGTGTGAATCACGTGACACTGGGAAGGTGGCAGCTGTAACTGGCCAACCGACATATTGGGCATTTTAATGAGGTTACACAGTCACACGTAACTGCTCCCCAGGTTACGACGCCGGTTATGACGCCGATAAATAAGGGAGGAGGTCTTTGCTTTTTTATCCCAGTACGGTAAAAAAAAACATTCACATCAAAACGCGTGTACAGTTGCTTTGCTTCTTTTTATTCATTTCTTTAGGTCTCCAATGTACAGCAGTGTTATTGGAAGATGACGAAAAAGGCACAAATTCACAATAAAAGAAAAGAAAAAACGGGAGACAAGTTAACAGGGGTGACAGAGAGCAAGAGAGAGACTTTTTAAAACAGTTTGGGGTGGTGGAATCATTTGGTTTCATATTCTGATTATAAATTGAGGAATCTAACAACAGATACAGTATCTATGAGATTCGCTCTGTTCTCTCACAGGTCTGTGGACCTGGTGTCAGCATGTTTTCAACCACATCTAATCGTCTTTTTTTAATTTTTTTTTTATCACCGAGACTGACACATCAGCTAATTATGTGGATCAATCAACTGACCCAGGCTGCCGTTACATGTTCCTTTTCCGCGTAGAGAAGCGAGTGTAGTTCAGAGACCGACAACAGAGGTACGACAACACTCGGAACAAAAATATATATCTATACACTGTCCTGCCAATAAAACGTGGTCCCTGTGGGGGAGAAACAACGTGCGAAAGAGCGGAAATAGCGAACGGGGTGTAAATGTGTTTTTTTCCCCTCCAATTACAAACCACACGCAGCTCTTCACTGCTTTGCTGCTACGCCCTAAAGACCTGCAGCAAGATCATCTTTAATATGTGAGTGTCTCTTTTTAAATGTTTATAGCTATTTCTGAATGTCTTGCCAGCATTAAAGTTCAGCAATCAAAACTCTACAACTCCTCACAATAAAACCCAACTGGTACAGAGTGGTCTGTGACGGAGTAAGAGGATGGAGTGTCAGGAGGGCGCGATGGCGGTCTGGCAGGACAGTCTGATCTATATATATATATATGTGTTCATCTAAATTACTTTATTTAGTATTTACAAAGTCAATACATACAGTACATCCACAAATCTCCATGATTCAGTTGATGGCCCCCCCGTCACAGACAGTGAGTGAGATGCTGGATGGACACACACAGAGGTGAAGGGTCGGACATCCGGGTCCAGCGTTTTCTTTAAAAGGGGAGGCAACAGAAACGCAGTAACGAGATTAAAAAAACTTGATCCCACATACAGAAATAAAGGGATATGAAATAAGTCACCCAAGAGGAAGCAGGTATTAACTTCTATGCTTAAACGGTTGCCAATAATGCCCTGAGCAGTTTAGTGGCCGTTTTTACGCCTTTGGTATGCCTGGCAAGTCAAATACATTTTACATGAATTGGCTGAGAGATGATCGCACAATAACGTTAGTAAAATATCATCCTGTAAAAAGTAGTTTAAATGCTTCTCACCTGTGTGCTATAATCACAATTTAAGAGGCTGTGGAAGACTGGCGTAAATGCTGCAATGTACAGAAAATCCACCACAATTCGATGAGCACCTCAGGGTGCTATCACCAATATTTAAAGATATTATAGCAATCCTGTACACAATCATTATCTGCTGTGCACTGTCATGATAAGAGTTTAGACTGAATTTAGCAGATTATTAATTCTTCTCCTGATTTCTTTTCCAGACCGAGCTGCTCCAGACCGGACAACAAATAACAAATAAACAAAATAAAATATTAGGCCAATGCAGGCCTTTTATTACAAGCTGGAATTGATACAGTCTTCGTTTGAAAAGCCCTTCGGTGGAACTGCTATTCATACTCTTCAACATTCAATCAAAATGTGCGCGTGTGTGTGTGATCCTCGTTCTGATGGTTTCGTCATTATCCGTTGCTCGCTCTTTAAAGTTCCACGCGTCTATAAGATGGTGTGTGGGGAAGGTAAATAGAGGACGGGTAGTAAGAGTAACTGAGGTCAAAGGAGGCCTAACAGACGTCACTCCACAGCTGTATCACTTCCTCCCTTCTTCACCAGCCACCATCAGATCTTTTCAAAGACACTACTGTACGTCACTCGTGTACACTCATGCGAATACCGAAAAAAACACCAATACACGTAACAGGCTTCAGATTCAAGTAGGAGAGAAATCTGCCTCATCCAAAGGCAAACACAATAAAGCCAGCATTTAATAATTAGTTCATCAACACCGAAACCATCCTTGACCTTCAGCGTGAGCATTACTGTTTCCCGCATAGGAGCAAACAGTAGCGTAGGTTACATTTGTGATGATAAAAGGGAACCCAACGTGTCATGGTAGTTATTGCTATTGCTGGATAAGACCATTTATCCACTGGAGGTGACGGAATGGCTGACGGGGCAACAACTTATGCAGATCCCATAACGTTTTACTTTCAATGACTAATGTATCTATCTACAGCAAGCGGCAGGAGCTGTGTATTGATGAAGGTTGCTAATGTTTAAATCACACAGTTTGCAGCTAAAAGGACGTGAAGACCCATCTATGGCCGGTCCAATACGTGTGTCGCTTTGCACTTTTCTATTGCACTAGCATGTGTGTGTGTGTGTGTATATGTTTAAATTACTGCACTCCCTACCAGTTGAAGCCGATGAGCTTGAAATGATCTGGAGAGTGAAAAATGAAAAACATGGCTGGAAACCATGATGAGTTTACAACGCTACAGAACTACACACAGGTACACACACACACACACTCGCACACAGAAACTCGCAAAGCAGCAGAAAAGCCAATGGATGCCTCAACATATAAAGGAAGATACTATCTGGCAGGTCAGGAGTACAGTAGAAACAAAATAACCCTCTTAGCAGCACAGCCTCATCCTCACAGCTGTGGTTTATAGAGTTGCACATCGGTTTGAACAACGAGAGCAAACACTGCATATAGCAGGTCCCACATGGAGAGTAGGAGGTATGATGACAAATCCAAAAATAATAATGAGAATCACAGGATCATAACTGAACACTGAACAGATAACGTGTTCTGAAAAAAATTACAACAAACGTCCACAGACAAAAATATTTTTAAAAACCATGTCCTTATATATTTATATTTATATATGTATATTTATAAATGTAAGTCTATATATATTTAAATACAATTATTCAGCTCCCCAATATATGGTATACTGTCTATATACACCACTGGGTTATCTGAGGCAAATAAATCCTAAATTGCAGAGATAAATGACAACCTTCTCTGTAGTTTAGACACTGAGAGAGAAAAAGAGAAGACGGACTCATCTAAAGTGCTACTGGAGGCCTCAGAGCACTTAATAAGATGGGGAAACAATATGGATGGGGCTCAAGGGAGACGGGATGTGGTGGTGGAGATCATCTGAAAACTGGGATTTCACTGGGTCCAGGTCCCTAAAAAACAGATTGTACCAGGGATGAGGGTGGGGTGGGGTGGGGTGGGGGGTGGGGATTTGGACCAGCCGGTCAGACGTTGCGGTAGTAGGTAATAGACGTAGCATGTGAATCCGCTGGTATCTGGGTAGTCTGGTCTGAAAGAAAAAGAAAAAAGGATGAGCATATATAATTATACATGTATAATGTATTTTTGTATAGAGAGACAGTCAATATCACAGATACCAGAGGTGCCATGAACATAAACCGTTAAGTTCCTCTAACCTGATTAGCAGCCGCATTCACTGTCCAACACGACCTCAGTCCTCTAGAGCCACCATCCCTTTCACTGGGTCCTTCACTCTCATCTGACGCACCAAAGACAAACAGATATGTTTTTACTGTATGATAACACACATTGGTAGACACATACACTCAGAGCCTGTCCTGTTCCAGGACTATATTACTAATGTTTTAGTTTTATATATCTACTGACATAAGAAAATTTAAAAAAAACGCACCTCATCTAGCTCTTTGCGTGTCTCCTCCTCCATGCGGCGGATGTCTCCCATGTTCAAGTCAATCCACTTGTCAATCCAGCAGAACAGCTGACGGTGGAAATTAGTGAACAAACGCTTCTCTTGCTGTAAAAAAAAAACATGAGATAAAGAGAAAGTCATTCTGAGGTTTGAGTAATGTAAACAGATTTTCTTTCACTCCAAATGATTTAAGTGTTTAATTCCATCCTGCTTTTCCTAGTTTATCCTAGAGGCTGGTGCAGTCTACATGTATGGCCTCGTGGTGGGTGGTACTTTTCCACTGTAACCTCAAGCTAACGAGACAGTACTAACCTAACTAACCTGAGAGTTGTACTGATCACTTACTGATAAACTGGTAAGTGCACACAGTCCACACCGTAAACACACCTTTTGAATGAAGCTCTCCACTTTATTTTGCAGGCCCCACCACTTGAATTTGACGGTGACCAGTTTGTAGGCACACATGTGTGGGCAGTCTGTCTTCTTAGGAAGTTCCTTCTGCAAGTGCACAAATATACATACAGGGAATTTTTAAACAAAGACTCCTGGGCTACATAGTATATAGACATTTATTTTTATTTAGTTCTACAGTCGCAGTCGGCGCCTGGGGCCACAATTTGGAAATAGTGACTGTTTGGACTAGAATTCACATGTTTAAATGGAGTAAAAACAATGCAGCATTATTGATTTGGTGGCAGAGTACCAAACACAAAAAGATTCAGCTTAAGCAAATAAGTGCGCAAGAAGAGAAAAAGAACATAGGACATCAAGAAAACCAATAAAGTCAAGAGGGCACACAAGCTCCTCTTATTCATCTCATTGATCATTCCAAAACACAAACATTTTCAGTACAACACGGCCGTCTAGGGTGTGAAAATGGAAGTTAAACGCTGCCTTTTTTTATGTATCACAGCATTGGCTTGTACTGTATATCCACGGTATAGTTCTTCAAGTGTCCAATTACTTCAGCAGTGACTTAACATAATAACAAACAAGTACCGTGGGATTATTCTGCCCTTAAATATGAACAGTGTGGAGTATAGAAGTTCTATGTTGATCGTGTACGTCAGTGGTTTCAAATGTGAACAAGTGAACAACGAGGCACCGTACCTTCCAGTCTGGTCCCAGAGGGCCTCGTCCTGTCTTCACTGACTTGTACCTGCAAGGATCCTCCTCTGGCTTGTAGTCCTATGGAGCGGCAGGGATAAAACAGAGCAAACAACATGGGTGAGTTTTTTTTTTCTTTTACAAAAACTACAAAATCACTTTAAATGTCTCAGTGTTGGTCGTTGGAGTTCAACTTTTTCACCTTTGAATCCACTTGGCTTCTGTCCGCGATATCAATATAAACGACATCCACTTTCTTCCAGGTTTCTGCATCCAAACCATGTACCTGAAAGTGAGCACAGAGCGCATCTCAACAGGCAGCCCGCATACACAAGACACAGGGTAAAAGCAATTTTATACGCAAGTGTGATACCACCATGCACAGGCGACACGTTTCTCTGGTAATAAGTTGAGCCCTTTTTGTGCAGTTTCTCCTACAATTTCCTACACAAGTATTTATTGAGCAATTTTTATTTAGAGGACAAAAACCGGCTGAAGTAGTGTGAAAATGGTTAATTAGTGTGAAAGTGTTTATAGTAAACCACAAACACCCTAAACCATTAGCAGTGTAAAATGACCACCTGCTTTCTTTTAGATCCCCAAAACAGCCCTAAAAAAAACATCCCGCTGCTGAGATACATGCATGCACGTCCTCAGCTCAATGCAGTCTTTCGCTAATTACATTTTCCAGGTGTCCCGTGTCCGGTTTGTGCCACGTCTCGATCTTGATCAGGAAGTTTTCTTTCATATACTCGTTCTGCAGAGAAAAGAGAAATAATCGTGAGTGGCGAGGGAACAGTCAATGCACGCGGGTGAAAAAACATCAAACACAATTGACACAGGTCAGTCTCCCGCTCTCACACACACGGCAACAAGAACACAGCAGATCGATGGTGTCTGACGATCCCTGCTGCCGAAATAGATCAAATTTCTTTCTCAATTTTCAGTTGAAAGTGTCGCCTCTGTTGGCATCAAAGTATAATTTATTTCAACGCACATGCAAATCTCTAAGTGCAAAGAGAAATAAAATACTTACAGTGATAACTGCAAAGTCAGATGAAAGAATGCAGAGGGGCAAACGTAAAGAAAAAGAGAATTGCAGTTGAGGAACATTTAAGACACTTACATTTACAGCACCTACAGCATTTTACACTATCGGACAATGTGTGGAGGAAAAAAAGGGGGATCTGTTCTGCGATGTTAGTCAGTGAGTATCTTGTGTTTTGTAGGTTCAGGTTGCTTCTCTGACTGTCCCGTGTGTTTGCATGAAAGATGGCCATCAGGCAGCTGCTAGTGTCTGTACGTGATCTCATCCTGAAAGGCTCGAGTGGTTGCCTGGCTCCTCTGACTGGACGTGCAGTTAATAATTCAACCGCTACTTGAAGTTGACAGAGACGCGGAGACAGAGAGAAGGCATGAAGACAACGGTCATCTGACTCAACCGTGTTCACACGAAAACGCACATTCTAGTTTACGTGAGTGCATTGCATCAACATGTAGTTCTTCAGCTGTTAGCTGAGTGTGTGAAGGTCTTAGGCCTTGAAAACATCTCCAGATTTAAAGGTTTCGGTAGATGAGACCTTGAGATCTTCGTGTCTGTTTCTGTCGTCGTGCAATTGTTTTAGTTTTATTGTGGATCGAATCTCTCAGTTCTTCTTCTTATTATTTATTTATTACTTTTTGTTTATTTATTGTGTGTGTGTGTGTGTGGGGGGGGGTTACCTGTGCGACAGTATGGGTACGCGTTCCAGGCTTTCTCGTGGATGTTGAGAGCTGAAGCCGGAGCCAACATTCTCACGAATGACGGCACTTTACTGCAAGACAGAGGAGGGGGCGGAGAACAGATTGTACCGAATTATATTTCAATTATCTATTTTTTCAGGAGAGATTAGGTGAAGGAGGTCCAAGCGTGTGAATGCCGTGTGAATAATGGTGAGTCGCTTAACTTAACTTAGCTTGGAAGCGGGTTAAACACATTAAAACAAAAGATTAAACCGCTTACCATCAGCACGTTAGTGATTATCGTATGTTAGCATGCTAACATTTAGCTCAGAGTACCTTAAACTACGGGCGTATGCTAAGCTAAGCTAACCTGGCTGCTGGCAGTGGCTTCTATTCCCCGTACACACCTTTTCCTCCATCTCTTGAGTGAGCAAGCAAAGGTTTTCCTTTTATGTAGAACTGTTGTTGAAAAAGTAGTTACTAAAACGCATTGAACTACTTGGAGGGAAAAAGGGGCTTTAAAGTGGTGGAATACGGACTGATGCTGAGAAATGTACAAATGGATGCGAGCCAAGAGATGCTGCCTGAGGGGAAGAGGAATGATGTGGTCTTCCTGAGTGAAGACAACTGCTTACCTCTGCAAATGGTAGATTTTGTGTGTGTACTGTCCCTTCTCTCCATCTTTCTCGTATGGTTCATTTTTTAGCACCTCCACTCCTTCTCCTCCACCCGTCTCATTCTTACTGGCCTCGGCTACAGAGTACAGCTGGCCAACCTGGTACTGAAAACAGAGAGAATGAAGTGGTTAGAATACCGCAATAAAGACACGAGCCGCTCTCCTCCACATGTGTCATCCCGAAGACGACGTTTAGTATAAAGTAGTAGATTATTTTCACCACTGATTCTTTTCCTGATGTCTACTTAGTCTTGTCCTTGTCCCTGAAGCCTCATGATCTCTCACACACTCTTGGTTGCCTTCACTACGCATCAACTTTTTAAAATTGCACCCACAACGTTTCCTCAAACTACAAACTGTATGTTTTCACACCATTCTTCCTCCCTCATCCGGTCAGCCTGGTCCCGAGTGTGCACGTGAGTGTTTGACACAGGACAATGGCTCCCTCCGTTTCTTAATCACCTCTAATCCTCCATATAACCTCTGCACAAAGCTGGACCAGAGCGCAGACAGACGTACATCACACACACGCGTAGTGTCCACACATCGTCTACACAGGAGATCAATTACAGTTATTCTTTATGTTTCATTGTTCTTTGTGTGCAATAGAAGGATGATGTAAAAATCAAACCACAAGGACGTAAAGGGACATCATTTTAAACTAATGCAAAAGGCCAACAAGGTCCACGGAGAAACCTAAAAAACAGTCTAGTAGATTTGTACATTGAAAGGTTTGTAGTCGTGTAGAAGAAATACAAACAGGGTGACGAGACACAAAATGTTGTTTCATCACAATTAACTTTTACAGAACGTCTTATTACTGAGTAGAATGATCAGATAATGCTCTTCTGCTCCCACTTGAAACTGAGAATTGAGCACAAAATACGACGATTATTAATAAATAAAAGAAATGATTCTATTATAATTAACGCACAGTGATGTAAAAAGATAAGCACAGCATAACAGAGGTCGTCACTGTAAAAAAGAAATATGTTTCTGTTCTTCTTTTGAGAAGCACATGCACAAGTATGGTACAAGTGATGAACATGAAAAAATGTGTGCTGTTTATTTAAATGTCTTCAATCATTTAAAACTTCGGTATTTAACTCAAATAGAGTCCTGAAATGTCAGTACTTGCTTGATTATGGAAATGGTGGAATTCGTGCCCTAAATACTCACATAGAATCATCTCCTATGTATAGCCTACACGTCTTTTTACTTTTTGCATTCACAGTAGCCCAAAAAACTTGCAACAAATCAATTTTAATAAAATTAAAATACATATCTAAATATATTTTCCTACATGGCATAAACTACGCAGAGGAGATTTGAAAACTTGAAAAATACAACATCAGTTGTTGCTTCCTGAGGACATGATGTTAGAAAGGTGACCAAAGCGAAGCTAGAGACGGCTCCTTTCAACTATGACCTTTTGGTCCTTATTTAAAAGGTCATGACTTCACAGGAACACAGATGAAAGACAAAAAGACAATGACCGTAATAACCTTTGCCAAGCTGATTTAAATGACCTTCAAACAATGTGAGCAAAGAAGGAATAATTGTGACCCCGATGGTCTCTGGACTGACAAGTGTAGAGGAACATAGAGACTGTTCCCTCAAGTCACTGACGACTAAATAAATGCAGGAACGGCAGAAAAGCCTCCAGGGTAACAGTGATGGACTAAGACCCCGTAACAAAACATTTATAAAAGGGATTCATCTGTAGTCATCGCAACCGAAGACACAGCTTTTCTTTAATAATTCAATTGAAGCAGAGGAGCTGAAAGAAAGGAACCCGACCAAAAGTGTGATTTGATGACCAATTATAGAAGACTGCAATAAAGGGGAGATGGGATGTAGAGACGGAGACAGAGAAGATGAAGCTCTTAAGGGACGTGATTCAAGGGCACGGGGGAGGAGGGGGGGTCACACACAGTTCAATAGACAGGGGACGTTACTCAACTGTATTCAGGCTCCATCTATCACATGTTAGTCAGATCTTTTTTAGTATGTTGTTCCACCATCTAATGGTGCAGAACCGCTGCAGAGGAAACCTGCCTCGTTACGTAGGGGGATCATTCAGAGTCGCACAGCTAATGAGGAGCAGCGTGTAAGGCCTCGAGCACGTGCACGGGGAAGAAATCGGAGGGACGTGTTCGTCTGTCCGACGCCTTGTGCTTTTTCCACTCTCAATTCAAATGAAAATGCACGAGTACGAGCCCAGATCTGAGCACTCACAAGATATTTCACCGGTTCACACCCAGCTGCATGTTTGTTAATCACGAATAAGCAGCTCTCAAGTCAAATGTCTCCACCAAAAGTGGATTACGCTCTTGTGGGTGCATAAGGGCGGCCACGAAGGAGCGGGTGGAGGTGGTGGGGGCAGAGGAAGTGGCGGATGTAGTTTCAGGTGGCTCATTTTTGATGCACGCCCGAATTGAGGAGAAATCGGCAATGGAAGGAAGATGGCAGGGGACAGAGGGACACAGGGATAGAACAGGGACAGGACAATGAGACACTGCGCTGAGTGCGTTGGTTCTTAGCTCCATCTGACAGGAACCATCTTTAACATGATCAAGAGTTTCTCTCACGAGCTGATCCTTGCTTTTTTTCTAAACGTGAACATTGGATTTATCACGTACAAAATGTGGTGTATTATGACACATGAATACAAATGCATGTCAAAGTCCAGAAGGCCACAAAAAAAAAGCCTTTTTAGAGATGGCAGCCACTTGTGCTTCACTCTCAGTGAACATAAGAACCAGATAACAAAAGCTAAGCCTTGAGCTTTTTTTAGCAAACACACAAACACACACACACACACACACACACACACACAAATGTAATGCAATGAAACTTACCTCCTCCACAGAGATAGGAAGAATCACTCGACTGGCAGGGAAAGAAAAAGATGGGAGGTTACTCAATAATCATACGTTAACAATCAAAAACAGGCTCACGTTTTTTTGCACAACGTAGTGAATGTGTGAAAGAGAGAACAAAATTTGTGCTCCTGAATTCCTTATTGACATTCAAATACGACATTAATCATTTGATTTAATTTAAATAACACAACAGTAAACCCAGTCAGCTCCTGTGAGTGACATGTTGACAACGTGAACCGACAACTTTAAGCGTTCCGCTCGATAGAGATCCGGACGACAATTACCTGACAAACATGCGTCAGACAATGGCTGTTGTGCACCTCCAATGTTTTATTTTCCTTAGTCTTTTACATTGTTTTTGTAAATGAGCCTCAGATGTATGTGTTTCATTCCCAAGTCCAAATGTTAAATGTACCTCATATATTGTTATACCTTTTTTTAACAAACACTGCATATTTTTTTTGGTTCAAAAGTATTTGCATTTACTGTATTTGTTTTGGCCTCGTGCCGTATTCTTTTTTAAAAATCCCTACGTGTTTTAAATGGCATTGTTTCTAGATCTCGCCCACGTTTCGTACCCATTGATATTTTAAGAAGAAATTAGACACACTTTTTCAGCAGCCGATCTAGAATGAAAGTATTTAATGTGCTCATACGTTGATTTGTAACTCTTTGAGTTGTGTAAGCAAATATAATGTAATAAACCTCTTTTGGAAGCTCTGTATATATAAAGCGGTGAGGAATAGAATTTCAATAATGTGTTTTTCAGTTCGTTACAATATAGAATGATGAATAGAATCACAATTTGGAAAATCTTTATCCAAAAATAAATATTGCTGGTTACAAGTTATTGACGATGTCAGGGAACTCAAACTTGATTTGACACAACAATGACTTTTTCAATAGTCTTTTGTAATGTTAACCAAGTACCCTTGGTACAGATATGCTTACACACATAGCATGTCAGGAATGAATAATATATAAATATTATATTTCTGAGTATATATACAATGCTGTTGAAAGCGTCCGCTCAAAGCTCTATTCATTCCTTGAACTCCTTTGTACCACATAATGCACGCAGTATATGCAGTTTTGTGGACTGTTTTGTAACCGAGTGATGTATGCTCAAATTCAGATAATCCCACTTGCTGCTATTCAATGTAATCTGGGGCTGAGTCGCAGCCACATTGGATGGGAGGCCAGATGCTGCAAGGAAGGCAAGACAGTCTGTTATGTAGAATTACAATATTCAAATAATTGAAGTTACAGTATAGTTCTAAAAACAGATCTCTCAGAATAACTATCTTGCGTGTCTTAATACGAGTTCAATTTTAAAAAAACGCTCATGAATACTTGCAAAATAGGTTTCGGTGAAACAAGGACTAAAGTCATCCTTAACATTCTCTCGCTCTGTTTCTCTATCTCCTCCGTCTAAAGGTCTTGACAGGGAGATCAGGTGTCTCTTCAGAAAGCAAAAACGCCTCGTCTCTCTTGCATGGTTCATTTTTTCTGTCTTCTCTTTTCAGTCTATTTCTCTTTCTGTTCTCCACTGTTTCACTGCCTTTTATCGTCACTCCCCTATTATCGTCATCACACACTTCATCACACTTTTTTGATGCTGCACACCGGCTAACGGTCATGGAGTAGGAGAAAAGGTGTTGGAGTGATTTAGGTCAGATATCAGTACAGACTAACATGATGCACTGCAATCATACATGAATCAATTCCCTGTCTCCTGACCCCCATGGTGGCATCTGTGTGTGTGTGTGTGTGTTATGTAGCGTCTTTGTTTGCCCGTGTTGACAGCATGTAGAAGTGCATTTAGTATTTAATCGTGACCGATTTAATTAATTTCCAGGCAGACTGCTGGGACCCAGGCTCTCCCTAAGCACTTTGGATCTTTAGCCATGCCATCATTCTCATCCGCTTCTACCATTAAATGATTGCACATATTTGGTGAGAAGAAAAAGACAATAACGAGGGTTGATTAATGTTATGTCCATTTTAGCCACACTCGGATCAATACCATTCAAGATCAGTGTTATTTTTAGGCTGAAGCTGCCAATAGCTGCACATTTGAGCCAGTCAAGTGCAGCTCTGACCTTGCCATAGAATTGCAACGAACCATTCAAATGCATAGTACATCAGCAAATTGAAAATATGAAAACAGGGTGTTTTGTCAGATGGGTCACGTGTTCCTTAAAGAGCCTGACAATAAAGCAACCATACCGTCTAAAGTCCACCACCACGACTAATATCTGGTGTCTAACCTTCCAATGTATCTGCAATACATTGGCTCTTATAACCAGCGGTGTGAGTAGGCCTCGCTGATCCGAAACACTGAGGCCCGCTGGCGTTAAAGTAGGTTGACGTGTGAAAATAACCCAAATCTTTATGTTTGCACGCACGCTCCCACTTAATGTGCCAACCGGTCCCCTCGGCCCAGCTGTCACTTTTTTTTTAATTTTTTTTTTTTTAGAAACGACTGGTGCGCCATTTGCAGCAAATGTTTGCCAACGCTGTTCACTGTGCACTGTGCACTCTCCACCTCTCCACCTCCATTCCTCCAGAGGTGAATCCTCCTTCCATCAGTCGCTTCACCTTCAGCGCGCATCAATAACATGGCCACGGTGGCTTACGAGGCTGGACGCGGGCACGGTGGGGATCGAGGCATCGGGCGGGCTTAACACCAACCATCTCTCCCGCAGCACCACCCGTTCAGCAGAGCATCCGTCAATTGTTTTATACAGCCTCTCCATATGCAACATGCAATAGCCTCCCGACTACACTTGACGGCTCGTGATGCAAAAAAAAAAAAATGTGAAGGGCACAGCCATGCATGCGCCGGGTGCCGGGTTTATTATCTCTCCGTTTATTTGGTAAATTCTTAAGGGCGATGTAAGTGTAGCGTGCACGACAAACATGACGGACGCGCAGTCGTGCAGATGCGGGACTTCGACATCACCCCCTCGGCCGCAGTCTTGTGATTCCGCTGTCAGGCGACCGGCCACAATGTCAGCGCTGCGAAACCTGACGGATAAATGCGCGCACATCCTCTAACAGACACACACACACGCGCGCGCGCGCGCACGATATCACACGGCAACTTACAATTCCTTAATGAGCATTTTCTGGCGGTGCGTTATGCCCTATATCCAAAGAGGGGAGCAGCTCGATACAGGTCCAGAAACGGGGTCGATTCCTCCCTCGGCTGGTCTCTTCTTCCTCCGCTCGCTTCTCTCCCACCTCTCCCCCTCTATGTCATTCTACCTCCACCACACTCGCTTATTTCTTCAAATTCACTTCCTGATCGGGGCCGCGGCGCGGCGGTGCTGTTGCGCGCAGAGCTGCGAGGCCTGGACTACACACAGAGATGGTGGGAGGGGGGGGGTCTATACAGCCTCCAAATAATTACTGGGAGGGAATAAATATGCTTCACATTTCAATGCACAACCGATTAAACAGTCTAATTCTGCTTATTGGAAAAAAATGGAATGGTTCCAACGTATTTGTTATTTCAATAATGGCTCTCCAAAGATGAAATTGGATTTAGTTCCCTCAGGAAGGTTCCACTTTCATTATTCTAATATTTATGTAATCGGAAAAGCACATCGCTCCCGCTCAAAAACACATTTTAATCTTTTGCAGGACTGTCGAGACAGCAGAATATTTTAAAACATCAGACAGATTCTCCGGTCCATTTCTCTTCAGAGTGTGCGCCTCCCTCTGCGTCATCGCAGTCACGGTGACGTAGACGCGCGCGGCTGTTCACCATCGGAGTATATAAAGAGTTGACACGGGAACCACCGGCGCTGGCGCAGACAAGCACTGCGTCAGCTCGACAAGCCCCTTCAACCCCCGCATCCAACGGAGACTTCTGCCTCCAGACATCCCAAACCCACGTGTCCACTTGGAGAGTGTGGACTGCTACTGATTGCCGACACAATGTGATGCATTACAACAAACACACGTCGTGCTTTTGGAAAACGATCATTGGAATCTAGCCTGACTGATTTATAAGATGGAATCGCTGCTGTCACCCTCCGGAGATCCACATAGGAATCGCAAGCTGACCTGTTATTCTCTCAAGGACCTCTGGAGGTCCCCCGGGCGCGCTTTCATCCACCACCCACGGGCCTATGAAGTCGTGTTGCACGTGATGCGATGACGAGGAATCACTAGGTCCCTAATCCTGCCCCGCGTCGCCGAGATAGCAGGATGTGAGACAGTGCGTGTGTAAGTCTAAAATTATGTAACGGTGCACTGCCGCTGTATTTATAGCACATCTGCATCCGCCTGCCAACATCCGCTCCTCATTCATCTGTCTTTTGATCGGGATCATCTATCTATTTATCTATCTGTCTATCTGTCTGTCTATCTGTCTGTCTGTCTTTCTGTCTGTCTGTCTGTCTAAAGGTGTGGTGTAAAACAGTGTGTTAAAAATATAAATCAGTCTCAGTTCCTTATCTCAGTCTCAGTTCCTTTATCTTCTAGTTGAAATGTATGATTGAGGAGTTTTTAATCAAACTGACCTCAGGTGAAAAACTCCTTTAGCTGCATATTTGTTCCATATCTTTTTTAAAAACTTTTTCTGATTCCCAACTCTCCAAAGGCCACCTTCACTTCAAATTAAAAGTATGAACCGTTAACTATTATCAGAGGCCTTACAACTTCATTTTGTATTTAAACTCATAAAAAGGAAAAAAGTGTGCTTTCATGAGAGTAAAAAACAGGAAGAGCTTGTCTTCACACTCAGAATGCGAGCGTCACATTTCTGTGATTGCGTGTAGCCGTGAGACAAATATGGTTTCAATAAAGTCATTTTATTTAGCCTGTTGAGCATTAAAAAGAAAATACAAACAAGTGGACGCATGACAGCACGATTCAAATATTGGAAGTGAATGTAAAATGAAATAAATAAAAGGTAAAAGCCCAAACTGCAAGTGGTACTATTTTAAAGGGCATTGACAGGATACAAAGTGCTGAACAGAAAGGAAATAATGACGATTTATTGATACACTGGACGGGGAACATGATGGGGGGACCAATATTCACTGATATGTGTAATGCTGCCAAATGAACACATTTTGTCGGTAAACTTAACCTATAAAAAAAAAAAAACTAAAAACTGCAAGAAATAAAATAAATACTCTAAAGCTAAATGAACATTTAACTCTCCTAAAACATATTGCAGTTGGTCTGACTTTGCTCTTTCATAATACAACCCGAAAAACATCCATACAGTATATCCAAGGCAACTGCCACTTAAGTTACTGTAAAATGTTTGTCTGGTAGAAAAGAAAGAATCCCGCCGTATAATCATTCATAATTCTCTTTAACACGTCTGGAATAAGGCTTTTCCCTCCTCCCTTTTGCTCATTAATGCCATGCAGTTCACACTTACCTTAAACCATCTAGCAAAGAATCCTGTGGAGTGCAGACAGCTTGCACCATGTTATGGGATTTACAATGGGGTGATTTGAAGTCAACATATAAGAAAATGTCTGACTTCCAATGATGGTGAGGTCATTTTGTGGTTAATGTTAAGCAGTATTGAAGCTGTCGCAGCGATGATGTTTCTTCGGCGAAACAAACTCTCCTTTGCTGTTCATTTGTGGGATATTAAAACAGTCTTATGTGCAGCAGATCTGCACTCATATGTTGTTTGGAGAGAGGAGGTATTAGAAAAATAAGTCTGAGGATTTGGGGGGGAGATGCAGAGGGCTTGTGCCTCTTTCCTTTCACAGTCTTTCCTCTTGTGTTTTTCCTTTTCCCTCAGCGTTTCAACCTTCTTACTTAGCAATTGTCCAACGGACCAGATTCTGCGACAACCACCGCCTCATTTTATCTTCTTTTTCAGTGTGTGTGTGTGTGTACTCTATGGGAACCTACATAACTCACACAGCAGGTTTAAATGCCATATTCTAAGTAGTTCTTCTTTAACGTTCTTTATCCTCTGTTGTCCTTTGCTCCGCTTTGACCTCTCTCTAGACGAAGGCCTCGGGGACGTCAGAGCCGTTGATTTTTAGGTAGATCTTAGCATTTTCCTCCCGCTGCTGCTGCTCTTTGTAGAGTGTCCGTCTGTAGCAGATCAGGTAGAGAGGCAGCAAGAAGCCCAGCATACTCAGACCAAAGAGTCCAATATTGACCTGAGGGATGACATCACAATCAGCCACATCCGATGGTTGGACTTGGTTGAGTTTTGGAGTGTGTGTGTGTGTGTGTCCATTCATACCCAGAAAGGGTCTCCCTCCAAGGGTCCCATCATAGCCAGAAACAGGGGCTGCTGCAGGAGAGCGAACACGGCGCTGACCAGAGACTGCATGCCGGTGAGACTGCCAAACTGTGAGGAGGGATACCTGCAGGGACAGAAGCGGTGTGTTCCCAGTTAGAAGCTACATCCAGGGGACGGAGGCGACGAGGAGGAGGGTTCGTGTGTGGTGGAAGCGTGGGGTTAAATGTACATTGAGACTTACACAGCAGCGTAGAGGCCGCCAACCGCCGAATGAATGAATCCTCTCACGACAGTGTGCAAGACGAACGACACAATCTGCGGGAAAGGACGAAGGGCACACTCGTCACAAATACGTCACATCACATTGGCCGTCAACGGGTCGCTAGAGTCGGGTTCACTGGAGGCCTTTGGAAAACTCACCTGCAGGGGGAGATTGGGCACCAGACAAGTGATCCCAAATCCCACTAAGAGGACGTTGGTGAGGACAAATGCTCGCAAGGCGTTGGTCACCTTCTGTGTTTTTTTGTCTCTGCGCTTAATCTTTGTCTCCCCCCTTGTTGACAAAATCAGAAAGAGAGGTCAGATTATTCAGGTACTCGCATTGCAGCTCTATTTCACGATAAAGGTTAGTTTCCTGGTGGCGTTCGTCACATGGAAATGTCATTGCAACAATGTGAAACGCTATTGATGTTTGACTCACTTTCTGCACGGCCCCTTTTCCTCCACTCCATCATCACATTCCTTCAGCTTCCAATCCATGATCTGACCAATCACAGGAGTGGTCATCAGGCAAAGCAGCTGCAATACGCCGAAGATGGAAGAGTACAGACCCACTGAAATAAGGGTGAGAAATGTTTAAAAAATCACCTTCATTGAATACTACGAATTGAGAATAAATAAGAAAATGATTAACTATGGAAAACAATTATGAAATGACAGTTAATTATTATTTCCAAACAAAATGGGATATGGCGATTATAGCCAATTTCCTTGTTGAAGGATTTATTGCCAGCGGTGTAATGAGAGATCAAAAGTTAGTCATGTGAAACTGCTAGTATCTCATGACGTATGCTCTCCGTTGGTGCTGAGGGCCAAAGTTTGTTAATGAGTACAACAAATGGGACCTGCTGCTTTCAGGTTAAAGCTTAATGACAGCTGAAGGACTCATACGTCAAACAGGCGAGGTCAAACAAAGGTCTAATAAAATAACAACTCGAGCTATCTGAAAGCCAGGGAGCATAGTTAGTGGATTAAGTGTAGTATTGTGATGGCAAAGCTACGACTAAAGGTCAAATTCCGACTGCGGTGAACTTGAGAGTTAATAATCTAATGCCTCAGTGATCTACTTCTACAAGTTTTTTTTCTTACCGACTTCCATTCTTTCCACTGAAAATTAAATTGAAACCTGTGTAAGTCCGGCTGCTTTCAAGTCATCAAGCACAGTAGAAACGACTTGATAAAGGAATACAAAATAAAACAATTAACAAGTGTTTATATTTGATCAGGCACACGAAACCAAACACAGAGCCACCAACCTTTGTCGAGGTCTCCATCACTGAGCGACTCCAGAACGCTGTTCATGGCTCCCATGTAGAACAAGAGACGGAGCTGAGTGATGGACATGGTCACCAGACTCAGCACGAAGATGGTGCTGGTGATGGTTTTCAAGAATGACTGGGCTGCAGGGGGGAGGGCAACAAAGGTAAAAAAAAACATGCATTAGAGCGGGAAGAGGAAAAAAGAGGCGATCAAAGAGGGGGTTGAATTCTGTACTCTTACACTCTTCTTTCTTCTCCATTTCCAGGTCGGTGGTGGAGAGGCAGAGCTGGTTTCCGTCCTTGGTGGCCAACTCCTTCTGCTTCAGATTGTCGCCCACACTTAGACGACGTCCCACGGTGGTCACTTGGTTGTAGAACTGCTTCCCTGTGATTTTATGGTCGAAGCCCAGCCAGCTGAACTTGATCTTTATACTGAGGAATCAGAGGAAAAGAGGACACAGTTTACTAGCAAGTCCTTTTGTTTATAAGTGGGCATACACAGGGTACAAGGGTCCGCTATGACTGCACGGCGCTGTGACTATCAGAGGTACTAACGTGTAGTCCATGTCTTCTGGTCCGGGGAAGGGCTCCAATGGCCAGTTCAGGAAGCAGTTCAAGAAGACCACACCAGAACATGCAGCCCACACCACCAGGATAGTGATGAAAGGTATACCAAGGTCGTAGATCACCTGCAGACATCAGAACCGTGACCAATAAACACCAAGAACAGACGAGACAACAAACAGATGAAATCTGAATGTAATCAAAGGGGTGTTGGCTCAGAGCGGAAGCTGAGCTTGTCTGCACATTGCATTTGAGAGGTGAGGCAAAAAGATTAGATGTACATGGGGAAAGACCACTATAAACTAGTTAGATAAAGTGTCAGTACAGGAGTGTAGATGCACGCAGGCAGATTCAGTGTTTGTTACCTTGACACCAGGGAAGGTGACTGCAGAGGAGGCATAGGAGCCAATCATCAAGGCGATGAACGTGGAGCGGAGGTCCCCAAACATGTTAGGGAGCTAAAATGAAAGAGAAAGCGACATCATCACCGCTTTGTCCGTTTGTACTCTCAAGGTTCCTGCAGCGGCTTAAAGCGAAATCAGAGATATTCGGTTGCCGTCCACAACACAAACGCAGCGCTGCACAGACGGGGTGACGTTTTTTAGATGCTTTACTCCCGTTTGAGAAGAGAGAAACGAGAGCTAAGAGGTGAAGCACTAGGTGGCAGAACATTCACAAGCTTAAGAGAGGGAGCCGTGACCTGACTGCTCAGGTCACCGCTCAGTGAGTATTACCCCACACCTTTCCGCTGACACTGAATGCCAGTAGGGCACAGTCGCGATCGAAGAGTCAAGGAGCAGCCTTGAAGCTAATAGTTAACTCCACACAGAGCGTGCAAATTATTGTATAGAATGTTTTAAAGGGAGATCGGACAAATGGTGGTTTCCAGGGAAGATGTGGTTCAACATCAATCATGTGGAGACTCTCAAGACTTCCCAGAAAAAAGAACAAACGGAGCCCTACATTATGGTGCGTTACCTCATCACTGACATTCAGGCCTGTGGCAACAACTAATGACAGATTTAAGGAGACGCAACAATCAACACATTGGGGATTTGCACATTACAGCAACAGCCTGGAACAGAGACATTTATTGGGAGATTTACTGGAAGAGAGGCCCTCTCTGGTGAACAATATCACCATGGTACGGCCCAGGACTCCTCTGTGCGTCCCCGTAAGACTGAACGGATGACAAGGGAAGAGGAAGAACAGCAAGGAAAGAATGCAAATGAACGGTGAGGGTTTTCTCCCCGCCAGTCCTGGAGAGCATCAGCGGGTTTGTCCTTGTGTATCTCTGGTTCTGTTGATCTCTTTTACAGAGCTAAGCGAGTTTACAAACCTTCGGTGATACTGGGTGATGATGTTAAAATATGTATATGATTGGTCGGGGGTGAAGATTACGTGAAGGAAAAAAATGAAGGAGTAGAAAGACAAAGGGGACAATATCTCTGATCCTGCTGCATCAATGTTGATGCTTTTTATACCACAATACTCTTTGCGATTCCGTGACAACACAAAATGAGTCAGTGTTTTTTGTGCACACAACAGTGTGCGCATGTAAACTCCAACACCCAGCAGTTGCTGTGATATTCTTGCTGAAGCACAATAATAGAAACAGTAGAAAGTGATAATGAAGCACCGAGTAGCTCCCTCTCTCCCAATAAACCCTCCTCCCCCTCCTCCTGCTAGGAACTGACAGTGCAGAGAAAGAAGCCAAAAAATAAAACGCCAGACAAGAGGCGAGGGACAATGTGTGCAGGCAAGGAGCAAAAACAGCAAGACAAAACTAAAAAAATATACATCTATGATAAACATCTATAAACACCATGGAGTGCAAAGGCTCTGCAGCGTGAGAAGATCATGTAAGCGTGCAAAAAAAAAAAAACTCACCGTGAGAGAGGTGAAGGTCATGCACATGCCCCCAAATCCATTGAAAGTCAGGGCAATGAAGATAAGGACGGAGAGTTCTGCAAAGGTCACAGATGTTAACTTTCTTTTTAACCAACCTGCACATTCTTTCAAATACAGTAATAAAAAAAGGTCAAAAATCTCACCATTTGGATTGTAGGATCCATAAGCAATTAGTAGACAGGAGAATCCAAAACACGTGCTGTAAATAAATGACGATCACAATTTTAAGTTGCAAATTTCAGGTTGCTTTGTAAAGAAATGAGAAATTCCGTAGACAACGCAAAGGCTCACATGATTGCACATAAACAACCTCACAGCTGGATTCTTCTCTCATTCGCTCACCTGCCCAGCAGTCGTAGTTTGCGAGGCCCGTATTTATCCATGACGACCCCCAGTGGCAGCGTGATGGCGGAGAGCAGGAAGGAGCCCACCGTGAACGCCAGGTTCAGCATCTCATCCTGTTCTTTACAAATCAGCCAGCCGTTCATCCTCAGGGGCCCATCGACAGGGACCAGGGGCCTCATCTCCACTCCGTCTCCCAGACCAACCGAGCCATGCTCGCTCTCATAGTACTCAGCATATTCATCCGGTGCCTCTGTTGCTAGGTTTTGGGATAGATTGGCGCTGGAACTGTTGAAGCCTGAAGAACATGATGAGAGAAGATAAACATGGTAAAACTAAGTCTTATTTCGTCTTTTCCATGAAGGTGGAGCTGTAAACAATTCCACCTGTATCCGTACTTGACACAGATGAATTTTTGAGGTTGACAGTATGCTCATTCCCAGGCTCCTGATACATTACCACGTCATTGCCACATGACCACCGAACATGTGCTTGTTATAACTACATACCTACAGTATGTGGAACATCGACAGACCTGTAATGTTCAGCGCCCAGAAAGCCAACTGTACTTGACTGCGATGGTACACCAATTTTATTAGTAAGATAGAAACGTTGTGATAAGCTGGCAATAAAAATCCCACTATCATCAGAACCCACATGGAGATAAAGGTGCAAAAGTCCAGTAAAAGGCCATGTGAGGGAGAAAGGGAGGCGGTGGTTTGGGAACATTGGGCTGAAACTTTTCGGGATTACAGTAACACCTCTACGGTTTCTGCCACCCGACATCTCTGTAGTCACGTGAGGCGAGTACATGTGTTCCTGTGTAAGACACGGAGACATGCTCGAGAACAAAGTGTCAATGTCCTCTTCTGGGTAGCAGACAATATAAGTGCATGCGTATGTATAATAGTACTTGGTGTTATTTTGGATTGAGTTTAAAGAACCGCTGACGGTGCAAAATTCTCTTCCTTGGTTAGTCGTGACCGCAGACCGACCCACATAACGTACAGCTTTAACCGGTTCTCAAATATGTCATGCTGAATGTGCACAAAAGCCTAATCCGCGCTGCTTAATCATCTTGTTTTTACCGTTGACCCCACGGGTTTTCTGATTTATGCTGTTCATCACTTTTCTATCAGTCTTCTCCTGCCGTCCTGTCCTTTATCAGTGGACTTTGAACTTCCATGTAACTGGTCATTAAATCTATCCTTCTATCACATGTCACATGCCTGAAACGAGCTGAGCTGGTGCTGCGGTCCTCTCCCGCTTACGTCATCAGAGGGAGATAGGACGGCAACGGAAGTTCTCCAGGAAGTCTCCTACAATGCCGGTTCCTTATTTGTTACTTCATTGGTGAGCCTGCTTCTGTGCCGACACTCAGCGTAGCGGCTGACATGGCTGGACATATCCTCGAGTAACTAAAGGTCGATGGGCAAATGTTAAACGACTAACAAGATGCTGAAAAGACCTGAAGATCAACCAGGACGACATCAGGACCGTAGGATAGATAGGTTGTCCACTCGTGAAGCAATAGCTTAGTTTTAGGACGTGGGGCACGACACAGTGTCACCACAGGTCCAAAGGATAAGTGTGGCCTGATTAATCTCACACATTCCCTCTCGCTTTCTCGGCTGTAAGACCTGACTGGGGCCATTGTGTGCATCAATTCCCCCTTTGTAGTTAAAAACACGAAGCACAGTCCTGACTTTGCTCAAAGTGAGGAATGAGTAAGACAAAAGAGCAGACGAAGGAGGACAGCAGAGGTCAAAGGGACAGCTGATCTAGTGCGTTATTGGTTCATCGGATTCCTGTAAATCAGTCTGGTGTCTTATACTCTTTCACTTTTGACCAATGTCTCAGATTGCGTCCCTGCTCTCTCTCTCTTTTCCTTTTCTTCCCAGGCAAAATAGGTAGCAGTGCTACATTACATCTACTAGATAGAAACTCCTCCGTTTACCGGACTCACAATGCCAGAGCATTACAGGAAGAAAGAGCTCAACACTATAACCTCACGAAGACAGGTTCTCCAGATTTGCTTCTCCTAAAATGAGCAAATACTTCCCCATCAAGGCAAATTGAGACAAAACTGTGTAAAGTAAAATGAAACAAACGGCCGACACGTATTGTGACCTCGACAGTTGTGACTCACCCTCTTCGTTGCAAAGGTAAGAGTAGAAGCCTTCCGACTTGAGCATGATGAGCAGCGATCCCCATCCCAGCAGCACGGCGGAGAAGAGCAGATTCTCGATGATGGAAGTCACGGCCATCCACCAGCGCCTGGCGAACGCCGTGGTCAAGGTGGGAGCCATGCTTGATGGCTTATAAGTTAGGGAGAGAGGGGCCAAGTAGAGAGTGTATCGAGAGGGACCACCAGAAGGGGGAGAAGGAAAGCGGAGCAGAGAGAGAGAGAGCCTCCCCGACTGACGCCCGGGATGAAGGATCACTGATCACTTATCTGTGAGGAGAACGGCACAAGAGGAGGGTGGGAGGTGTCATAGTTAGCCTATCGCTGCAGTTACAGACGGACACAAGGGTTCAGCTTTTGCAGGAATACAAGATAAAAGCACTCAACTTTGAACCTAATCGAAGACAACTGAGGAAATGAACCCGCGGCGTGACACATTCCCTGTTTGTTTCATAACTCTTTTCAGATTTGTTGAAAGTCTCCCTGATTAGACGAAGTAAAAGCAGGTCGCCAGCAATGAATGGCAAATTATTAACACTCCTACTAGTAGACGGATGATAACATCACTCTGCTGCCGGGCGGGGACAGAGATCTTACATCACATCATGGGCACTAATGACTTGAGAAGAATCAGGGGTGGATTCTGCTGTTTGTTCCAAAAGCCCAACCGGCCTGGACCGGACGGAGAAAAATGGGTCTTTCTCTCTGCTCCCTCACACCACGGCCCCTCTACCTCACTGCACACCAACTAAAATGTCTCAGGCCCATCCAACCGCAACTTCCCTCTGCAATTACTGCGGTGCGTCCAAAACATAAAGGAACGAACCAGAAACAAATCCGCTCACACAGCCAACCTCTCTCTCTGTCACACACTCACTCGCACATAAACACACAACACAATCTGCTACAGACACTAGTGTAAAAGTAGGTGGATATTGCATGGAAAACAAATAAGATAGAGACCATATCATGATTGAGGGTTAGCCTGTTGCTGTATGTCTTATCAAATAGGATGTTTCCACAATGCACTTAGTAAATGACAAACTTCCTTACCTCCCCAAGCTGGAAGCAGCACCATCCGGCTCCAAACAACGGATGAACTCCGGTTGCCTTCAAATGACCAGTTATGTGTGAAAAGCCACTTTTATACAGCCGGGCGTCTTCAAACGGCGCCTCCTACTGACCAGTGGCAGCCCGATGTCTTCACCTCGGCCAACCACATGGCACTGGCTTTGATATTTCTATAACCACTAGATATTGAATTGGAGTCAGTGGATCAGCCAATAAACAATATATTTTTTTAATCATCTTGATGGTGAAGCAAAACAAGTCTGTTTGAATAAGAACAATACACCAGTTTGATGATATAAAAGCAATTGTGCAATGGGGGGGGGACAAAACAACAGCCAGCCAAACAAAGTCTGGTTAAAACACAATGTACTTCAGTAGATAAAGGTGCGTGGTGCCCATCAATACTTGCTCAATAGCGGCTATTGATGGGGAGCAGGACTGGGGCAGGGACTCCCTTGTTTTTTGTAGTTGCGTAAAGTGTTTACGTGTGCGGTGTTTACCGAGAAATAATCTGCTCAGGTTGCACACACACATTCAACAAAACGACCGTGCATGATTGGATTAGGTCCTTTTTAGGTTCTAATGTGCTACAGTGGATCTGTTGATCGTTTAAGTTAGTTTTGTCTCTTGGTGGGTCAGTACGTTGACATCCAATATGTTCTAAAGTGGGGGGTGTATCAGGTCAAACGTGTTATCCAGGTCATCACATGGAATGCACTGTGGTGACACTGTAATCAATATGCAAAGCAGTCTCTGAGTGACAAACACTGAAAAAACACGGATATGCTAATGTGGGCTGTTACATTGATTAACACATGATTAAAGCTTTGGAATTCAAATTCTCTTTTAATCTATCAATCTGTAAACCCATTCAGGTTGATTGGGCATTTGATCAATCACATGTAGGTTAACGAATCAGACAGTCTGAGTATCAGCCATTAACTGATTGATTAGCGATCAGCGTCACAGTCATTGACGAGCGTTGTGTGATTCAACTAGTTTATTTCCTCCATTTTATCAAAAGGAATCATGGATCAGCATTTTGCAGGAGGTCACAGCTTTTCGCTGATTGAGTAGTCTGATGTGTAATGGAACTACTACAACAAATCACTTATAAATGACATAATTTATAAGTGTTTGTGTTCACGGCAACACTCCAAATGAAAGGTGATCATAAAAGAAACACAAAAGTCATCACACAATAACAACATGACTTGCTGTTTGAAATGGAGTTAACCCCCCCTTGTGGTTGTACGTGGTACAAACACGGATTAACGAAACAAATTTCAAAATGCGGTTGATTAAATGTCTTTATTGCACAATCAGAACACGGGTAATATTTTGGGTATTGGAACTTTTTGAAAAAATAGAAAAATATTTTAAAAAGTTAATCATTTTAAATATTATATTGTGATTGGTCTGATCCTTACTTGATATTTACATACATGAGCTCTATTAGTAACAGGCAGTGATTTTGTTTTTAGTGCAATAACGTCCTTCGTCAGTGGAGGACACGCCTACAGCCACGACACCAAGAATCAGCGAGAGCAGCAGCGTCTTCAAGGAGCCTTCACATGCAGTCGCTGCAACGAGGAAGACGCAGAGAGAAGACAAAGTCGGGCACAGGAGGGGAGGGGTGGGTAAAAAAATGAAACCTTCCATGGACATTATGACATTTGTAAACGCACCACCTGAGTCAAAACCTTACCTGTGTGTCTTTCATGTGAATTCCTTATTAAGTGATGTATACAGAGTAACACGATTACCCCAAAATCTGTAATCCTCATTTATACCGGGCCGGGAGCACTGAGACAATTTTATCCTTATCAAAGTTTACTTGGTCAAGAATTTATTTACTGCACGGCACATCTCAGTGCCACGGCTCTAAAGGAATGTCTAAGCTGAATGCAACTTCATTTCCCAACACCAAATACTACCTAAGTAAACACAGATAAAGTTAGACGAAAAATTCTGCGTCCATTACATCACGGACAGAGACAGAAACAAAGAACATTCAATAACCGGTGACCCAGTTTGACCTGTGTCCATATGGACTAAAGAGAATTTCTAGTATTCTACGGCCGCAAACAGACTTTAATCAGTTAAAGGAAGATGTTTATGCTCGTTGAACGGGTTTTAAAACTCACATCACCACTAAATATCATTGTGATTTGTGTTAGATGTTTAGATTTGGTGTACAGTTCCAGGTAGTAGTTTTTTGGTCGTGCCAATGTGAAACTCTTTAAGTTGAAACATGCCTACAACACGGTTGTATACTAATGAACTATTGCATGTGCAATTTTACTAGTAAATCATCAGTTGTTTTTTAGTATAACAGTAGACATTTATAGATTATTTTTGTGAGGGTAATGCAAGACTTTTTAAACCAATCAGCTTAAAACGCGTTGCAAAGCAACAATAATTTAACACTGAACAAAACGAATGCGTCACAGACTACATCATTTAAGCAAGCATTCTTGCAGGGAGAAAATTTACATTATGACATTATAATATTTGCATTAAAAAACATAGTGTAAGGTCACTAAAGAGTGACAATCATATTTAAAATGTCAACACATTACTCATATACTGTTGTACCTTTTGGTTGTGGGCCGCATGGTGTGAAGTTTTGGTAAATAAATAGCTCTTACCATGAGAGGAGCTCTCTGGAGATGAAAGAAAACAACCCAGAAAGAGTTAGAAAGAGACTTATGTGACAAACTCTCTGCAATGGATGTTCAAGTTCATGCACACGCTGACGTCATGTAAACACACATGTGCATGCAAGTCAGACTGAAGCGCACATCATTCACACCATCGCGATGCATGCGTACACACCAAGGATGGTGAAAGTGGTCTCCATGCCAGAACGAATGTGGTCAGTGACATGACAGTGCAGAAACCATGTCCCCGGGTTCCCAGCAACCATCTCCACAGTCTGGAAAATCCCGGGGAAGAGATCAAAGACATCTGCACGGTGCACGCGGTCCGTCTAACACACACAAAACACACACACACACACACAAAACACAAAAGAGGGGAACAGAGAAAACGAAACATAAATAAATAGCAGAGAAGCCGTGCACACATTCCCATGCTCAAGAATAACATTTTCTCTTTACAATCAACACTTGACATGATGAAGGCACATAAAAGTGCAAATAAGACTGCTCGATGCCCCACCTTCACCTCCCCACCAAAACCAACGCTTTGTTTGCACAAAATGTACCAAAAACTGGCAATGAGCAAGCTCTTAGGTAGATAAGAATGAACAGATATATGAAACAAAATTGAAATCATTGTTTTAATTGACATCAAATACTAATGCTAAGCTTTGTTACAAGACGTCTTATTAACCGAGGAAGCCATTAAGTGCATATTTGGATCTTTAGTACTTTGGACATCTGTAAGATCTGTATTAGTTGTGCGTGTAATATTTACTTTGCAGTCAGGCTTACCTTGTAGGTAAAAGTCTCAGCGTGGAAGTGAACGGTGTGCAAGTCCACTTCGTTGCCCATGCCCAGTAGATACCAGTCGACCTTCTGCCCCCCCCTCATCACCAGTCCACGGAGGTTACCGTAGAGTAGACCATTGATGCCTTCAAGAGACACATTCACACGGATATTACCACACACTCATCACATGCCATCCGACAGAGGCACCCAGACGCAAGCGGGACTTCCTCTGATAACAACACGAATAAAGCGTATTCCCATCCTAATTCGTTACCTGTTGGGTGAACCCAGTTATCTCAAAGGTTCACTTCATTTATTTATCAATCTCCACGCCTCCTCTCGTCTTGTCTCTCACCGTGCATCAGGTTACTCTCGTTGAAGTCTTCGTCGGGATTAAAGGTATCCGGGTCGGCGTTAAGGTACGTTCGGATGTTGTCCTCCATGTACCAGGACTGGTTTTCATCATACACCATGAAGAGCAGCGCAAACTCCTTCTCCACGTCAGCCCTCCGTCGGTCGGGCCCATGCCCGCGCTTCAGCGTCCCAGGCCTGCAGATCACCAGAGGCCCCAGAAGACCACTGTACAGATCCTGAACAAGAACAAATCCACATCAACCTACGCATTCTGTCAACAGCAGCAATGGGATTTCTGGTGCTTCCGTGTGACTGTACACATTAAATATGTACCTTAATGAAGTTAACATTGGAGTAGTAGGCATAAGAGATGCAGTTAGGATCTGAGACCCCTGGACCGGAGCTTTGAGGAACATCCCACGTCAGCTCGAGTATGTGGCCTGGAAGCAGGAGATCATTAAATCTATTGTTAGAAACAAACAGAATACATTTTTAATCTTAAAAAAAAATAAAAAAGAGATTCTCACCAGGTTGGACGGGAACGTGAGCGCCGCTGGCCTTCACCCCATGTGGGGCAATCGAGTATGGACGACTGGCTTTGTTCTTGAACGTGATCACTATCTGCTCTCCCACTTCTGCTTTGATAATTGGCCCTACAGAGGAAAAAAAAAAAAGTTATAATCTTCAAATTCTTTTTTGGTAAAAAAACGAAACATCATATGGAGCACTAAGCGTACCCATAGTTCCCAAGTGTAGCTGGCTGCCCCGTCGTTCCTCCTGAACTGTGAAGGTGTCATCGGTGTATTCTCTATACACCGCCTTCTTATAGCGCGAGCCAATTCTGTTTCCTCCTCTCTCCAAAAATATATTGCCTGGACTGGAAGATATGTAGCAATTTGCTTCCATTAACAAACAGCAATAACTTACACCACTAATCACAGGCTCGGGTTCCAACAGAGAAATACGTCATCCTACAATTATCTAACTCACACACCTGCTCTTTAGTGTGCCGTTGTGGTTCTCCTTCTCCCAGTCTCTCCTGGGGGAGTAGTCCCACTCTACTTCTTCAGCGCTAATGAAATACTGCACAATCTTGGTCGGCCCTCCCGAGTGTGTGGGCTTCAGTTTGTGTTGCGGGCACAGGTTCACTCTGTACCGCTGCCTCATGCCAGCTGAGTAGTGGTCTGTTACTCTGCAGCTCACCTCGTAGAGGCCTGAAAAGGGGGATGAAAAGTGGTTACGCTTTTGGACACATGAGTGTGCTTTACCTAAGGTGCAGGCATTTCCCGCTGAAACACACAAATCCCTCTTTTTGCTCTGTGGCTCCCTGCGAGTTGCACTTTGCATTTCTTGCTGTGCAATTTGTTGCAAATTGTCTGCGTGTTGAGTAAGCTTGATGTTATCTAAGCATGTTTATAAAAAATAAATCTGTTCAAATTCTGACAATGTCTGTGAGGAAAGAGGTGGGGGTTGTGGATTGGCAGCACAGCGTGCGTTTGCATGCAAGCACGTGTGTGTGTGTGTGTGTGTGTGTGTGTGTAACGTCACTAACCAGGAGTGCTTGGCTGCATTAAGGCAGTAGCAGTGGTGTGAGGGAAAAGGCTCACGGTGTCACGTGTTGTGCTCTGCTTCTTGAAGGTGTTCCCCTCAAAATAAACACCATGGATGTCCACTTCTGTACCCAGCCCAAAGGTGTACCAACTAACTTTGTCCCCGGCACACATCTCCAACCCGTGAAGGTTCCCATACATGCGTCCGTTTACAGCTATATCAAAAGGGAAGATTACAACAGAAAAATGCAGAGTAAGATACTCAAGAAATACAACTAATAGCCCTGAAATGATTGTATTTATGATACAGAGGTATATTCAGTATTAATAGAAACACATCTTGTAAAACGACACACTCTTTGCCAAACACATTGATTACCATGCATCAAATTGCTCTCCTCAAAGTCTTCATCTTCAGGATTTGTCCTGTTCGTGCCAAACACCTCAATATTCTCCTCCAAATACCAGCTCTTGTTTTCATCCATGACAGAGAACAGGAGGAAGAACTCCTTATCCACACCCTTCTGTAAAACAAAGCACCTCCGGTCACAGTCCGGATGTACATTGCAATAGCCGTTAACAGGATATATGCAAAACGTATGTCACATTGTTTCAATTCAAAATGTCAATGGCTGCCTTCCGAACATGTAAACTGTGGTACTGTCACAATCAACAAGATCATCTTCAGCACAGAGTCATTTGTTCTCATCTGATCTGCGATCATTTGATTTGATCAAATGCCAACACGGCTGAAAAGATTATTTCCTGCATTTCTCTGAGACAAAGTGTGTGTGAATGGATAATAAAGCAGCACCTGGGTTCCGCTCTCCGTCAGCGCTCCCTTCTTGCACACAAGCAGAGGTCCCACTAATCCGGAGTTAGTGTCCAGGGCGGGATCCGTTGCAGAGAAGTACAGGTAGGGGATACAGGGAGAGTCCGATGAAGACGGACCTTCTAGCACCTGCCAGCTGTAGGTGAAGTTCACCCCTGGACCAACGTGGGATCCTGGCTTGTCAACACCTACAGTATTACACATAAAATAACCAACTGTTATTAATATTAAACTCCATCTCTATATAGTGAGCCTCAGAATGTTTTTTATTTCTAGTTTAAGTTTTTATTCAGAAATATAAACCATTGAAAAACATGTCCTAAATTATTTTTATTTATGGATAATGTGATTAATTTGCTTTAATCTAAAGTGTGAAATACAAATGCTCTCATAACTTTATTATACATTTTTCAGCATGAATTCACACGGGAAAGAATGTTCCTTACTTCTAATTTAAGCTTTTGTTCAAATGAAATTAATTCAATAGTACAGCTAGAATCGGAAGAACGGACACAAAGGGATATCTATTTCAGTCTTTAAGTCTTTAAGATACAAAATGCAACCTGAAATGTTCAAACCACCCAAGTTAATCAAATTATTTTAATGATGTTAATGCAACTAGTCACTTCCTCACCGTCTTCATAGCTGACTGCCTGGAAGTGTTTGTCATAGTGCAGGCCATGAGGCTGTATGCTATAATTTCTATCAGCTTTATTCAGGAAGGTCACTCTAAGAGTGTCTCCCTCCTCTGCCCTCAGCACTGGACCTGGACAAATACAGAAACATTGTAAATAGACAAGAGAACTGAGTAACACAAGGCACCAGCGTACCAGAAAGACACAAAAGAGGAAATCTCAAATTTTGCGAAAAAAAGCGAGGCCTTACCTAAGAATCCTAAGTGTTGAGAAGAAGGGGTTGATGGTTTTCTGACGGTAAAGGTGTCGTCTGTGTACTCTGCGTATAACACTTTCAGGTAGTCCCCTCCGATCCCTCCACCAGCTCTACCAAAAAATACCTCGGATGCACTGTGAGATAAAACAGAACAGAGGATGACCAACATGCAATTCATATCCGGCCTCGATAAAAGCCGCAATGTTTAATTTAATCTTCCAGAACACTAAACGCAGCAGATTGCTGACTCGTCGGTGATGATGAGTCACTGCGTCACTATCTACATCATTAACTCTAGACGCCACGAAATGCCTGACCACAGGAACAACCGGTTCAGTTATCATCAGCCCTGAGGCCATCGGGACTGATAAAAGGCAACTTACTTCAGAGGATCCTCCCTTAATGAATAATTTAATCAGTCAAGCATTCCTTACTCCCTTCTCCAACTACTGAGGTTGTTCTTTCTAGAGGGAAAAAATTAGCTGACGCATATCAGCCTGGCTAAAAAATGTTATTCTGTGTCCGGTTCTAAGGGACATTTCGTCATTATCTTAACATTCTATTACATCCTATCAATAGGACAGCCAGTAAGACTGTATGTTTTTGTTAACAACCTTATGCAGTACACATGATGTCTCGGGCTAAACGTATGTACAAAACCCGGCATGAATCCACATGTGCACAGCTCTCTGCTTGGTACAAACGTCAGGGGTTTTGCTTCACAATGGCGTTACCATTGATGCGGTTGAATGCGCTACTCCGAATTTGACAAGGGTTCTACCCACCTGCCCGTCTCAGTGAGGGACACATTTTTAATTAGATCCCTTCCTGAGGGACCGTAGCTCCACTGGACTTTCTCTGCAGCCAGGTAGTAGTTCCTCACCACACCACCCACCCCTGTATAGGCGGCTTTTCTGCCACATGCATTCACTTCATAGAACGCCTGCATCCCAGCTGGAATTGGTAAAAAGAGAGACACACTCAAACGTTACATGGACAATACCTCCAATGCTTGTGGTGAAACTGGGCCTTTGGAGGCTCGCAAAAACGTCTGTAACTTGACGTAAAAGGTCAGAATGAATAGTTTATAAAAAAGATATATGACAGAGATCAGTTATCATCAGCCCATCAGATAATAACAGGACACAGAACCGGTAAAACCACTAAAGGTGAGATTTGTGTAGCGTATCTATTTAGTCTCAGAGAAACAAAAAAAGGCTTCTCTGAGCCTGATATAATACCAAGGAAAGGAATTTCACAGGGGTCAACATTATTTATAACGAAGCTTTAATGTTTAACAAGTACGGCTCGCTCTGTCCTTAGTTAGAAGGGCCTCAGCCTTAAAGTACAAGTCCTGCCAAGCATCCCTTTGACAAGATGATAAAGCCGTACCCCTCACAAAGGAAACACATCCCCCCCCCACGCCATCATTCCTCTGCATGACTGGAGCAGAAAGGTTAAAGGTCGCACAGAGGTTAAAGGTCAGGTGCCCTACCCTGCAAGTGGTCGTTGACCTGGCAGGTCACCAACCACTTTCCTGACGCTTTTGGGACCATCTGAGCCGTGGCAAACGTGGCTGGGAACAGGCTGAGGACGTCGGTGCGGTGGCCACGGTCCAGCAGCGTATTCCCATGGAAAAAGACGGAGTGGATGTCCACCTCGTTACCCATGCCAACCAAATGCCAGGCTACCGTGCTGTCCTGGCATAACTTGATTCCGGGCAGGTTACCAAACATGTAGCCATTGATAGCTGTCACGAAGAGAGAAATACAGACAGGCGGGGTGGAAAGGACAAAGAGAACACACTTTAAACCTTCTTTCATGCACTTCATGAAACTTGTAATTGCTTGTTTTATGTTACCAACCAACCAACGTTTATCTACATGCAAATGTTTCGGTATGGATAAACTGTGAAAAGGATCTTTCCCACCGTGCATCTTGTTTGACTCCTCAAAGTCTGGGTCTTTCCGGTATACTCCAGCTGGATCAGAGCAGTTCTGAATGTTGTCCTCCAGGTACCAACTCAGGTTTTCATCCACCACGTAGAACATCAGGAAGACATCCTGGTCAACATCCATTCGGGGCGACTCTAGGACAGACTCTAGCTTCGCCTTCACACCAGTCTCCTTCAAGGCTCCTGCTCTCATAGAGAAAGATGAGACATGAGGAAGATGCAGGATGAACGTGTCAAAAATCAGCAAGATTAAATAGCACGCAGTCACACATATTCATACCTTTCTTGCAGGTGAGCAGTGCTCCGATAAGTCCCGAGGCGACTTCCCTGGGAGCGTCCACGTGAGAGTGGTACGCCCAAGTCAGACAGTTGGCATCGTCATCTGTGGGGGCAAATTCGGGTTTGACCTCCCAGCGGTAGGTGTAGCTGCCCCCGGGAGGAACCGAGTCGTCCTCCTTCAGCTTCTTTGATGTCCCATCTGGATAAAGCGCCCCTGGTGGATAAATGCAAGATGTTTATCCTGAGACCATTCTGTTTACTTTTAAAGTTGGGAAAGCAGTTAAATCTGTACGATTTGTCCGTAGAATGTCTTTTGAATGCAAAGCCATGGTCTTAACAAGCACATTTCTTTTACTTAACTGTTTAATTCTGTGCAAAAATCATGTAAAACATAATATGCATTCGTTTGATGATTCAAATGCAAATAGGTTTGATAAGCACATTTTCTCAATGGAGGTATCTCAACTCATTCCTTCCTCAGGTCTTATCTCAGTTAAACTTTCAGCCTCTACGTGTATGAGTGATGTATGAACCTATGTAGCAATCTACACCCGTCACTGCACGTGGTCTAACAGAGAATTAGCTGCATTTATCCAGTTGTATGTCTGTGTGTGTTTGCCACGGGGCTTGTATTTTTACTCTATCACTTCATCTCGCTCCCTTCCTGCCCACTTAGCTATTTATTAAAAACGGTTCTACTTAGAAGAAATGTTTTCGATGACTCATTGAAAGATCTAGATAAAATGCTTAATAAAGCAGTATATTCCTCCTAAAGAGGAAGTTTTGTTTCTTGACTTATTCCGGAAATTCCAGAAGCACAGATTTACCCCGTGATAAGCGTTACAAAGAGCTACAAAGTTCATATTACTTACACGTAGAAAAATACCATAATAGTTACCCAGTGATTGGTACTCAACTACGTCCCTTTTTGTACTCTCACATTTAGTCTGTATTACATTTGTTAGTCCTTTCATCTCATCAGTCCGTCGTATCTTTTCTGACTAGCTTTACACAAAGATTTGGTGTAAAGCATCCATAAAGATTTGATCCATTTGACAGAATAATCTTGTAATTGTATATGTAGGCAATAATAATGCATACCTCTGAGCCCACGTATTGAATATTCCAGCTGTTCTAAAGAATAGTAATGGCCGGACTTTGAAGGTCATCCAATGATTCAAATCTTTTTAAATTGCCACATGCACAGCGTATGTCTCCTTATTTCCACAAGGAATAAGGCATTAATAAAATACTTAATAGATTTAGTGCTGCTTGTTCAGTGAATCAGCACCTTTGTGAGACTTAACTCTTATCTTATAGAAACATATACAGTCATAAACGGTCAGTACAAAAACTGAAAAACTGTCATTCATTTTAGAAGGAAATTCCTTAGGTATATTATTCAATATTAGAAGTCATCTCATACCTTCTGTATCCTTCGTATAGAAAACTCCGTGAGGATGCATAGAGTAACTCCTGGTTGCAAAGTTCTTCAGGTGGACCACAATAACTTCGCCGACCTCAGCTCGCAGTGTCGGCCCCAGGAAGCCCAACCAGGCCGGTCGGGGGACTTTCCTGCTGTACGTGGAATCTGTATACTGTCTGAACATGGCCTTCTTATAAACACTGCCAATACGATGGGGTCCTCTTTGCAGGAACACAGACGCATGCCTGAAATACAAGTGGAGAAAGGATGGAGGTAAAACAGGAAGACGAGAGTGTGTGAGAAGACGAGGAGAAAGTGACAGCCACTTCCCATCCCATTTCCTCGGGTCATGTTCAGGCTATCGTAGAGTACACGGTTACACTGTGACATGCAGTTTTCTCTTCCTATGTTGTGACATGAATGAATCTGTAAAGAAGAAGCATAACTAAACGATAAATACTTAACCTAAACAAACACACCTTGGTTTAATGCTGGCTGATATTAGATTTTTTTTTGGTGGAAAGGTTACAAATGAGAGCCGGCAAATGCATAAAGTATGTTTTGTAGAAATGATCCACTCATCGATTTAATGATAAGCAAAGTGGACAATATGATATAGAGAGAAGAAAATGATCATTGATTAATTGATGCTAAACTAGCTTGCTTTAAGTCCAACCGATTCTGTAGCGCCCGTATGTATTTTAAATTGATGCTATTAAGTTTCCAGCATTGTGCAAAATAACAATGGACAAGTATTAGCTTATATGTAGATATCAAGTGAAGAAGCTACAAGCTGTTTATCCGTAGAACCATCAGGGACTCAGATGTCCTGCAGGTATTCAGCTGGCAAAGACAGAGATTGAAAGAGATACCTTGTGAACGTGACTATCCATCACAAATTAAATAGAAAATTCTCATTGCACATTTTTACATCTTTTAGTTTACTGTATTCCTAAAGCACAGTAACCATTAGTAACATGTATATAAAATAACAGCCTCCACGAGAGGCAGCTGTCCCTGTTTCTTAATTATTCTGGTCGTTGTTACATGTTACATGTTACAAGTATCATTTTTCCAATGCGTCTGCTAATCTATCAGCAAAGTACACCACACCACCTTCTGACCTTCTGAGGTCTAGATGACATATCACTTTCTCACAATCTTAGTTTGGGTTGTTTTTGTTCACCAGATACACCGAACACCCCCTGTGTGTATTAGACATAGTAGTATATGTGCACTCACAATCTCTAACCTAAACGCTTCTGTGACTGCATCACAACTCACGGATCATTTTCGACGTCTAGCCCGTTGAGAAGGTTTTTTCCGCTTGGTGCGTAATCCCAGTAGTCCTCAATGATCCCCACATAGTAAACTCTCTCCCTGCTGCGCCTCCCTTCCGCTCCGGAGGCGAGGAGGATCAACAAAGAAGCCACAAACAGACCCAAAGTCGGTGCCATGAGTGTGTGTGTGTATGTGTGTGTGTGCAGCTGATCGCTCCGTTTCAATGGAGAGGTCTGAACAGTCCGGCGGCTTTTTGGTTCAAGTGGAAAGTTCCGTTGATTCTGCCCCCCCCGCGAGCGCGTAACAGCGGCGCGCTTTGGGAACGGCGCACTTATGAAACTAGAGCAAAGGAGCACGCGTTGGCTGATTCTGTGACCGCCTCCTGCGGTGTCACAGTACACGGATAATAAAACCTCAGCGTTAATTATTGTAAAATGGCAATTGAAATTGCCAGGTGGGAAATTAAAGTAATTTGTCCACTTAATGTAAAATGCAGACACAAGGTGCCGTGGGGCGGCTTAGATTGGCTGTCAATTTTTCCAGAGTTTAAGAACGATTGCCAGCCGGGGTGCCAAGATTTGTTGTTTCGTTTTGAATCATAAATCGACATTTCGTCTCCTCGTTCTGATAAATAAATCCTTCTAATCGCCCCTTAGTGGGTTAATCAATAGTCTGCATTATTTAGAAATGGATTAAGAATTGTTTGAATATAACTCTACTTGGGGCGAATTTGTCCCAGATCATGTTCTAAACTCAGCACACCAGCATCCTTATAATAAGTGTGTTACTGTGAATCTCTCTGCATCAAAGGGGTGAGGAGGCTGACACCTGTTGACCAGCTCTGAGAGTGCAACTCATGGCTCTGCCAGTGCTGAGTATGCATATAGGATACATCAATATTATAAAAATCGTTGAAGCATATTCTGATACCTGCAGGCTTCTTATTTATGATACTCTCCACAAATCTCTAATGCATTCATTTGCCAGTGGTTTTACAGGATAATTGGGTGGTTTAAAAGTCTGAAAAAAAGCAGCCCCCAGTTTTGCATTGTTATTTTTATCGTATGTGCTTGTCTGTCACCAGGGTCTGATTGCGTTTTCTTTTGTCTCGCAGCACCATAGTGCCTCCTGAAAGGCCAGAGAAAGAACACATTGTTCCGTATGATCCTGCGCTTTACTTTATTGTCTGGCCCCGGCCGAGCGCTTCATTATGGGATTTACTAGCTGGTGGATTTTTAGATTCTCCAGCCTGTACCTTTCATTAAATGTGATTTACTTAAATAATTTAGTCTAGACTGTCAGATTCCTATTCTCAAGTCAATTTGTACATCTGCAATGTTCGTGCTGTTAAATTATGTTACAGTCTAACAAAAGAGACCAAAAAATGAAACTTTGTGTCTCTTGTGTATCTTCACTGCCAGCCAACTGCCAAACACTGGTAGTCATCCCAGTATGGAGGCTACATTGACATGACATCCCTTGAACAGGACTCAACGCACTTCTATCTTCTATTTGTGATGGTTAGCATCTTGTGTCAGATTAAGCTTAATCTGATTCCAGGTTTAGTTGAAGATTTAGACAGATTTACATATTTATCACTGTGAGCAGGTGGGAAGGTCTTTTAATACTTGTAGCAAAGAACAAATCTTTTTTTTCTCATCTTGTCACTAAACTACCCATCTCCTTTTAACTACTGATTCTGGCTTTTAATGTCTCATTTTAACATCACACAAGAAGTCACAGAATTGACAAAATACTTGTATTTTCATGTAAACTTGTATTAATGTAATGCTTTTGAGATTATACAATATAGATACAATTATCTGATGTTTATTGATTTATAATGAACCTAAATGTGGCCTATTTATTATCAGTCGTCCCCTGGAGTGCCGTGCACGTGCACCGCTAGTTTACGTGAGCGCGTTCCCGTCCCCGTGAATGCGCAGCAGCGCGCGCTGCCGGCTGTCTGCGCCGTAGACTGTCGGCGCCCCGGCGGTCAGTAGTGGTTCAGACATGGCCGCCCTCAGCAAAATACCGCACTGCTGCTACGAGGTCGGTCACACCTGGGACCCGTCGTGTGTGCAAGCTGCCGTCGATATAGCCAAGGGTGCTCTGGAGGTCTCCTTCAAAATATACGCCCCTCTCTACCTGGTAAATATGCCCCCCCGACGTGCACTATTCGAGCTTAACAGTAGCAAACACAACCAGCCTGAAGCTAAAGTTAGCTAGCTAAACCGAGTGAGGCTAAAGCTCACTAACGTTAATTGCGGGACACGTCACGGGTTTTAATTTGGGTACGAAGTTCAAAAAGCTTTCGGGCGATGCATAAAAGTGGTGAAAACATTGCAAACCAGCATGACCCGATCCCTGCGAATTAACGTAACATGTCACCACAGATAACTGTAAAACGTGATAACTTAGCGGTTATGCCGTAAAACAGTCGCACAATTTTTTTTGTTTGCGCCGTGTAATCACTCGTTAATACTGAACAACAGTCGATTACTACTGCAGCTTCAGCTGTGCTAGTTTCATGCAATTGCACAACATTTGTTTTCGCAACTGGGGGGGAAGTCACTCAGCAACCGAGTGCCCCCAACTCAACCCTGCGTGACGTCATTGCAGATAGCAGCAGTCCTGAGGAGAAGGAAGAAGGATTACTATTTGAAGAGGTTTCTCCCAGAGATCTTGTGGTCTACCTCTTTCCTCACTGCCAATGGAAGTCTCTACATTGTCTTCTTTTGCATCCTCAGGTTAGTTCAACACAGACACAACGCTGTCAAGCATCAGCTGTTCCCGGGTGGGAAATGGATTCATGTTTCCAAATTATTATCTCGGTCTGCTGTTTTTTTTTATTTTTACAAAGTGTCTTAAATGTGCCCCGTGGCGTTTTTCTTGCACAGATGAGATAAGATAAGCCTTTGTAGAGCAAGGCATCGCTGCTCATCAAAGCATGGACAACGTGTTCCTCATCTTCTCTACTTCTGCATTTCCTTTACGCTCAAAGTGCTGCACACATTTCCAAATGTCTCCGCAGAGACACGCCGTTCAGCTAATATCTCCACAAACATAAAGAAAATATGTGCTGACTGTATGAAAAAAAAAAAAGAAATGCCACTGGATATTTCCATATATGTCTTTTCTTCAGGAAGCTGTTGGGAGGGTTCTACTCCTGGTCCGCCGGGTTCGGCTCGGCACTGCCCGCCTCTTATATCGCCATCCTCCTGGAGCGCAAGAGCAGGTGAGACACCAGTCTGGGTGCTCTCACTGCGTTTCTCTCAGTTTTCCTACTGTCAAATCCAGTTAATGTTTTGAACATGTGCACAACAGTGGACATGTTTTTGGATGCATCTCAAGTATCCGGTGTGGATGCAACGTGCTCCTGCGATTTTGGGTTTATTGATCTGTGTTTATCTCCTTTCCCCGCCCGTCAGGAGAGGGCTGCTGACGATATACATGACAAATCTCGTAAGAGCTGCATTGTTCTTTTTATACGTTATTTGTTATACGTGAATGGATGTATGTGTGACGGCATCCTCTCGTCGTCAGGCCACTGAGACGCTGTTCCGCATGGCAGTGACACGAGGAATCGTCAATCCCATCAAACATGGCGAGGTAAGATGACAAGCAGGTGTGGGTGAGCTGAAGGGAGTGTGAAGAATATTGAGTAACTCTGCAATAGTATCATAAACTTCATAACAGATTGTGTCCCATGAACATTAAATCATTACTTATATCTGTTTTTTTGATCCACTGCCTGATGCCCTTTTCCATTTTTCCCCATTAGGTGCTCTTGTTCTGCATAACTGCATCGCTCTACATGTTCTTCTTCAGGTTAGAGCCGCACAGCAGATTCCTACAGTTAACTTCGAAGCGTTGATTTTGATAAAAAATGAAAATATATTTGAGCGAACATTATTTGTTCTGCTTCAGGAGTAAAGATGGTCTCAAAGGCTTTTCATTCTCCGCATTGAAGTAAGTTGTTCCTTCTCCCACGGCTGCTTTGCTTTCAATTGACAGGCGGTGTCTCGATGAGGCTTACATAGCTGGCGTGCGTTTTTTCCGTAACAGGTTCATCGTAGGAAAAGAAGAGATTCCAACGCACTCTGTCGCCGGCGAACAGACCTGCGCCAGGTCCCTCGAGAGGGCCGCCGCTTTGGGGCCCGAGGATCCACAGGCATCAGGAGACAGGCCGTCCTCCAGGAGCAAAACTCTGGTAGCTCAAATCAGGGCTCTGCTTCAATCCATGTGAGAAGATCCACTCCTTCACTTCACTGACATCAGGATTGGTGCAGAGGGCCCAGTATTTACCTTTTTGTTTTGCTTTCTAGATGCAAAAAGGGTCCAAGACACCGATGTTGTAAACATTACCAAGACAACTGCATATCCTACTGTGTGAAGGTAAGACACTTGTGTTAGATGGATAACAACACTCTTTGATTTTACATTACAGGTCATTTAGCTGACGCTTTTATCCAAAGCGACTTACATTACACTTTTAACCCATGGCTCTTAGGGGTTAGGTGTGCTTGCTCAGGGACACTTCGACATGGGGAAGCCGGGACTCGAACCACCAAACCTGTGGTTCCCAGCACACCCTCTCTACCCCCTGCGCCCCGACGACCCCGATTCGTTTTATTATTAAATGATAAACCTTTTTTCCTTTGTCCAGGGCTTTGTCAGGATGTTCAGTATTGGCTACCTGATTCAGTGTTGTCTTAAAGTGCCTTCAGCATTCCGGCACATGCTGACTAAACCCTCCCGGCTCCCATCGCTCTTCTACAACAAGGAGAACTTCCAGCTAGGGGCCTTTCTAGGATCTTTCGTCAGTATCTATAAGGTACAGGCTTTTTTTTTTTCTTCTTCTTCAAAATGCGCTCTATGACTGGTTTGCATATTTCGTAGAGTGTAATCTGGTGAATGTTTCTCTTTCTCTCAGGGAACGAGTTGCTTGCTGCGCTGGCTGCGCAACATTGACGATGAACTCCACGCACTGATTGCTGGTGAGACAGTATTGCGTAAACGGCCAAACAAAGTCCGGGTGGCGCAATCCTCCGGGTCGTCTCTTCTGATGTCAGGTCGTGTGTCAGCTGATTTTCACTTAAGGGATGCAAAACATAATGGCCGAGGGGGCCGGGGGGGCATGCACGGATTTACAAATTGGGATTTGCGTGCGCCTGTACATTTTAGCACTGCCGGCTTCTGCTTCAAAGCGCCACGAGCAAAGTGGAAAAATAAGAGTGCTCCGTGTGTCTCAGAGGCTGCATGCTGGTGATTAACAGAGCCAAGAGTTCTCTTCAGTGTTTGACAGATATTAACAAAATTATTTCTGATTTAAATCAGTTAAGAATTGCATTGATCGCACAGATAGAGGAAATCCTTGTTAGATGGGCTGCATAACATGTTGAGTAGGAGGGCATTTAATGTAGTAGTAAAACATTACAATAACCACATTGTGGCATGTGATGACGAAATGATAAAATAATAAATTGAACGATTACTAAAGTTCACATCACTTAGGAATAGGCAGTCTTTTAACATCAATAGCTATTTGAAGACCGTGGGCTGAAATGCAGCACCAGCCTAGTACTCATTTACAATAATTCATTTCATGTTAACTTTCTTCTAGTCAGACTCATTGAAATATGCCATGTAATGCCAATTAAGATCAGTGTATACGATAGAATACTGGCATTAGCTTAAACCGGAGGCCACCAAATCAAGACCTCTTTCCTCCCGCTCGCTGTTTACGCCAAACTATTGTGGAAATAGTATTTGTTCAAGCCTTCTGCACAGGCCATTGTCACATGGTCATAGGATATAAAGCATGTTGCGTTTGCATCCTTTTTAATCTGTTTATTCAATTGTCTCTCTCTGTCTTCCAAGGCTTCCTGGCTGGTATGTCGATGTTCTTCTACAAAAGCACGTCAATATCCATGTATCTGTTCTCTAAGCTGGTGGAGGTAAAATAAAATCTCAGAAGCACGTCAAACTGTAAAAAAGAAAACTACTTCTGTTGGAAAAATATACCGGCTAACAATAATGTCTCATCACGAGGATGAAAAAAACAAATCGTACAGAGCGTATAGTAAAATATCAGTGTAGCGGGTTCACTTATAAAGAGTACTTTTCAACACAATCTCGACGTTCCCTGTGTGTACAAGTATATTCACGTGTGTGTACATTTGGTCACTGCTATTATTTCAAACATAAACCTTGCAGGAATGTTAGATGTGGTAGTAGTAGTTCCTAAGTTAGCTTAATGTCGGACCGACCATATCTGCTTATCTGAAATGTATCTGTCTTCACCAGTTCATCATTAACAGCACATGTCATAAACTCTCTTTAGACCATGTACTTCAAGGGCATTGAGGCCGGACACTTCCCTTACTTTCCTCATGCAGACACAGTCCTCTATGCCATCTCCACTGCCATCTGTTTCCAGGCTGTGAGTAACACAAAAAAAATGCTTCATACACATTTTCTTTCTTTCTTTTTTTGTTGAGAAGGGATATAATGTCTGACTCAATACTTTTGCACAGGCTGTGATGGAAGTGCAGAACCTCAGGCCGACGTACTGGAAGTTCCTGCTGCGTTTAACAAAGGGCAGGTATGAATGAATTCCACACCTTTTTTAATTGTGTTAAAACATTAAGAATGACGATTACAAAGTAAAAGGATGACATTTAGTATTTCTTGTGGTCTACACTGACTGTTGGATACACATCCGTCATCACATGTTGTTAAATTCTGTATATTTAACAGTCAACGGTCTAAATATGTTCATCTGTAGGCGAACGTTGTGCTCCTCATAACAGCACAGAGATCATCCTCCCTTTCCGCTCCTAGATTTGCTCTGATGAACCGGCAGCTGCTCGATGTGTTCGGTACTCAAGCTTCGCGGGACTTTAAAGGCTTTGTTCCCAAACTGGACCCTCGATACACCACGGTGCTTCCACCGGGAGGCGACGTCCAGCTCGGTTGAGTTGGGACCAGGTCGTGGGGAGGTGGAGGTGGGTGGAGGGGGGTTACCTCAACAGGAAACAGAAAGGTTGTATGTTATACAACCTTCTGAAAGTCGAAGAAGGGATGTGGCGTTGTGAACTGAGATGGGTTCTGGAGGATGTTGAGCCTAAACGCAACTCTGTGCGATTCAATTGTGGTGCCACACAAGCACAATACCTTAATAGGCCTTTATGAAACTGGTAAAAATGAATGAACAAGAGTATTTATTACTAAATAGTACTATTAATACTTATTATAATAATATGAAGTCCTAATAAAACACAGACAGAAATATAGGCTGAAATTTCCAGTTGCTCTTGGCAGTGTGACATCACCTGTTTAAGATGTGGAGGGCAGAACTAAGGTGTATAATATTTAGGTTTGGAGGGTTGCTCTGACAACAGGGCAAAACTCACTAACCTTTGTGAATCCCCTGATTTTGACTGATTTAACCAGAGAAAGAATTTTGGCTCATTACTCAATCATTTCTGTCACTTTTTGCTAGTGATGATATGTGTAATTATATTGTCGACAATGGAAGATGAAGATAGATGGAGATCTATGATGTGAAACACATGGCTGGAAAGTCAACAATTTTAAGAAGTTACTTATTGATTTTGTCTTAGTTAATTTTTTCAAATGCAAATTTTACCAAATCTCATGCTCGAGAGCATTGGTCATAATGATGGCAATCAAGCAAGTTAACATTATACACAATGTGGTAGCAGGAAGAAACGGGTGGGGGGGGGGTGATCTATTGGTTATAAAACTAATTTACTGTTGATAAAGTGATGTAAATACCAATAATATCACCTTGAAGACACATAAATGAGGTGTAAATATAGCTACCGAAATATTTGTAAATCACACCAACTCATTGCACATATATATATATATAAAAAGGTTTATTTAAAAGATTAAATAACAGTCATAAATTCAGCTGCATGGTCCTGGTTTTCTCAACTTGTATACATACGTCTTACATTTTTCTACTGGTCTGCTTTTTATTGCAGACTATTTTTGGACAGAATTATTTTATTTTGGTCTTCAATCATTTTGCAACATGAGAAAAAAATAAAGAAATGATGTTTCCATTCGTCCCACCGGGCTGTCACAGGGATGCTTCCAGTCCTCATATCTGGGTATACGATTGTAATCAGCAAGTTTGTCTTTTCCTCTTCTGGTTTCAGTAGAATATAATGCAGAAACCGTTTCTAAATCCATATAATGAGGAATTAGGGGGCCAGATTGACGCTTTTAACTTGACGCAATAAAGGAAACCTCTGCACACGCAAAGCACGCTGCTCAATCCGCATCTGTTTTTTAGTATGCGTATCTGCCCCATAAAGATGTTTGAACAGGATGCATTACACCAGTTTCTAAGTGATGAATGGTTGCAGTTGTTCTGTAGTTAATGAATCCCTGGAAGCAGTAGGTGCTTCTGTGCTTCATGTGAAACTGTTGAGCTATTTGCTGCAAATTCAACCATGCCGTTGCACAGCGCTCATCTTGACCTAATCACAGATGTGAAACTATTTAATTTAAACTCTGTAAAATGTTTGCTTCTTTTTTTTTTGCACAGCTCACTGCCTGGTAATATATTCAAACTGCCAGTTTGTGAACCTCTTGCATTGTATTTCTCAAACCAAATCAGCTTTAGACACACCAGACCTCTGTAACAGAAGCCATGTTCAGACTAAAGTAGAATTGTTTAGAAAATAGTCACATGTTAACTAAAACTATTGCACAGTTATCTTCATCAAATGTTTGCGATTCATAAAAAAAGTGTACATTAAAATATTTTTTAATCCAAGTGCATGATTGATTTTTTTTGTGCGCAGCTTGATTCAGATCATTTTAAAGTTATTTGACAATAGATCACTTTTACAGCAACTACCTGCTTGGTAAATATCAAGTCATCAGGATTTAACTGATCAAGATATTGTACAATTTGAAGGTCACTGGAGAAAGATTTATTCACTTTGAGGGGAACCACAGATGTTGAGCACATTTGTCATGAGGGGTAGAGCGAGCTGATCGCTTTATCCAATTCTAAAATATAACGTTTCCAAAGGCGGATGAAATGTTAATTACTAATCTAATACAATTCAAGGGTATTCTTGGGTTTCCACAATATAATTCCTTGTGATCTACAAGGAATCATAACTACTGAACAGATGTCCATTAAAGGGCTAACATCCCAATCTGGACATGTCCTTTGCAATGCCACATTCATAGTTAATGCATTTTTAATCAACCGTTTACATAGTGAGTAATAACATGTTAATTTAGTTTAATCATGGTGAAGAACAATGGTTCTCTGCCGGTAGGGATCGTTATCCTTAGGATTTCATTACTATTTCATTTTTTCCTCACTCAGGTTACAGCAAAGTTACTATATGAATAACAAATAGAAATGTTGATAAAATAAATGACAATCCTGAGGGAAGTTGCTAACTTCAAAAAATGGAAAAGGTCATCCTGTTAAAGGTTTGACATCCCTTCACAGGCCCGGACAGTGAAATGGCCTCGGAAAATAAGGTATGTTTTTTTTAGTTGTGATCATAAATTGTGTGTACATCTAGATTACCTTCTTCCATTGTTGCTTCTCCAGGTGTCAGCACCCTGACAACATCACTGCTCATCCCCCACGTTGGTCCTCTTGTTCTGACGTTCAGTAAACCTCAGTAAACTAACTCACTAACGTTCACTAGTTCAATCAACCGTTCCACTTAACTAAAATAAGGTAGTTTCACATATTACAAAAGTGTATTAACAGCAGTATTAGCAAATACTTATTTTAGAGGGAAGAAGTAAAAATAAAAGGATTACTATAGCTGTTTAACTGCCTGAGAGACAGTGGTTTATTAATAAAATAAGATCCATAATGCACATAGCACAGGGATGCTCTGTATCCCGAAGGAGACAGTAAAGCAACGTAACGCGTGACGGCTGTCGTAAAAACCTTCCTCTGCTTGTCCATCGGCGCTTTACGGCAGCACACAGTTCCGTCACACAATCACGAACTGTGGCGTCGCTCTGCTATTTAAAAAGATAAGAAGAAACGGATACGTTTAAGCTTAATGTGAATCCATGGGGGGTAAGAATAAACAGCGAACCAAAGGAAATGTTCGGGTGAGTACTGATGTCTCCACGTTAACGTCACGTTGTTTCGAAGTTTGCGTTTTTTTTACGTCGCGGTCCAAACCGTTTTCAGAAAACACACCACGTCTCTTTCTGCCACTATCTGACGTAATTACTGAGCTTACACAATAAAAAAAACCCACACACACACCTCACACGTTTCTCGCCCGCCACCAGCCGTCCAGTAGCGGCCGAGCCGCCGCCGTACTGACCCGGGACGGGGGGGCGATCCCGGGGTTCGTGGGCTTCGACACCGCGGTCACGTCGGAGCTGAGTTACGTCCCCGCCGTCCACGGCGCGGAGGAGATCGACAACCTGGTAGATGCCGACTTCCGCCTGGTGCTCCGGAAACTCTCCAAGAGGGATGTCGTGACCAGACTGAAGGTGAGTCGGAAGCATGATCTAAACAAATGGCCTTTCCGCCCCATCGGGTGCGTTGGAGTGTATCAGGGTGTCTCTCTCCCCCCCCACCCCTCAGTGATGGTCTTGGTGTTGTCTCTTGTCAGGCGGTGCAGGACTTTGGGTCCATGTGTCAGGAACGGGATGCTGAAGAGGTGAAAGGGGTCCTGCCGTACTGGCCGAGGATTTACTGCAAGATATCAGTGGTGAGCTTCACTTTTAACCTTAATCCCTCCAACAATTGCTCCCAACCACCATCACCCATGTTTGATCGATCCCATCCTGCCTCGCACGTCACAGTCGAGTATCGTCTCAGTGAGGGGGATTTTTCTGAACAAGAGGTTGGCACTTTAGTCTTCACCGATATGCCTTTTCAGGACCACGATCGCCGGATCAGGGAGGCCACTCAACAGGCTTTTGAGCAGCTGGTGCTGAAAGTGCGCCGCAGCTTGGCCCCCATTCTGAAGAGCTTGATGGGCCACTGGATTCTGTCCCAGTGTGACACTTACACACCCGCAGCTTCGGCCGCGTGCCAGGCCTTCCAGGCGGCTTTCTCGCCCGGGAAGCAGCCGGAGGCCATCGGCTTCTGCAAGGACGATATCCTCAACGTGAGTAGTTCCAGCGGGCCTCGTGGACGTGGGGATTTTCTTCTTTTTGTATCCACTCAAATAGATTTGATCTTTTAAATGATGTTGCAGGTGCTTCAAGATGTTTTGTTGAAGGAAACGGCCGACACGCTGAGCGATCCGCAGTAAGTCGTACCCACGATAGTCTGCGTGTTCGTGTTCCGCTCACCGTGCATAACAACAGGGATGCGCTCGGTCGGATCCTTTCGCTGAGCCACTGGTTTCCCCTCGTTCTCTAGAAGCGTGACGGAGGAGGAGAGGGAGAGCAAATATGTGCGAATGGTGACCAGCTCTCTGTTGGGCGTGAGGAGACTGCTCTCCCTGCTGCTCCAGAGTGACCGGACGGCCCTGGAGGAAAGACTGGCGCATCTTCTGAACTCTGGGAAGTTCTGGAAGTACAGCAAGCACAAGACGCCACAGGTACTGGCGTTCAGTAGGGCTCGTGGTTCGCCTCTAATTCCACTTGAGTTCCGTATATTCATCATACGACCTTGAGTGTTCAAACCCCAAATCTGTTCAAACAACATAAAAACCTGCATCAAAGAAGCCATCTTTTTTTTTTTTTTTTTTACATGAGTGTTTGATCTGAACTTATCTCGGGTCGCTGAGTGTTCTCTCTCTGCTTGGAGTCGGTTGTAAAATTACCTGAATCTTTGGGAGCTGGTCTCTCTTGAAACGAATGAAAGGAAGGCACATCTGGCAGTAGATGTTTAAATGAATTGTTCCCACTATCGGCGTTTGATATTTTATGATTCTCCGCTGTGTATTGTTTTTTTTTCTTATTTTTTATTCTATATAATCAGTTGATTATAAACATCCCTATTATTCCCTAACAAATACAAACACCAATACTGTAGAATAATACGTGTCTTTGAATGAATATTTCCGTCTCTCCACAGGTGCGAGGGGCGTTCTTTGAGACGATGTGCGCTCTGTGTGAGTTCACTCCAGGACTCGTGCAGGCTGAAGCAGCCCGACTCTGCCCCGCTGTTCTCCTCAGCATTGACGACACGGATCCTGTAGTGCTGCCGCCCGTCTGGGAGGCTGTTCTTCACGTTGTCACTACGATCCCGGTATGATTGTGTATAAATGCGTAGGCAACAACACCGGTGCGTTTTATTTCTTTGCTGCCCCGATTCGCAGTTTGATGATCTCTAATATTCAATTTTTTTTTTGCTACCATTCCAGGATTCTTGGACACATGTGAATGCTAAGAAGGGCTTCTTACCTAAACTTTGGTCTCTTTTAAAAGTGGCTGGCAAAGGCATGGCTAAGGCCCTCCACCCTAATCTAATGCCCCTCCTCAGCAAACTGCCCCAGCAGGTCACAGATCCGACCTTGGACTTCTACACCACCTTCTTCTCTTCAGTCATACAAGGGTAACTTGTTCTTGTGTGTTGGTACAATGTCTCTACAACCTCTGTGTTTTCCCTACTTTGTGGCATTTTAAACTACAATTTAAACGGAGTAAATTAATACCTGAGTATGTAATCACCCCCTTGCAATAACGCGCCAGCATCCAGTAGGAAAACCAAACAATTAATAGTTTATCAACGTGCTCTATCTGCGCATGGGCAGACTGCAGAGTGATGGTTAAATATTGTCATTCATCCAATTTCAAGGGGACTATGTTATGCCAATTTGATTAGTATGTATTATTCATTTTGAAAATGAATGGGCTAATCAGATTTTAAAATAAATCTATACTCAAAAAAAAAAAAGTGAAATCTTTTTAGATTAAAACATGAACATGTTTTAAAAAAAAAAAACAGGAAATAAAACTCATGACAGGGGAACACATTTCATTGCACCGAGCAGCAATTTCATTTCTTTGTGCTTTCCGCATACGTTTGTCATATCTTTAGATGTATTGTTATCAGATAATCCATTGCTGTAGTGATAAATATAATACATGTATTCCTGTATCACAATCAACACTCGGCCCTTAATTCTCTCAGTCTGTCCAGTGAACGTGCTGTGACCAGTCCCTCTGAAAGTGCGGTTATAGTGACCTCTGTTGTTGAGTGCTTGAGGTACTGCATACTGCACAGCACAGAAGACGAGGAGGAACAGAAAAAGATCCGGACCATGCTCCTTTCCCAGCAGGTGGGATCAAACATTTACTCACTATTCCCCCCCCCCTTGTTTTGCCTGCCTCATCAATCTGTCTCACGTTCTTTTGTTGTCTTGTCTTTTCGTAGCTCTTGCCGCTTCTAGAAAAGGCTCTTGGGGACCCCTCCCTTCAAAATGGTCCTCTCTTCCTTTTGGTCACTGAATTGCTTATTTCCTGGGAGAAAAAGGCCGGCCTACGCGGTGACGATGAAGACGAAGCTGATGACAGCAGTGACATCTTTCAAGTGCTCCTGGCAGACTTCTGGGAGGGACTGGGTCGTTTGTTTGTGCGTTACGCCGACAATGAGGATGCAGATCCTCAGGCTTTGGAAGGAGTAGCCACCTTGCTGCAGGTGAGTTTTTACTTTGGGAGGGGGGGGGGGGGGGGTCTTCTTCATGTTTACAAGGACACGGCCGCTCAATATGGCTGTCGGAGTCGTTCATGTCCTATTTGAAAGTGCCAGAAGTGAAACAGAAAACCAACGTCTAGATAAATCTGCTCTCGCCTCCTCCCAGGTAATGCGCTACCCTGAGAGGGTGAAAAAGAAGCGCGCCCAGAAGAAGAAATCTGTCAAGATCTGTTTCTCTAAGCCAGAGAACAATGAGAAAACTGTCGTTGAGGCCGAAGGTGTTGAGAAGCCCGTTCCGACGGCGTCGGAGCTGCTGAATGAGAAGCCCCTCGGGTCCCTGCAGACCCAGCACTTCGAGGACGTGGTGTGTCAGCTGGCCCAACTGTGCCTGGTGCATGTGAATGAGAAGCACTCGGAGAGGCACCTTGTTTTCCTCTCCCTGCTGCTGCAGTCTTTCCACACGCCCAGGGTCTTCAGTGTAAGTCCTGATTACACATACGGGCAAATTCCAGTGTTGTTCTGAGCATGCATCTGTCTTTGATAACGGCCTGATCTTTTAAAAATGATGTATAATTAAACGAATCCAATTGACTCCCCCCCCCCCCCCCTCCCCCAAACCCTTCTCGCATCAGACGTTGGTTGAGTTGGACGACAAAACGACACCGGGCAGCGAGCAGAGGGACGAGCTGACCATGAAGAATCCAGCCATGCAGTTCCTGCTGGAGCAGGCGGTGGAGTGGCTGGCCGAGAGGGAGCGCACGGACACCGAGCACTTGGTGGAGATGGTCTTCAGCTCGCTCCACTGCTGCAGCCCGCAGGAGATCACCCGCATCCTCAATCACATCACCACGGTAACCCTAGAGGCAGATGCCAGAAGTTGTGTCCGGATGTCGAACGGCGTCTTTTCCATTGCAGGCGTTGTGTTCATGCTCGTGCCCTAGATTGAACTTTGATGTCGCTGTGTTGTTTCCCTGCTGACATCGGTGCTCTCCCCTTTGGTTTCTAGATGGGTTTACGGTGGGGAATCATCCTGCAAATCTTCCAGAGGGTATGTTTCTCCTGCACACGGATCTAAAGTGAGTTCTCTCGACGCACATCAAGTTACACACATCCATTTTCTCCTGCCCGTCCCGTCAGGCGAGCACGGACCCCGAGGCGCTCATAAGCTGTCACGATTGGCTGAAGGGTTCGGTTCTCGGCGAGCAGCTCCTTGGATTGACTGAGGAGCTCTGCGACGTGCGAGGAAACGCTCCCGCTTCTACCGCTTCCACCAGCAACCACAGCTGGACACTCATCAGCATGGTCCTCTCGCAGCACCACAACAATGGTACACACACACACACACACACACCATCACATGCACCAGCAATCATTTTGTTCCTGCGGAGCTATTGATGCACATCATTTGTGGATCATACCAGCAGTGACCCTATGTGATAATCATCTTTTCATCTGTGTTTGCTGAGCAGGGCCTGTCATAGGGGAGGTGTACATGGAGAAGATATTAAAGAGGCTCCATGCCACACTCTCTGAGACCAAGAGTCTGTCCGATGCAGGCAACACGGAGCCACTCATCTGCTTCATCTGCGACGTGGCTTCCACCTTCTTCTCTTCTGTGCAAGACTGTCTTCTGCTCCTCTCTGCCGAGGAACTGCTGCTCACCGTCTTCCAGCTCACCGCCCAGGATCCAACGCACACGCACCTTTCAGGTAGAGGCGCCCACAGTCTACAAACACATTCAGAAAAGCTTAGTAATACTAAAAAAACATTTGTCTTGCATTTACAAAGACTCTCTTTTGGATAAGCTGAGGAAGGTGTGTGTGGCTGGGGTCCAGTCATTGGTTCAACACTCTGAATATGAGGTCAAGAAAGGTGGTTTCCTGCACAGGGCAGCCGTTTGGGTTGTGAAGCAACTACTCACAGTTTCTCTGGATATTAAAAGGTAACAAAACTTTTTTTTAAATATGTATACTTAAGTCCGGTTGTCAGTAATTCCCTTTCTACATTTGGGCCTGTACATTGTTTCTGAATCCACATAACCATATCTTAAGCATCTTTAACCAAGCTTTGTTGGGGTTCTAGCTAACTCTCCGTGTTGCGGTTTAGTTTGCAGGTTCTAATAGGGGCGGTGCAGAGCTTAGTGGAGACGATCATCTCCGTCTGCGATAAAGATTCCCCCCTCCCCGCCCGCTTCTTCACACAGCTGATGCCCAGTCAGACAGAATGGACCAGAATAAGACAGGATCTGCCTCCTCAGGTGAGCCAGCCAGTCTATAAGCAACGGATCGTAAAAAAGAGAAGAAAGTCCCCGTACCATGTTGTGTTTTTGCCCTCGATCATTGAGAATCCATGTTGTTGGATGGTTGTTGTTGTTGATTATAGCAGCTGTTCTACTAGGCTTCCGACTTAATTCCTTTGTCTTGCATCCTGAAAACAATAGAAACCACTCTGAAGTCTGTAGATCATCAGAAATAACTGCTACTGCCACTGTGCATTTGTTACACAGAACTGGATTCTGCTTTTATTGGATTCCGGTCAAAACTCTTGACATCCATTCATGCAATTTGTTGGTATGCATGGAATGCTTTCCTGTCTGCAGTGGGTCAAAACTCCTTTACTGACCGGCTGTTACCGCGGAGTTTGTGAAAAACCCTCCATGGAAATGTGGAAGTTGAGGGTTTCAGCCCGGCCACCTGCCCACCTTTGTGCCTGTGCCCTGTTGGGGAGGGTGGCCCAGACTGTTGCATTCACACCTTGCGACAAAAAGGAGGCCGACTGGGATTCTCCCTTGCCGAAGCTTCAATACACAGGTGCGCAAACACTGACTGAATGACTCTCTAACTTTGGTGTTTTGTCTGTTTCTGTATTTGTGTTACGTTCAAGTCAACCTACGGGATTGTTTTAATGTTTCTTTGTATGTGTGTGTGTGTGCGCGCTTTTCTTTGGCAGTTTCAGAACTGTTGTATGCTCTGCAGTGGTGTAAGGAGGTCGGGGACATCGCTGCCTTTCACAGCCTGCTGACTGACTCGGGGCTCTTGGGTCTCCAGAGCCAGGTTCCAATGAAAGACCTGCTGGAGACACTCTACTCGAGGTGACCTACGCACGTCACGACAACGAGCGAGGAGCTTCAAAAGAAAAATGACTTTTTGAAATGACTTCAGAAGCTTTGTGATACCCACTGAATATGTGCGCGTTGTTACCCTGCAGGTCAGTGGAGGGTGGGGGTCTCTGGTCTCTGACTCTAGGGAACTACATCCACACCAATAAATTGGCAGCCACACACAGCGGAACCCTGAGAACGCTTTACGGCAGCGCAGACAGGTTCATCTTTTATTTATCACTACATGCATTTTTACATTGGCCACTCACCTCTGTTGTATATTGAACAGTGTCTGTGTTTGGTCAGTTTGTTCCCAGTGTCTCACAGCAAACTGAGCACGCTCCAGGTGCTGTGCCCCACCATGACCAAAGAGGACAGAGAGACTCTCGTTGCTCTGGCAACTGCTGGAATAATCAACTGGCAAGAAAATGACGGTGAGTTTACACATGTAAACAATCCCCCCTACACACACACACACACACACACACACACACACACAAATGACAATAAATGGACATTTTGGACATTTAGACCAAGCAACCAATGTGTGTTTGTGTGCGTCACAGACGTGTATGGGTGTCTAGCGGTACTGCTGTGCTGCCTAAAAGCCGACACGCATGTAGAGGACGAGGTTCTGCAGGCTATCCTGGCCACCGTGATGGAGTGGAGGAGCGGCAAGGAGGATTGGTTCCTCTTTAGCAGGTAATGTAATCACAAGAACCACACAACCCTGTTTGTCTAATCTCTTGAAACGCTATCTAAGTTTTGATACTACCTACTGAATCTAGCTGCGTCCGTCACATCTTTTTCAGTGATCTGTCCAAAGCAACGGCACCGCAGTTGAACCTCGCTGTGGAGATGATGCGTTTCCTGTCCTGGCTGGTGCCTAATTGTCCGAGCGTTCTCGGGGCCGGCCAGTGGGATTTCCTGCTCTGCTCCATGTTGGCTTGGTTGGAGGTGAGACACTGATCGCGCATATTATAGTGTTCTGGCACTTTGAGGTCATTCTCGGCTACAGCGCGGGAGCCGCAGTGTTGATGCTTCCTCTCGGGGGTCAAACTGGTCAAACAGGTATTTTAATTGTAAAAGCGCTCACTATGCCACTCTTCAGAGTGTAAGAAATACCAAAAATTTGTTTTATTTCTCGTTTATGACTCTCATCCGTTGTCTCTCTCCATCTCTGACTTCTTTCGCTTGCTCCCAACTTCAGACTTCCAGTGAGAATGTGAGCAGCTTGTGGAACCCGTGGGTGCAGTTGTTCGTGTGCGAGAATGCTGCCGTGATCGTGGCGCTGAACCAGTTCTTTGCATCATCTCCTCCCGATGTGCTGGAGAAACTGCCGCCTGAACTAACCGCCGAATGGACGGACTTCTTTGTTGAAGGAATCTACAACCTTCTGTTTCCTTTACCTGTCAGTATCACAGGTGTGTGTGGATTTTATTTTGAGGTCAACACCTACTGAGAAGACCGCAACAAAATGTACCAAATACAATTTTTTTTAATGTTTGACTTTGTTGACAATCCGGAACACGATTTGAGCTGAAATTCATACATTCAGGCACCTTTATGTCCTGAGTGTGAAAGTCACTGTCCTCCTTGTCTGACTGCAGATGCGTTCTCTGAACCGGATGACCCCGTTTTCCCTCTGGCGGTGCTGCAGTCCGTCGGCGCGGCACTGATGTATGTGCCTGTGCAGCAGCTGAAACAGAACTCGCTGCCGCCGCGGTTCATAGCGGACCAGAAGACCAACCTGCCAGAGCCCCTGCAGACGCTGCTCAACACCTTCTGTCCTCTGCTGCTCTTCAAGGCCAGGCCTCTGCAGATCACTGTCTACCACTTGTTAGAAAAGTAAGGACTTTATTCTAAAAGTGCGTATCAGTATTTTGGTGGATTCTCCATTAATGAACCGAGAAAAACATCTCTGCCAAAAACTGAATTAGCACTGGGTTAAATGATATTTGAGGCCCTGCAGGACGTTGGAAATGATCGAGGGTTGGGTGCTTGTTTGTTTTTATCGCCCAGGTGTCTGATTGAGCTTTGAAATAAGAGAACCTTAAAGCTCTCTGCAAGCAATAAAGTCAAAATGACGCGTTAAACATTTATAAGACCGGGTAAACATTTAATTTGAACATTCAAAAAGCTTAATAGTGTCCTCCATTGGAGTGGGACCGTATCATGGCAGCATCGTGGTCTGTTAAGTGTTCTTATCTTGTGTTAAGTATCACAATCCAAATCAAATCCATAACCGGTGAGTTTGATTTATACGGTTTGACATTTGATTTATCAATAATAAGTAACATAAACATTGCGTGCAATAGTCCACATTTCATCTAATATTCATGCCATCTCAGGCGCACACAGCGAGCAAGCCAAGCAGCGCAGGACTGAAAGTGAATCTTTATTTGCTTTATTTATTTCCAAAAAATGCTTAAACTTTCAAATTACACAAAATATTTTTCTCCCCTTTCTAAGGTTGCAAGAAAACATTTAAAGCTTCATTTTAAAACTTCAAAAAATCAATTTGTTACAGGCCCATATATAATGTAAACGACTATCATGGAGCACATAGAACAGAGAGGCTGGGTGTGAAAAAAGAGACGGTGAATTGTTTTTTTTAGCCGAGGGCACAGATTCTAGAGATGAGTAAGCCGGTTTATGTTGACTGAACAAAAAAATGACAATCTCTTCTGTCGCTGATTTGTAATCTGATCGGCCCAAGCCTGGAATGATCCTTTTACATCAAAGAAAGTAAACATTTGCTTATTGTCCATCCAGGGTCATGCCTCAGCTGCCAGAGTGTGATGGAGAAGGAGACAACAGCAAGTCTGATGATGATAGTGATGAGCCATGTCTGTAAGTTCACAGAGGAAATAGTAATATATGTATGTGTGTGTGTGTGTATATATATATATATATATATATATATATATATATATTTATATATATATGTGTGAGTATCTTCAGAGCTAAAGGAAGTTCCATCTTCTACTCGTCCTCACAGTTCCATTTCCTTTCTCTGCTCAGGTCTCCTCCCGCGTCTCTGATGTCCGTCCTGTCCACCTGTGAGGAGCTGTGTGACAGCATCCTCGCCGGGGTTCAAGTAGGAGAGTTTGCCGTGGTCCAGCCTCTCAGCGTGGAGTACTCCTGCATCTTGGGGTACTTGTTAGCCTGGAAGCTGCTCCTCACGTTTTTCAAATCCTCACCTTCCCATGTGAGTCATGATAGTTCCTCAGATCATCTGATCAGTTTTTGACTTTAATTCAATCGGATGTATAAGAATGAAGGCTTTGAGTCGACCCCCCCCTCTCATTTACTTCTAGCTGCGAGCCCATTACGCCCAGTTTCTTAGGAGAAGCTGCTCCCTTAACAAGCTCCTCCTCCACCTCTTCAAACTGATGCCAGAGAACCCCATCTATCCTAACCAGGGGCCAGAGACCAAGGAGACCAAGACCTTCTTTACAGAGAGCCAGTCTCTGGCTGTTCACAGTAAATGGCACTCGCACGCACGACTCACACACACACACACACGCCACGATAGTACCCGTACCTCACCTGCGCATTTCTTTCCCGCAGACGGCGACAGTGTTGAGTGGGAGCTCCATCACCTGGCCTGCAGCGTGTACTATAGCACGGTGCAGGACCTGCCCGCGATGGTGCGCCTCTGGTGGAACAGCCAGGAGAAGAGAGTGAGCGCCGCCGTGGAGAAGTTCACCATAAAATACGTCAGCCCCGTTCTCTCCGCGCAGGAAATCGCGTCCGTCCACACGAGCACTCAGATGTTTGACAGCATGACCGTGAGTTACCAAATACTCTGTTGCGTGTGTACTTACTGCAAGGCTGAACGACCCCCTCCTCCCCCCCCTCAAATGGCGGAGGCAAACTGTGTGTGTGTGCTTCCCCTCAGGTGAAGGCCCGCTCGGCGGCGCGGGAGGTGATTGCAACGTACTCCGTGGATGACATCTTCATCGAGTTGGTGATTCAGCTCCCACAAAACTGCCCTCTCGGCTCCATCACTGTGGAGAGCGGGAGGCGCGTGGGAGTCGCTGTGCAGCAGTGGAGGAACTGGATGCTGCAGCTGAGCACCTACCTCACACATCAGGTAAATGTGCAAACACACCACGGATATGAAACACGGGTGTTCTGTTGGCTAGTTCTTTAGTGCAAAACGTGAGTGGGGGTGGATGTCAGTGGGGGGGATTTATCCATACTCTTATCAGTTCTTTTTATTTATTTAAAATAATGATTTATTCAGCAGTGGCTGCTTTGCTGTGTAACAATTCGCCGTTGGCTAAGCTAGTGCGCCACGTTTTTTACGATTGAGTATGACGGCTCAGCCCTCGCAGAGAGCGGAGGAGATAATAAATAACAAAACAAACCTTCTAGACCCATCCGAGCGCTAACAAAAAGGCTTCAAAGGTTCTTTCTGAGTCTGAAAACGTAAATGTGGCTTTGTTTGCTCAGAACGGCAGCATAATGGAAGGCTTGGCTCTGTGGAAGAACAACGTGGATAAACGCTTCGAGGGAATCGAGGATTGCATGATCTGCTTCTCCGTCATCCACGGCTCCAACTACTCGCTACCTAAGAAGGGCTGCCGCACCTGCAAAAAGAAATTCCACTCGGCGTGTCTGGTGAGTGTGAATATGAACTGGCGCGTGTGGTGGTGGGGGTGTGAAGAGATACGCTGCCTTCTCTGCGGTGTCTACTTTTGGCTATGGGGACGAACTATAGTGTGTCTGTATATAGGAATTATTGATCAATGATGTTTCGGCAGGATTTATTCTTCATAGCAGGGCATCATTCATAAATCCACCTCACGGATACCATACACGATATGATGTGGGAACATTGTGTTGTTTACACTGATTCTTTTTTTTTTTTTTTTTTTTCTCTCCTCTTTCTGCAGTACAAATGGTTCACATCCAGCAATAAGTCCACCTGTCCTCTGTGCAGAGAAACGTTCTTCTAACGCAGTCGTTGGCCCACGACGTAAAGGTTGCTGGTGTTTGGGATTCACACAATGAAATTCCTTCTCTGGGGTGTTTGACTGAATTAGCTTCATTATCTTGTTTCATATTAGTGGCAATTAAGTAGAGTAACAACTAGTGATAATTATATTTCAGTGAATAAACTGTTAATTGTTTATCAGTGCTTAACTGGAATGTATATGCACAACATTATAAGATCCTTGCCGGTGATTTTCAATAATATTAGTCACAGTTTTTATCATTTTGCAGACCTGATTATTTTTTTAATTTTCTTTTTTTTTAGTTGTACAAGTGTAAGTTGAATCACAAAGTTGGAAAAAACAAAAAGGCCTTCAATTGTAAATCAGCACCTGTTTAAATGATAATAGTAATTTTACAAATGAAAAATGGTCTCAATATTGCAATTTCCAGAGAAGGTTTTAAAGGTATTTCCTAATATTTAGGAGTGTAAAGAGATCATGTCTGATTCTGGACATTCCTTATCCCAGCATGACATGGTAACGTGACCTGGTGAAAAGCTGGAAAGGGAACTTCTTTGGGGTGGATTTTAATTTCAGAATGCCAATGCCTCCCTTGTGCCTGTATACAGCTGTTAACGATGCTGGAAAATGAATAAATACCATTAAAAGATTTAGTTTGTCTTTGATGAAGCACTGAAAAACAAAGGAAATGTGGAAACTGATACAACTGTAGTTAAAGGTTTAAATAGTTTTTGTTTAACAATGCTAATGGCTTATCAGGCACGATGGTACCATACGCAGACAGAACAATGTAAGTGCTCAGACTTTCCCTGTGACTGAGTCTGGTAATGTTTATGCAAATTTTTACCTTATTATGCATACACGGAACCAGTTTAATACGTCTGGGCCCAGATGTGATTTTATGCACATGAGCCATTAAACATATTTGCCAAAGCTAGCCGCTTTACATCTGCTCATGATCATTATGAAGGATAATACTGTTTCAGGGGCTTAGTTCTGTAAGTATCAGGTTTAATGACACAAAGGAACAAGTGTACACACAGCTTTAAGGGAAAACCTATTGGTAGTTTTTTAAATATTTCATTCAGACTGGGACCATCTCTCCCTCTTCGCTATTAAAACCCGACTGGAGAAATATATTTGAACAAGTATGACATTTATTATGTCCACGAATAACTTTATTCAAAGTCAACTGTAATGAAGTGTAAAGTGCTTTTTATGAACTGTTGTCTTAACCGTAGCGTCCAATTACTTTTGTATGATATTTTCATATAACCGTTACTGTAAATTAACCTGCGCTAGTTTCCAGGAAAAGAACGTAATTGGCCTCCGCCTGTGACTGCCGGCTCCAGCCTGCCACACTCATTTGTCTTGGGTCCACCGCCTCCTCACGTTGAATAATTTATCTGTTTAAAGGAGGTCTGCTCTCATCACAGTAGTTCCTATGGAATTAATTATGACAGATTAAGCGTGATCAATGAATTAATCCCTATCATTTGCTCTGCTGTGTGTGTGTGTGTGTGTGTGTGTGTGTGTGTGTGTGTGTGTGTGTGTGTGTGTGTGTGTGTGTGTGTGTGTGTGTGCGCGCATCTGCAATTCATTATCGCCATCAAAATACATCAATATATACAGCGAGCATCCATCATCATCTGCCCTTGACCTTTTTCATGGCCATTGATCTGTTTTCCAGGCATACATGTTTATACTGAAATCCCCTTCGCTCACATGTTTTGACACACGGACAGCTTCAAAACCTACTGCTTATTATCTGCATGATTAAGCGGTGCTGCGAATGTTATGCACTACCTACAGTGCCGTGTGCAGCCTTTTTTTTTTTTCACAATGTAGGTCTATCTTTACCAGAAGATGGCAGCATAAGCACAAGACAGGACTGAGGAGAAAAACTAGTATTTGAGTAGATATGTACATAAAGTGAAACAAAGGGAACATTTCTTCTGGTATATTTAGGTGGAAGGAATGACTTACTAAGACGACACTTTTACTGTTACATGTTCTTTCTTTTTGCTTGTCAGACAAAATATTTTCAGTTCATTAAAATAATGAATATGAATTTCAGAAGCGAATTCATAAGGGGTCCCAGAGGGATTATTAATGTGCCATCTTTAATTACTCAAATGAATTTGTTGAATACATTCCATGTCATAATGCTGGAGTCTCTGCAGACTGACAATTGGAGCCAAGGACCGGGAAGGTTATCAATAGGTTTTTCTTGGGATGGGTGCCACCGTTCAACGTGATTGAAGTCATGGAAACATGGCTGAAAAATCCAAATATAAATGAATAAACTCAAAACTGAGGTTTTAATTTCCCTTAGGTTGACTTGAAAGGAATTTGATTATTCAGAGCAAATCAAACCGGGATTCATGTTCTTTGCAGGACTGAGCGTTTGTGCTCAGCGGATGAATGTTCAATTTATTTGGTTGAAACACACCTGTCAGACTACCTGTCTCCTTCCTTAATCCTGAAAGTGCTTGAGATGCTGACCTTCCATAAGCTACACTCTCACACTGACCCACTTGCGTGAGACTGCTGCGCCGGTAAAAGCTAATTAGCAGCCAACTTCAACCAGTCAGTTCACGGGCCTTCCAACCCGATTGGTGGGAGGCTCGGTCACCTCATAGTTGGCCAGACCTAGTTAGCTCCCATTTAGTTCTCCCTGACCCATTTGTGAACCTATTAACATTCCAAGCCGTTTGTAGGCGGCTGGTCCAATGCCAGTCACGCCACTCCTCAACGCTGCAGGCAGAGGCTCAGCTCTGGAAATGTCTTTGAATAAGTGTGTGTGTGTTTTGTACACTTACACGTATTTGTTCCTGTCAGTGTGACTCTGATATTAGTTCTATTGAAATGAATCCCACTCATTTTATTTGCCTCTCTCTCATGTTCCCCATCATATAGCACACTATGAAATTACATAAAGCATGCAATCAATATCTGAAATTGTTGAATGCCATCCTGGGAATTTATCAGGATCATTTGTTCTAAACCAAAGCAGGGGACTTTACAATTCTATTGGGGCTATTCTTTCAAATGCACTCAGAAGCGAAATGATCAATTTTATTAACATTTGCCATTTTCATATAATTAAGGTAATAAACAATGATTATCGACCGCAATATATTCCCTCCTGGACATGCATTTGTATTGGTCATTAAGGCTGGAGGAGGCCGCCCGGGCTGCCACAGTTTAAATCTAATGTTATTACTCTGTCATCACTTACAGGCCTTTTATGGTTTTCTATTACCAATGTGGGGTTATAGCAGCAATGGAGGACACCAACGACCAGGCGGCTGAGTGTGCAGCTTTCAAAGGTCTGTGATTCAGAGCTATTGGGAGCAGATGCAAATAGAAAATTCTATATTGTAAGATTATAGAATAAGAGGAAGAAAGAGAAAGTTAATAAAGAATAGAATGGATGCAATATAATTTTTTTAAAAGAATGAGTGGTAAATGTATACATAATAACACGCTTAAAAAAATGAATTTGTATCAGTGAGCATTTTTGCATAATAAATATATTTTATAATTTTATTATGAAACATTTTTACATCAGATTAACTAAGTCCGTGCAATTTAAGGGGATGTATTGGCAGAAATGGAATATAATAAGTATGTTTTCTTTAGTGTATAATTACCCGAAAATAAGAATTCTGGTGTTTCGTTACCATATAATAATCAGTTTATATCAACATACAAAGAGGAGCTTCTCGCCGTGTTTGTGCAATAGCTTAGAAAAGGACGCACCGAACAATGGCTCTATATGGGGCCCCTTGGCATTTTCACACGTTCTCCTTCAGACTTGCCGCACAGAAGAAGCTTCGGTTGGTTGCAATCCAACCTCACCTTTAAGTCAAATTGAACCAACTCTCCCATGATGTAATTTATAAGCCGAAAGAGCAATGCATAGAAAAGGACTGTTTAAGTATTCCGAAGCTCGGCCTAAGTTCACTGTTGAGCACCAGCAGCACAAGTCTGCCTACAAATAGCATTGGCGCTTAGCAGGAAAACCTCTGTTCGTAGCTTCAGTCGACCGACCCAGAAGTGGGGCTCTGGTCTATCAGCACATGGGAAGTATTAAAGGAATCCGAGCATGACCACGTCCAGGAACAATTAGGAAAAACACGCCAGTAGCGCCCACTGAATATTTAAGGTTGTGTGTGTGTGTGTGTGTGAGTGTTAACTCCTGAACTTGAGCTAAATAGATGCAGGAAATAGAGATACTTTGGCTTTAGCTCACTTTGAATTACCTCGTTAGTGTCGTTGTCATTAAAAGTAGAGATCTACTGTGACCCACCGGGAGTTCACGACCAGACCTCAATCACATCCTGTTCCCTAAAGTTAGAGAAACCCACCGGCATGCCCATATATTGTACAAATGCTTTATATATTGTGATGGAGTCTAAGGAAATGGACTTTTATTCCCTGTGGCAATATTTGATTTACGGTTCTATTTAAATGGCCACACTCTTTCAGAGGGGTCGGTGTTACCATAGCTAAGCCCCAGGGTGTTAAGATACATCAGGCTGTAAAATATCCATTCAACATCTACAGAAGGCCCACTGAGTAGAGGAAAGTTCTGCAATTAGCACACCAGAATCAAACTCTACATTTAAATCCAACATTTGGGTCTGGTTTTCATATTTCTTTCTTTTACTGACAGAAATTCGAGCAGTTGCTGTTTTTAAAAATGATGTCCATAGTAGTCTGTTGGTTGATCATTTTAACCACTTTGGTCTGGAGTGTGTTTTACATTGTCATTGTGAGCATGTTAGCAATACATACATGATCGAAACAATAGGATTGAAACGCTTGCATTCGTACTACGGTGATTGTACAAAATGCATTTTTGCTTTATATACTCCTTTATACACTTCTGCTTTCAAAGTAATGTGTTAGAATTTATTTGTTGATTTACAACAACTTGTAGCTGATGCTGTCAGATAATGTAGTGAAGTAATAATTACATAATTTGACTCAAAATTTCAATGTAGTAGAAGTACAGGTACCTATGAATTGTACTTGTGTGCAATGTTTGACTAAATATACTTAATATACTAATATACTTTATCTTAAAAATGTATATCGGTATCACAAAAAAATCAAAAGGCTCAAACAAAAACTCAGTCATTTTCTAACCATGACATGAGGTTTGCCTCGATATCTTTGCCGACATCATTCACAAAGAGCCTTTTTTTAGCTCCTGGACTGCCTGTCCCTCTCTGCTTCAGCCGTAGTATTTACTGCAGCGAGTGCATCAAAATCCGATACAGGCTGGTTCTGCTTGTCTGCATCAATCATCAGAATGGCTCAGCAGATAAACAAGTGATATGACCCGGTGCAGTGCCACAAACTAAGTGACAAAGCATCAGATCCCCGACGTTTTTACACAATTAGGTAAATCCTGATTGCCAATTACTTTGATTTGTAATCCTAAAGGTATTTAATGAGCTCATTTGATGGTGCCATGGAGCATGATAGAGAATGTTAATTGGTTTTTCTAAGAAGTGTAAAAATCAAGGTGTGCTTCAGAGGTGGGTGGATCCATTTTTAAGCCATTAGGTGTACATTTTATACAAAAGAAGTTCAGAAAAAGAATCTGGGAACCAAGAACAAAAGACACATGGAGTTT